TTTCCCATGTCTGATGAGGGGTCCAGGGTTGTGCAAGGCTTCATGGAGTCTGTCCACAAAGGCAGTAGGAGACTCTTGTCCTTCTTGTTTAACCTGGAATATCATAGAAAAATCCACTACCTTTGGGATCACATTTTCCAATCCCATTTTAATTAAATTTCGGTACCTAACCAGCAATGCATAATCTCCCTCATCACTGGGGTTCCATTGGGGATTGCAAGTGGGAAGCACCTATTCTACTGCATCCTGCAGGGCACTTCTAACAATTACCAGTTCCTTTTCTGTTTCTGTAAACTCTGACAGCATTAAATCAATATCACCCCAATCAGGGTCCTGATTTCTTACAACTAACTCWAACATTTTTCCAACTTTACTGGGGTCCTTTCTGTAATTTTTAACTTCTCTCCAGCTATTCTGATCAGTAGTGGAAAAGGGAACCTGCACTTGCATAGCCTCTCCCTTGGGACCTCTCACTTCCACTAGAAGGTCTGTTAAAGGCAAAACGTCTTCCATTTTACTTCTCATTCGTACTGTTTTTGGAGACCCTGAGCTTGTTCTCTCACCAGGATAATTCATCTGACCCTTACTACTGCTTGAGCTTGATGGGACAGAAGCAGTTAGAGGAGAGTGTGCAGCTGGCCTTGGATAGTTTGGCTGTAAATCCTGAACATCAATAACACTGTCTTCCTCGTGCTTGTCTGCCAACTTCAAACACCTCTGCCCTATACTACACGGAGAACAACATCTCTTCATTTTCTGCCTCCAGTGGGCTAGAATACACTGGAAAGGGCTCTTTTTAACCATTTCCTTGCTGCTAGAACTACCTACTTTAATGCAACCTTAAATGTTGGCRATTGCACTTCATCACAAGTATACAAAGTTTACTTTTGTCAGCTCTCAAACCGCACAAACAATAACTTGGCACACAGTGGATATCAGAGATGTGACTGACTCCAATATTTTCTTTTATAATTGTGACACTGGAGATGTACCCAAGGGTCATAAAACCAGAGTACACCAAACCAACACAGTGGTCCAAACACCAAACAAGGAATTGGGAGAGGACATGAATTAAAACTGTTAACAAAGCAGACAGTGAAAGCTGTTGGCAGACACGAGAAGGAAGAACAGCTGTAAAGGCACAGACACAGACAGCGAAAACCTCCTGGCATACACAGCCAGTAAAATTTGTTAGTAAGCACACAGGAAAGAAACACTAATTTTATACAAAATACACAAAACAATACTTACAACAATCAAACCCAAAATTCCAAGGCCAATACCAAAAGTCATCATACTTCTTTTGGGAGCATCTAACCCCTTTTAGGGGCCTCTAACCCCCTTGTATCAACTTCAGGAATTTCACCTGTGATAAAGCATCCAGCATATGTGATCAGATACGTATTATGGGAGTTTCCTTAACCAAACAAACCAAGAACATTATAAACCAAATTACAGATACCTTAAATTTTGTGCAGTCAGTCTTTGTCCACCCCTGCAGAGAGCCAGTGAAGCATGGAGTCCTTCCAAGAAAATCTCGGGACATTCCAAATGAGTCCCCAACTCCAACAGATCTTGCAGCTGGGCAGAGAGTCCCTTCTGCCTGGCTGGCCAAAACTGATGCCCAAAAAGATAGGCTAGAAATAAAACCCCACAGATCGGTGTCTATAGAGCAAGTATTTGTATATTGCACTGCTGGAAGTGAGGGGGATCTTTCCACCTATCTCATCCAACTTTGGCAAATGCTTGTGGTTTATTTATCCAGTAGGTATTGCTCAATATTGCCACCATCATTATAACCTCACTATGGATGAGTACGGAACTAAACAGCATAACAGCATAATAGTTATGTAACTGTTCTATAAGTGTGCTTGCACCGTCCCCATTTAGGTGGTCTCAGGGGTCTTCTTTGATGAAGACTCAAGGTCTTCCTCACATCTGAACTTTTCAACTTCATCTTTGGAGCATGCACAGTCATGGTGTTCTCTGTTTTTTTCTGGTTCTCAGGGTCGACATGTTCCATTCTGTGGTTAATTTGGCTTTATATCAAGTTCTCTTTAGTAAATCCCACTGCTTCTTGATATAACTATTCTTGTCTGTTTTGAAACAATCCACCTGGTSAGATTGTTTATTCAAGAATCAAGCAACTAGTTTAATGATATTTAGCTATTCAACTGTGTAGAAAGCTATTACACTCTATAGAAAGTTAYTATACTGTATAGAAAGCGTAAATCCAGGTTATTTAGGTATTCAAGCCATAWAAGCATCTTGTAACTTTGACCCAAGTTATRTAGGCATCAGTAAATAAATATGCTTCTAGTCACACAAGCACATAGCCAAGATTGAAGCTCTCCCGTTAGGCTTGTGTTGGGAGGAATGGGTTAAAGATTGGAAGACTGCCGAGGAGGATTGCAATTCACTGAAGCAACCTTGCAATTGGAGCTAACTCTTGATAAATCTCGGAGAGCCACAGTCCAGTGATCCTCTGGAACTATCTCTGCCCGAACGCTGCTTTGGGGATCCCCTCATCAGCAAGGTAAAGGAAATAAATTTGTTGGTTTTGTTCTAACTGCAAGTGTGTGATTGTTCCGGCTGCCTGCCTGAGTCAACTCACACAGTTTGAAACACAACCAAGAACATCTTTAAAAATTAAGTATCTTAYAGAATTAAATAAGTATCTGTCCCACTGGAAGTGAGGCATATATCATGCTTTATAAATGCATGAGTCAAGGTCTCCATGTTACAGCATTTTAAACCCTTCTTTTGTTTTTTGTACTGCATGGATTTCAGGTATTTGTGTATGTTGGATTCCTGATATTATTTGCCATTCAGACTCATGAAGTCCTGGCACAATTCCTCCAGCAGATCACATCCTTACTAGCTTGTCTAACTTAGCATCAGCAGTGAAGTTGCTCATCTCATTCTTCATGGGGTGTTTTTTTATTCGTAGGGTTACGTTTCATTGTGTACTGGGTAGCCCAGGTCCCAGAACTGATCTCTGCAGAACTGCAGTGGCAACTTTCCTCCATTGCAGGAGTTAACCATTAACTCATACTCCCTTCTCCCATTTCCTTCCCATCTGTTAATTATTTATCAAACTTTACTCTTTAGTTCTTATTTCAGGCTTAACTCTTCTTTTAAGGCTTAAATTTTCTTTCAAAAGAGGTCCCCTTTGGGGGACTTGGTGAGAAGGCTTTTRGAAATCCCACAGACTGTATTAACTAGATCCTCATTGCTTACTGATCCTTTTAAAGGCTTTAAAAGCTTTTCCCTGCTGTGATTAGCAAAGCCAAAGTTTGCAGTACATTTTAAAAATGTGTGTGATGAGGCAAGTACCAGGTGATTACTGTGTATGGCATGTAATCCTAAAAACACTGTTTACATGTCTGGGTCACTAAGCTATGTTAATTACTTCTAATAAAGGGCTTTATATTTTAACTAAGGCTTTACCACCTGGACTAATTAATTTTTCAAGGTACGTAATGATAACTGTGTGATAAATACATAGTTTATGGAYAGTAGAGGTTTATTATTATTTGAAGACAATTATAAATATGTTATGAAAATGTGATAAACACTTGAAATATATATGAACTACTTCAGTATCCAAAATAATGCGAACATAAACAGAACCAGTTAACTAAACATATGAATTAATTATTTTCCAGTATCTTTAATTTTAAGTGCAYTGTGATCTACCCAATATGTATGGGTGATTATTTGTCTTAGGTCAAATTTCTTTTATCCAAGATATTAGGAAGCTACCACTCTAAAGGTAGTTTGATAGGTAAGCTTAGAATTTATTTTCTTTAAGAACATCTTTTTTCTTAGTAAATAAAGGAATCCCTCTTTATTTTTGTTTACTTTACATCTATCTAGTTTGTTTCCAGAGTCTACGATTGACAAGTCATGATCATTTGAAGGTTTTATTAAAGTTTATACCTTAAAAACAATCACAGTTTGGAATTTTAAACCTTCTAAAAGTAGAGACTGACGAATACTGTAAACATAGCCCATACTGACAATGTAAATAAAACTCCTACTGCACTAATGCTATTTGTACTCAGCTGCAGATATTTAAGKTGAATGTAAAAAGTCCTTTGTGTTSTGCAGAAGACAATGGTGYAGCACACCAGATTTCTCCTTCAGCTCCTGAGCCTGACTGATCATGGGAGAACAGCAGCGTTGCTTTCTCCAGACGGCTCAGTTCCTTGGGTTTCCCAGTCACTGGGGCTGGCTCCACGCCAGGCACTGCCCAAGCACCAGCACAGACTGGGACTGAAGAGCAGCTCTGTGGAGAAGGACCTGGGATCCAGCTGRACATCAARCTGTCCATGAGCCAGCCCTGCCCCTGCGGCTGAAAAGGCCAATGGAATTTTGCAGGGTATTAGGRCATCAAGGAAGGTGATCCTGCCGGTGTGCTCAGCCCTAGTGGGGTTCCAGTTCTGGGGTCTACTTCTGGGGTCCTCAGTAYAAGAGAGACATGAAGGTCCTGAAAGGGCTCCACTGGAAGGCAACAAGGATGATTACGGGACTGAAGCATCTCTCTTACCAGGAAATGCTGATGGGTCTGTTCAGTCTTGAGAAGAGAGAGCTGAAAGGAGACCTCATCAGTGTCCATAAGCCTAAAGGGAAGGTGTAAAGAGAGGAGCCAGGCTCTTCTGGGTGTTGCTAAACAATAGGGTAAGAGGCAATGGGCAGAAACTGATGCAAAGTAAGTTCCACCTGAATATAAGGAATAATTTCGTTTCTATGCAAGTTGACCACGCACTGGAACAGACTGTGGAGTTCCCCTCACCGGAGGTATTCAAGAACTGTCTGGRTGCRATTCTGTGYCATGTGCTGCTCTAGGSTGACCCTGCTCTAGSGAGGGTGGAACAGGTGACCCTCTGCGGTCCCTTCCAACCTGCCCCGTTCTGTCACGCWGTGAGTCACGGCGCCCAGCCCTCCTGCGAGCCCCGGCCGCGCCCCGCTCCCGGCCGGCACCGGCACCCGCACCGCCGGCGCCCCGCSGTTTCGGGAAAGCTCCCGCCGTTCCCGGCCGGGGCGGTCCCGCCACTCCCGGCCGGCCGGAAGCTCCCGCCTCCCGGGCGAAGGCCGTGGGGCCGCCGCAGGTGAGGTCGCTGGGGCGCTGCAGGTGTCGGGCGGCTCCTCCCGGGCCGGTGGGCGCTCTCCGCCCGGCTCGTCCTTCTCCGGCGCCGAGCGCCCTCGGGACCCCGCGGCAGTTCCGTCCCGTCGGGTGAGCCGAGCGGGGCCGGGCCGAGTGCCGGCCATGTCGCGGAGCTCGCAGGGCGGGCGGCCCGGCAGGTCCCCGCTGCCCCGCGGAACCAGCCCCGGCTCCACCGCCGCCCCGCTGCCGCCGCCRCCSCTGCCCCTGCAGCCTCCCTTCGGCCCCGGCGGGGCCAGCCCCGGCCCCAGCGGCCCGGCAGAGCTCAAGCCGGTTCGGCGGTTCATTCCGGACTCGTGGAAGAACTTCTTCAAAGGGAGACGCCACCCCGGCTCCAGTTGGGACAGCACGGCCTCCGACATCAGGTACATCTCGGACGGGGTCGAGTGCTCGCCGCCTCCGTCTCCCGCCCCGCTGCCGCCGGGGACCAAGGCGGTGCCCGGCTCCTACACGGACCCCTTCGGGGGGTCGGGAGGGAGCTACAACTCTCGCAAGGAGGCCGAGGCCATGCTGCCCTCCGGAGACCCCTTGGGCTCGCTGGAGCGCCGCGCCGGCACCGGGCAGACGTACAGCGAGCGGGTGGAGGAGTACCACCAGCGGTACGCCTACATGAAGTCCTGGGCAGGGCTGCTCAGGATCCTCGGCGTGGCCGAGCTGCTGCTGGGCGCCGCCGTCTTCGCCTGTGTCACCGCCTACGTGCACAAGGACAACGAGTGGTACAACATGTTCGGGTACTCGCAGCCCTACGGATACGGGGCGGGCAGCGCCTACGGGGGATACTCCTACAGCGGCCCCAAAACTCCTTTCATCCTGGTGGTGGCGGGAATGGCGTGGATCGTCACCATAGTGCTGCTCGTGCTTGGCATGTCCATGTACTACCGGACTATCCTCCTCGATTCCAACTGGTGGCCTCTGACYGAGTTTGGGATCAATGTGGCCTTGTTCTTCCTGTACATGTCGGCTGCCATCGTGTACGTCAATGATACCAACCGAGGTGGGCTCTGCTATTACCAGCTGTTTAAGACGCCGATCAACGCGGCTTTTTGCCGTGTGGAGGGAGGTCAGACTGCAGCAATCATCTTCTTGTTTGTYACGGTGATCATGTATCTAATCAGTGCGGTGGTTTGTCTAAAGTTATGGAGGCACGAAGGGGCCAGGAGGCACAGGGAATTAATGGAACAGGAGGTAAGTCATTAGGTATCACTTTCTGTTCACCGGGTGCCACATGGTGGGGAGCACTTGTAAGATCTTACCGTGGTGTAGATGGAGTTCAATCAAGTGTCGTCTCGCAGCAGGTCCATCGTCTTGAGGCTGAATTTTAACCATTCGTACAGTATTAGAAATCACCAAATTAAAGGCGYTTTTAAGATAGCCAATCCAAAGTCTTGGACACTTTTTTTTTGTTTATAATTCACCTTGAGTAAGGACCTGGCACTGTTCTCTTTGTAATACTGGTCTCTCTTCCTGAGTCAGCTGATCAACTACTTCCTAGTGTGTGTTTTCCAAACAAAGGAAGAAACGAACAATGTTCATCTGTTCAGCAGGGTTAGGTGGCTTAAAGCCACCTAGCATTTATTTGAAAATTCTGCTTTCAGCACATCAAGTGCTAGTGTGAATAACGCTAAGAATGTAAAATACTTATTTTCACTTTGCCAGCAAAACTCCAAGCAACTTCTTCATCCCTTTTCAGCTTTCCTTACAATAGTTATCACTAAATAATAGTAATAACTGCATTGGCTAGGTTTTGGTGTCTCAAATTTCAGTCAGCCTCATCTCTTTCATGTCAAATATTTTGTCCGATTGCTGGCCTTGCCCATTCTAGGAGCATTCAATATTTGTATGGTTAATGATAAACTGTAACTGTAGAGATTTAACATTTACCTAGAGAGTCCAAAGTAAAACTTCTTTCATTTGAAAATATCACCRAAAAAAGGTTTAAAAATGAGTAAGACTTAATATAGCATGAAAATTTATGCGTGTGAAACACRCATTAGCCTAACTTAAGGAGAGGTCAGCGTTTAAATTAGTTTAAAAGGAGAAAGAGAGTTTAAAGTTTCATATCCTCTGCTCTATGATTGTGGTCTGATTTTGTAGCATTTTCATTTAAGATTGGTTTCCAATCCACCGTCTTGGATAAAACTGACACTTTCCTTTTGAAAAGTACATTATAATTTTCTTCAGTAAAAGTTTTTAAACCAGCTGCTCTTACATCCTGCAAGAATGAGGTGATTGCCACAAGGTATTCATTCTTCCCTGCTGGTATCCGAGTTCTTTTAGTCCAGTTACTAAACATTTCTAAAGGGAATATTTTAATACTAGAGGTTAGRCTCTGGAGAGTGCTGTGCAAAATAGCTGCAGGTTGAGCTACTGGTTAGTGCACTGCTGTGTGTTTAGGYAATTAATTAGGCTGCCGAGTGTTAGTGAGTTAACCTGGGCTGGAATGTGAAATAATAGAGGAGCTTGGGAAGTTGATGGAGTATTTCCTGCAAGCTGTTTCTTACAGCTGTGCTCTGGAAGTCCTGTTGTTCTGGGGTCTGGGTGGTTGGAAAACCACTGTTCTTAAGCACCCCTTAAATCAGTGGATCTGAAAATATTCGTTATGCTAAATTTCTTCATACCTAAATATAAATGTAATTTTCTGTACAGTATGATTTCAAAATGTTTAAATTTAAGAGTCTGTGCTTTTGCATTTTATTTGTGCTGAAAATAAAACATATTTCTTCCCCTTTTTTTTTGACAGATGAAAACACAGTCGTCTTTTCCAGAAAAGAAGGTAGGAAATAGGAATTTCTATTTCTGTTTACTGGTAATCCCAAATGGTTATTCTTTTCTTTGTGACTACTTTAACTGATTTATTTATTTACTTATTTGACTTGGAAGAGATCTGGTTTAGTTTTTTAAGTTAGTTCAGATAGTGTTTTTCTGCCTAGAAGATTCAAAAGCTGCTTGTAAAGAAGTTAGTCCTAGTTAGGCTAGGTTATAAAATTGTAAAATAGCATATGTGATGGCCACCTCTCTATGTGCTCTTGCCCTTTCTTAGGAGGTGACACATTCTGTAGCATTTACCACAGAGTTTGGCAGACATGACTAAAAGAGCAGGCTGGCTGATGCATGATGGTTTTTAGACTCTTTCCTCCTGGCTGTGTGATTAATTTGCAGGAGAGCCAGCAGAATCACGGTGTAGATGCTGTGTGAGTTGAGCTTCTTCCTCACTCTCTGAGACTGCTCTAAAGACCCTCTTTCCAGTTTTAAAGCATCAGGAGTGTTAGTGTTTCAGCCACACAAAGTGTCATTGCATGCACTGCTAGGATTCTGTGTCCCACAGAAATTATGGTTTATTAATTTCAGTCTTAAATGTCTCCTGTTGTCACTGTGAATTTCCTACCACTGTTTTCTCTGTTGATTCAGTACTGCATGAGGATCCTTTTAATTGTGTTCCAACAAGATTGCACATGTTCTTATTTCTGGATCAAGGGATGAATTATRTGATAGTAAACAAGGACAAAAGAGAACTCCAGAGAATGGAATGATTCCAGTTTCATTCACAGATTAAATTAATCATGACAGAAGCTTCCTTACRCTATTTTTTTAAGACATGCAAACAATTTTTTTCAAACTTCAAGAAGTATTTATCAGTGGAAAAATACTATGAGAAAAATTAATGTAACTCATTACCAATTTTCCAACTGCAGTAAGAGTTGTAAGAAGTATCTGTGATTTGCTTCTACTGCTGTTCGATACGTGTATCTCTGTCTTCAAGCAAGTTGCGTATTCTGTGGTTTATGTAAAACTGACTTCTTAAAAAACAAATTATTTTTCTTTTATAACAGTATGAAAATGATGACAGACAAAGAGAAGAAGTCAGTTACAGACAACTCAAGTCACTGGAAAGAAAACCAGAGCTACTTAATGGTCATATACCTGCAGGCCACATTCCTAAACCTATCGTGATGCCAGACTACTTAGCGTAAGTGGCTTAACTTTGATGAGCCAGCTTAGTGGAGGATACTTGAATAATATTCTTCACTCTGCATTTCTCCTGTATACACTTCCCTCCCATGCATGTGCTCTGAACTCATAATTGTGTGTTAATGTTAAAAGAGTAGAGGATGGGGCTGGTTTCAGTGGCGTAAGACCTGTAACTATAAATAAGGAGTCTTGATTAAGAAACAAACCCACACAAACCTCAACTATTAAAGCAGAATGTCATAATCTGCCAAAGGAACAGAAGTCCACCAGACAGATAKTAGAGGAAAAAAAGAAAATAAATAGGAAAATTGCTTTTTTTAGGCCTTGAAATCTGAATACTCTTATACCTTCTAAGTGTTAAATCTGTAACATGCTACCTTTYAAAGGGTAGACCTTTCTAAGTATGGTATCATAAATTTATTTTCATATTATTTGCTGTAGGGCACAAATAGAAACAAGAGAGGTTTCACATGACTATTAGGAAAATATTTTTCTCTGTGAGGGTTTGTATAGGTTTCCCAGAGCGACTGAGACTCTGTGCTTGRAGATACCAAAAGCTGCCTGGACATAGTTGTGGTCTAAGTATTTCTGATGGTGGAGGAAGTCAGATCATATAACCTCCAGATGTCTCTTACAACCCCAACTATATTGTAATTATTCTGTGATTTTAATGCTTTACAGATGGGCAAACTTCAGCAGGTTATGAGATTAGCAGAAAATACAGAAATACACTGTCAAGCTAAAAATTCTAAATGTTTGTTAGTAAGTCCTGTCTCTAAAACGACTTCATAATTTATTTTTTTCAGGAAATACCCTGTAATTCAAACAAATGAAATGAGAGACCGGTACAAAGCGGTATTCAATGACCAGTTTGCTGAGTATAAAGAACTGTCTGCGGAAGTTCATGCTGTATTAAARAAGTTTAATGAGCTGGATGCATTGCTGAAACAGCTTCCACACCATCCTGAAAGCATATATGTAAGTACCTGTGGAATGGGCTCATGGAAAACAGTGGTTTTAGGTGCTATTAGGCAGTTGTCTTCAGCTGTGGCACAGTGTCTTCTATTGCTGGCAGTGGCTTGGTGGGAGAGGAAGTTTCCCTATGGATGTTACATCTTTTCTGGTCGTTAATTAAGGATACCAAAGTGCAGTTAAGTCATATACATGTTTTTYAGTGTTTCCTTGTTTCTTGTTTCATAATAGTAGCTTTTAAGTTTTAGTGAGTCACAGTTGATGTATTTTCACTATTCCTCAAATACAAAATTTACAGCTGAAACGTTACAAACACAAGATATTGATCAAATGAGAATTCTGATGAGTATTTAGTACAATTTACATAAAGATATGGAGCACACTCAAAGTTTTAAAATCTGTGTTTTTTCATTAGGAACAGGAAAGGATATCMAAAGTTCTTCAAGAATACAAGAAGAAGAAAAACGTAAGTGTTTTTAGATTTACATTGCTATTTAATGATTAACAAAGAGAATGTAAATAGCCAATACCTCTGACACTTCAGTATCTCAGGGTATCTGTAGCTGCTACAGTGCTTTGTGTATCTTGCCTTCAAAAACTTTGGCAAAGKTAGGACACAACCCATACACTCATGCCAACAACCAGTTTTGAGAATAATGATTCCAAGTAGCCAGAATRTGAGAAAAAAACCCAAACCACAAGCCAGCAGCAGTTAAGGATTTTTGGAGAATGTGCCTCATCTCTTAGCCTTCTGCACTCAGAAGACTGATTTAGTCATATTCACTGACTGACACAGCCAACAGATAAAACCAGGAAACATAGTTGAAAAGAACTTGAAAAGAAGTTCCCTATTTTTTGAGGCATRGAATTTTTACTCTCTAAAAGTAATTGTCAGTATAATCCAAGGAGTTTCTCTTTGTAATTTTTACATGCAAGGAGRAAATGTGTATCTGTGTTCCATTAAAAATTTCATGCATTACAAATACCCCTTTTCTTTGTGGAATTCAGAGTTTGTGTCTATGTTAGTTAAACTTCATTGCTTTTTTGGGRGTATTTATTACCCATACTGCATATATCTGTATAAAATGTACATTATGTAAGAGGCTGTCATTTTTGTTTACAGATTTCTGTTTGAAAACAGCTCTGTTTACTGAATAACTACAGCATATAAAAGCAGAATATCTTCTGGCCTTTCATGAAGGAAGGGGAAATAGCAAATAAGAAAGGGCCAGGGGAAAAAGAGTGTGATTTTTGAGAATATTTATACACCATCCTTTTAGTCAAGAACATAATTGATAATAGATTATTCTTGTAAGAGTCTGAAAGCCTAAATATATTAATGTAAAGTTTTTTGTATTTTTGGCAGGATCCTGCATTTCTGGAGAAAAAGGAGCGTTGTGAATATCTGAAGAATAAGCTTTCTCACATAAAACAACGAATTCAGGACTATGATAAAGTTATGAATTGGAATGTAGAAACTTAGCTATGCCTTCACCTTGTGGATGCTATGTTCTATTTTTTAAATCGATGTGCATATTTTAACCTATTTATTTACTCATTGAACAGTACACTTTTGGGGATTACTTAATCGCTGTCATATATTTAGATGATGTACATTACTGATAGGTTTTGTATGTAGAACCAATTGTAATTGAAGTTATAAGTTAGGAAACCTCTTCTCACATTCTGCTTTCATTAGTGTGAATCCGTAGCCTCTTAATATGAATACTTCAGTTGAAAATACTTCATTTGCAAACTTGCAAAGCCTGCCAGAGAAATCAGTTTCTAAATACCTTGTGGAAAGTTTGCGCAGAAATGCTGTTAACAATTTTGGATTTTATTTGTATGTGACATCTTGGTGATACCACAAAGAGCTGAGCTGTTCTTTATGTCTGGGGTTTGATGAACTGCCTAATTGTATTGAGTAATTTGGGCAATTCAGAAGCTAGTTTAATAAGAATTTTTGTATTCTATTTCCAAATGCTGTATGTTATGCCAGAAATTATTTTGAATTTTGCCCAACAAGAGATTAAAAATAGCTTCTTATTTAAGCATCTGGGGGAGGGGGACTTGGATTTGCTTTTTTTATTGCCCTCTTCAGACATGATGCAACAAATCTATATTTGGTCTTAAAGGAATAGAGGTACAGGATGAGATATRTTAATGTTCTATTAGTGTTGCTATAGGTTGCTGCGCTCTGCTCACTTTCCTGGGTCTTGCTGTTAGGAGTACATGTGTTTAAGGGCAAAACACTTCACTCTTCATCAGCAAATAACAGGACTAAAATTTTTGTCTAGGCAACTGCTGTTTGTGAACTTGGCATTCAGCGAGTAAGGACAGCAAAATGAATTCTTATTCAAAGTATAAATTGTTAGTATCTTCTATAAGGCCAGGTAAAATGTTCTTTAAAACCTTTCCAGAGCATATTTGCATAAATTCAATATATATTTTTATATTTTCTTGGGGATATTATCCTGGGGATAGGTTTGTATATGCAAGTATTTTCATAAGCCAGTAAATTTTCTCTTTGTATCCTTTTTCTTATCTTTAGTAATTATTTTTACTTACTGAAATTTTTAGAAGCATTGACAGTTTCTTTGTACAGTTTTCTACGATTGCAATTTATCTGTTCTGAAATGTTTTTTAATATTAAAAAGCCCCACCAGTGTAGCCATGTTACTTTATTGCTTATAAAGACATTTTGTTAGAAAAAGGTGCTCTGATTATGGTTATTGCAGATTTTTGTTGGTGATTTGTTTTTTCTTTGAATGAAAGTTTTTGACTTCTGCCTTAATTAAAAGGAGCAATATCAGAAAGGCCATTTCCAGTTTAGAATGGTTATGGTACTACTACCTCTGCTCTTCACTAGTGGAAACATATTAACATACCTCACTCAGCCCTTCTGGTTTTTCAGCCCTTATAATTCACACTGCAGCCCTGATGGCCACACACCCACTTTCATATTTATAAAATTGACATTCCAATTTTATCAGCCACTTAATTCTGAGAGCTTTAGTGGATGAAGTAAATAGCTCAAGATGCCATGGGAACACTGAGAGAATTTTAAAACTTGGCACCTCTTCAYTTCAAAGCCTTCAATCTTGTCTGCCTGGAAGGTGCCTCTATATTTTCATAATTCTGAAAACAGATGACAAGCCAGTACCATACCTTGGTCTCATTTCAGTGCCTCTCTCTTTCATTCTGGTTTGTATTAATTTTAAATGGGAAGCCTCTCTTCCTTATAAAGAACATGGGCCAATTTTTTGTACTTCTTGTGCTGAATACTTGTTAAATTGTTATTTGTAAGACAAGTATTTGTCCAAATCTCCACAATCTGAATAAACAATCTCTCACTGTACACCTAAGTTTCTCATTTTTTTCTCGGGGCGAGTTCCAGGCATTRCATCAGTAACAGAAGAAGATTAAATGCCAGTTTGAGGATCAGCTGCTGTTCATAAAGTGCTAACAATAAACTGACCGATGGTTTTTTTGGAAGATTCACAGTCTGCACCCTTAATAGGTCTTCTTTCTGCAGGACAGCAAGACCCAGTTCCAGGCTCATTTTGACAGTGGTCTGAGTTTCAGTCTTTGAGATACCACCTCCTGGTCCTTGTGACAGCGTCTGCATAGCCTGTGGAGAACCATCATGCTTCTCCTTTCCTGCAAAGTTTCCAACAAATGGTTGGGAAAAGAGACTGCCATACCTGTGGAATARGGAAATTAGGTGGAAACATCCATATGTGGATTCTCTTATGTTTCCCTGCAAGATGCCATGGGAGTGGCCAAGTAGATTTTCCAAATGTTRGGAAGAGAGGCTGAGAGAGAAGTATTCCCTTCTGCCCACCTTTTGAGTTCCAAACAGGGTTAGTGTAGAGCACGACAGAAGTTACCATCCCAAGGTATGCAGGCCATGCTAAGGCTGCAGCAATGTTTTGCAAACATTGCAGTAAATCACTTGCTCAGAATGGCTAAAACACTTCTGGTGTATTCAGTCTCTCTGCTGATTTTGTTCTAACCTACAAAAGGAGACCCCTACAAAAGGGTCTCATCARCAATGGGGTAGACATGCTGAAGAAAAATGACTAGTCTGAGTTGAACATTTTAATCTCTCAGAGAAATTAATGAAATTAGAATTAATGGCTGGGAGCTRAGGCAAGTTGGAGCAAGACACAAGTTAAGAGGAAAGTGAGGGAGAATCCCTCAATTTGAGTTACCGTCAGAACTACCAAGGAAAGTCRTCTCTTGATACCCTTAAAGAATACAAGGTATGCTCCAGACAAAACAGAATTTTTTAGATTATTATCACCCTAGTCTGTTTGTGCAGTCCCTCTAGGCTCAGCTCTGTAAATGCACACTTTTTCATGTACGTGTAAACAATCTGCTATGTGGTYTTACTCGTGTGACTGGGTTTTTGCAGAAGTTAGTTAAGTATGTATGAATCACCAAGGAATACTGCCCTGCATCTGTGAGCATTATTTTAGCTACAGCCTGTCCTCAAACACCRTATATAACAAGAAGTTTTATCCTTCAGTCTTCCTTTTTGAAAATGCTTGCCTGGCCCCACAGATCTACAAAGCAAGATACTGAAGATCCTTAATATTTCTATGAATGCAGTAGTTTCTAAACTGGACTTTTGTTTCTTCTTGTCTTTGTAAGCATTTGGCTATCCTCGATAAAAACAACTGTGGTAAGATTGGCATACCTCTTACTAAACTGTACATCTTTTCAGGTCAGATAAAGCGGTGCCTAACRAACATACCCAAAAGTTTGTCTCACACAATAATCTGATTACTTTCATGACAGAAATTGACTACAAATACCCATGGCAATGAAAAGCTTGATTATTTTGAAATTGTAAAAGAAGGTATCCAGAATGTAATTTATTAATTTCAAAATTGTGATGGGATTTCAAATACTTGTACGATCAAGTTTTACAAAATTATTGTATGTCCCGGGTTTCAGTCCAGCACTGGGAAAGTCTGGCCTTGACAATAAAAAATACTTYTGTTTTGAAAGAAGTCTCATTTCTCCCTTATTTTATTAAAACTGTTAACTTGCAGTCGTTTTTCATTTCAGTGTTTTATAGATTGGATGTTTTCTGTCTAAAGAAAAGATGGCATATGTTCTAATGGGAGTCAAACTAAAATTATTTCACAACTATTTCTGTTCCAAGAAACAAATCCTGACTTTTCAATGAATTTCTCTTTTCCTATCTTCATATTGCTTTCCTTCAAAAAAAAAAAAAAAATTTTCCTAGCTATGCTTTAACTGAAAGCTAATTAATTTCCTCCCTCTACAYTACTCCTGATAAACGCAGCAAAAGCTAAGGGTACAGAATTGTTTAGTTTTTCCCYATTCCTGTTTCAAGAATTGTCACTACTGTTTACATTTGTCTTCCTCATTAATTGTCGCACTTGGATGCAGAGCGAGACTCCTTAGAAACGGATACTCAGGAACTTTCCTGTAATTCAAGACGTGAAGCCCAGTCTTGGCACAATTCCGCTGTATCCAGTGAAGTCTTAATTGCTCTGGAGAGCAATCAGCARTTAGCTCAGCTAGCTCTGAGCTAATCCTTACTGCGGTGTTTATGGATGGAAACTGTCGGTGATGAGACGGATGCTCAGAATTATTTTAGGTAGACACAAAAAGTAATTACGTCGTATGAAAATACCCGAAACTTCCCGGTTTTGCTCCCGGGGTGATAGATAACATTAAGCCTTCATTAACCAGCCTAAGAGCATAATCATGTGTTAAAATCCAGTGCTTTATTCCAGGCTCCTGCGTTGTTTTATTAATTACTGAAATTGCTACAGCTAATTGCAGAAGTGTCCCCTAGACCCGGGCAGTGCCCGACGACACGAGCGAGGGGCACCTGCCAGCGATGCCACGGCAGCCTCCACTCCCGCCCGACTCCGTGACGCCTTTCCCCGGCGCTCCCATCCTCTCCATGACCGTGCTTGGAATATTTTGGCGCTGTGGCGGAAAGCAAACGGAACGGTCCCGGAACGGTCTCTCGGCGGCGCGGGCGGCGGCCGGGCGGGTTTGGCGGCGCACCGAGGCGGAAGAGGGCGGGTCGGCGGCRCGGCAGGGCCTGGGGGCGGGTGCGGGCCGCGGCTCCTCTCAGTGTTTTCGGGTCCCCTCAGAGACCCTGGGCTGCCCTTAGCCCTTCTCGTGTCCCCTCGGCGCTCTCCGTGTCCTCTCTGCCCCCCTCGGCTGCCCTCAGGCACTTCAGCTCCCCTCGGCTGCCCTCAGGCACTTCAGCTCCCCTCGGCTGCCCTCAGGCACTTCAGCTCTACTCAGCGCCCTTCAGACCGCCTCACCCCCACTCACACCCCCTCAGCGCCCCTCGGCCCCCCTCAGACTCTCTTTCACTTCTGTCTTCTTCCCCCAAGCCCGCTCATCACCCCTAAACCCTCTGATCTCCCCTGAGCTCCCCTCATCTTCCCTCAGCCCCCCGCATCTCCTCTGGTCTCCCCTGAGCCCCCCACCCCTCACAGCCCTCTCAGCGCCCCGCCAGCCGCACTGAGACCCCGCGGACATGGATGACGAGCCCGAGAGGACCAAGCGCTGGGAAGGAGGCTACGAAAGGACATGGTGTGTTCTTCCCCGTTCACCTTTCTCTCGGGCGAAAGAGGAGGGAAAACCTCCACTCTGCCCGCTGTAACAGCCTTTTTTTGCGTAGGGAAATTCTTAAGGAAGAYGAATCCGGCTCTTTGAAAGCGACCATCGAGGACATTCTCTTCAAGGCGAAGAGGAAAAGGTACTTGGTGTGGCCACAAGCCTGCTRACAGCGCTGATTTTGTCACTTTTAACGGGTTGATCATCCTGAAACTGGGTCATCTGGGATAAGTTAAGCATAAGGCATGCCTGCAGGATGTTTTGTGTCCTTGTTCTTCAGAGGTACTGTGTATGCCAGAAGAAAATGATGAAAAATTAATTCTTAYCTTTAGTCTAAACACTGGGCTAGGTATCCTATGCATATGCAAGCTACAGGTCTTGATCTGATGAAACAGTGCAGAGCATTGCCATTACAATCTGCACAGCTTGCAGCAATCTTTTGTAATATACAAACCAGAGAACCACAGGATAGTTTGGGTTGGAAGGGACCTTAAAAATCATCTCACTCCAACACCMTGAGCATGGACACCTTCCACTAGACCAGGCTGGTCAGAGCCCAATCCAGCTTGGCATTGGACACTCCCAGGGATGGGGCATCCACAGCTTCCCTGGGCAATCTGTTCCAGTGCCCCACCACCCTCATGGTAAAAACATGTTTGTATCTAATCTGTAACAACCAGGTTTTTTTTGTTAAAAACATTGCCCCTTGTCCTGTCGCAACAGAAGCTTTTGGTATCATGACATCAGATTTCTGTTTGAAATTKGAGAAAAATTGCTTGAAAAAAGCCCTCAGTTTTGCTGTATTTCAAGTCATGTTAAAACTTRGTTTGTCACATTTGGATAAAATTTTAAAGCTTCATTAAACCTGGTAGTAGGAAATAGTTCTTACTTGTTTTCTGAGAGGTGTGAAATCTGTGACTGCGTTGTGAGGTTTTGCAGTGTAAGTGTCCACAGTTTATTACTGCTGCATATTTGCCAGAAGTCTATTATTGRGTAGTTTCAGACTTTTGTTTTAGGAGCCATTCACTCATTTGAATTTGACCTAAATCCTTCTGGTTTTTGTTAGACTCTATGARCACCATGGACAAGTTCGGCTTGGAATGGTATGTTATTGTCTTAACCCKCTTCTGTCCTTAGTCCTAAACTACTTAGCTAGAAGTGATATTCCTCATCTGAAATACACTTCTGTTGACCTGACGTACTTGAGAACAAACCTTGTGGTTTCTAGTATTTTTATCTTTTTTTTGAACATTCTTTGTCCATTGGCAGTGTGGATGTGAAGCATGGCTATTCAGGGTTGGAAGTTTGACACGCAGGGCGTTTTTGGTAACAGCAGTCAGATCACATGCACTGATAATGTCAATTTTTCTTCATGTGAAAAATGGGCATAATGAAATGAGTTGTAAATAACCACATTGCTGTGTGCAGCACTGAGCTCTTGAGATGAAGACATGATGGTTCAAACTATGCATGTTTTGTAGCTTGTCATGAGAGGAAAAGAACAGTATGCATTTTTCAAGAGAGGGGCTTTTTTTCATTTTAAGAGAGAAGTGGGAAAATGTATTACTTTTTCTGTTGATGTTAATTGCATCACTCAATATACTGAATTTTCCATGTTAGGGGGAAGAAGTAGTGGCTTTTTAAAGAAAATGGAATAATGAATTCATTTCAATATGTATTATGTGTGTGATTTTCACATGTGGAAATGCAGATGCGTCACCTTTATGTGGTTATTGATGGATCAAGAACCATGGAGGACCAAGACTTAAAACCRAACAGACTCACTTGCACTCTAAAGGTATTCCTGCACTTTTTCCTACTAAACCAGTTGCATTTTGCATTTGAAAGAGTTGCAGTCTCCTGTGTGTGCATAACCTTGTCTCTTATCCCTACCTTTTACTCCTTGCTTCTGTTCCTAGGCTGTCACTTTCCTGTTTTTGATTAGTAAAATCTGTGTTGTATTATTTTGCCTTGACATGTATTTCTGTCAGTAAAAACACCTGTAAGGAGATACTATGGGAAGGCATATTTAGAAACTGTGTGGAAATTAAGTGTTGCCCATAATAAGGGGATGATGTGCTTTCATTACAYATCTAGAATCGATTTATATTTTTTTTCCTTACTGTTGGGGTTTTTTGTGAATTCATATTTGAAAGTGTACTAGATGGGAGTTAAACTGGATTGCTGTTGCATTTTGTGGAGGACTTGAACTGCTTACATCTTGTTCTAGATGGTTCTCTTAATACTAAAGCATGAAATTCCGTATTTTGATGGTTTTGTGCAAATTAATGCTTTTTGGTGTATTGTAAACCTCCATGTAAACCAGCAGGAATCTAGAACTTGAACACAAGAAGTGAATAAAGTAAGGGGGGAATAGTTTCTGAAGTCTACATTGCATTGGTTACATGGGATGAAGAAGGAGAAACAGGGTGAAAGAAGAATGGAAAAGAAAGGCTCATTCCCCCTTTTTGTTTTCCCCAACGTTTTTATTTTGGTTTTTTAGTGATACTAGATGTTTTGCAAGTATCACCTATATAATGCATGTGGAATAAAACTGTAATTAGTATTTAACTGTCTTAACTTTTCTATATAGTTACTGGAGTATTTTGTGGAAGAGTATTTTGACCAGAATCCTATTAGTCAGGTATGTACAAACATGGAAGAAACAAGTAACAGAGAAYTATTTTGAAAGGTAGTTTTGGTTATAACACTACCTAGTAAACGTTTTTCAATTCATGTCTACCATCCCATCCCTTATTCATCAGTCTAGTGAACTTCTTGTTTCTGCCAGACATTTAAAAAATTAGAAGATTTCTTTTTGTATCTTTTGGCAACGGTAATGGAAATACAGGAATATTTGTTAACTGATGTGGTGTTGTTACATTAAAATAAAACTGTATAGATTTGCATGGTTAAATAATACTGGTCCATAAAGAAGTAAAAAAAAAGTATAGTACAATTCTAAATAAACTAATTTTAAAACTTTCTAAGAAAAGTTTCATCTTTTTTCCCCCTTTTTCAGATTGGCTTAATTGTAACCAAGAGTAAAAGAGCTGAAAAAATGACAGAACTCTCAGGTAGGGAGGTAGTAATTTTTTCTTAAATTGGAGATGTTTTTATTGTTTTCATTGATGTTATAACTTTGACCTTRTACACTGCTGAAAATAAAGCTATATTATGATTATGTTTAATTTAAAAGATAAATTATTGCAAGTTATCTGAAATCATAGTCTTTRCTTTGGTCTGTTTTGATCCAGAATTGTCATTGTGTGCTTGTTTGTGATCAAGTCTTGACAAGAATGMAGCTCAAATATGTTGTTTCCCTTGCAGTTAATTTTCTACCCTGTKTGTTAATTTTGCATGTTACAACATYRGTCAGKTTTGTGAGATCTGAYCAGGTCTTAAGAAGTCAAGGTTTGTTTGGTTCCTGCCTCGTGTTACACCGTATCTGTGGCTTCAGCAGGCTTCATTGAGGAAAYTGAGGATCATTCAATCTTTGAACTGTACTTTGAGGGTAACAGGGGAAACTGAACTTTTCTTCTGTTTGTGAGACACGTTTCACTCTTGTTGAGCTCTTAATGATACCCAACAGTGATTTTTTTTTTTTTGGCTTTTCAAAGTTTCTAACAACTGAGTGCCTATGGAGTAAATGTCCATCTTTCTGTTTTTAGTATCTTGATCAAGACATCAATTTCTAAGGCAAAATACAGACCAGTCTCAGTTTGAAAGCTGTTGTTGTACAAGTACATGTCATYAAGTATGCAGTTTAAATATTTCAGTTCCTTAACTTGTTGTGTCAATTAAATTTGATTTTTTTTTTCACTTACAGGAAACTCAAAAAAGCATGTGACTGCTTTGAAGAAAGCAGTGGATATGACCTGCAGTGGAGAGCCTTCTCTATATAATTCCCTGAATTTGGCCATGCAGACTTTAAAGTTAGTATATACAKGGAAGGTGTTTGTTTTCTTTGTGCCTATGAATTTTTTGAGAGGCAGGGACAGAATTTTTTAAGTAGCATTTTGCATCATGCTGACTTGAGTCTTTAAAAGGCAATTTTATGTCCCTTTACAGTACAAACTGTTGAGTTAAATATGTTAGTAGTACAGAAGTGTATTTTCTAGCACACTTGCATTTAGAGATATGCTTCTTATAAAATATTAATAGCATTTTAAAACCAAGTTGATGATGGTATGTAGATATTGTGGTGAAAGACACTGCAGTTCTATTTTACTGGAGGGCTAAGGTACGAGAGAGGACAGATTTAGGGGTTAGTAATGGTGAAAGAACAGGAAAAGAAACAGCATTGTGTCACAATAATCATGTGAGAGTTTGGGTATACTTCAGAAACATTCATTTTCAGGTAGGATAGATTCAAAACAATTGTCTGCTGTGTGAGGTATTGAGATGTATCCCAGTTTGTGGAAGACGAATGAAGAATTASAGCTAAAAACACTGACAACACAAAGCTAATAATCAATTTTGTGAAAAACAGTTCTAATTACTAGCTGGAAGAAGGTTTTCAACTGAGAACTAAAAGTAGTTAAAAGTAATGGATTTACACTCTAGAAACTGATTAGAGATTTTTATTTTAGGAAGTCAGGAAGACTTACTACAGTGTTACTAGTTTGAAGGTGAATTTTACCTATGAATGTAGGTAAGGTACAAAGGAATAAAGGTAACAAACAGGTAACAATTAAATAATTAAATACTGTATTTTAGATAGGGGAAAGATTTGAATTTCAGAAGGTGAAAATCTGGTGCTCAGACAAGGATCTTAAAAACAATTTGTAGAGGACTTCGTATCATGTCATCTTCTGACTTCAATGTGTTAAGGTCCTTGGGGATGCTATTGTACAAACAGCTTGCTATGCAGAAGTAATTAACTATTTGCTTTCCTTAGGCACATGCCAGGACATACAAGCAGAGAGGTTTTGGTAGTCCTCAGCAGTCTGACGACATGTGATCCAGCCAACATCTATGATCTAATTAAGGTACAGAATTGAAGTTTGATTACTGCATTGAATGTCCAAGCTACTGGAGGAAAAAGAGGAAGTTGCAGTGTCATTGCCAATTAATTTTAACTTAAAAATTTAAACCTTTTTACTGTATCTTGTTCTGTACATTAATTTGAGTATGCTTTTTTTTTCTGTTTGAAGTGTTTAAAAGCAGTGAAGATCAGGGTATCTGTCATTGGCTTAAGTGCTGAAGTTCGMGTTTGTACAGTACTTGCCCGAGAAACTGGTGGTATGTATCTGAAATTCAGTGTTATATTACTAACACAGGTTTAAAATCAAAATTCAGTAAGTAATTTGCTATATTCATTACTGCATTTTGATATTTAAGGATGAATATTTTCTATTGTGCTGGTAGAAGATAAAAGGGTTTTCCAAATCTACAAAATACACAGCAGTAAGTGAAATTATTATCAGCTGGTAGCTTCAGCTCTAGAGAAAAGAAATATATATCTTTTCAAACCTTTTGTTCCACGTATAAAGCTATGTGAGGTGGAACTTAATCAGTRTAACATGTTAATATCAATTGTTGCAGTGGTAAGTCTTACAGTRTCATTASTACTGTGTAATGTTGGAGAAAAAGCTCTGTGCCTTCATATCTAATTTAGCATTCTTTTATTACTAATTTTAAAACTTGTCATTTTCAGTAGCATTAACAGGATTGCTCTTTAGGAACAGGTTTGGATAAATTGTTTTTTCTCCCTAAGTTGTTTTCTGTCATTTGGAGTACACATTTGTATTCTTTTTGCTCAKAACCTCATAGTAAGGCATTTCTTTSTTTGTGACAGGAACATACCACGTTATTTTAGATGAAACWCATTATAAGGAGCTGCTGATGCACCATGTTAGTCCTCCACCTGCCAGTTCGAGTTCTGAGTGCTCCCTTATTCGAATGGGTAAGATATGGTTTTGTCAAACTCCTAGCATGAGATTTGCTGTGTCTTTTTCTTTCTTTGCATCTTCTGTGTTAAAACGATACAAATAGSAAGAAGCATCATAAAGACATTGTCCAATTTTTTTTTTAATTTTAACTTTCATTTTGCTAAATAAGTGTCAGTTTTCTTGATGTTGTTCCTGAAAGTAGTCAGATTTTAAATAAAACTAAYTAAGACAAATTGCTGAACAAAAATTGGAAACAATGAAGTGGATCTATATTGATTGTACAGTAATCATTATAAATGTAATGCTTAGAAATGAAGGATGAAAACTATTTTGTTTTTCCTTCTGCTTTTTTTCCCTGCAGAAGGCAACTGTTCTAACTACTAAATTATTTTAAGAGCCATATGTAGTGCACATTCATTAGGAGCACTACTGCAGTGTTCTTTCAACAAGTAGATGAGGTACCTTTTCTTTTCCTGATGTGTTTCTCAATAAATTTAAACTTGGAGTTAAACCGGAATAGGAACTCCAATGCCACAATGTAGAGCACTGAGTTCTCACTTTCATCCACCCTGTTCATAGAAAAGAATGTATGTATTTTTATGTCTRTCTATAGATATTGAAGAGATTTAATTGTCATAGGTAAAGCCTGAAGAGCAGTTGGCAAAACCAACTTCTTACCTGTCCTGATCTGTAAAAAATAAATAGTAGAAAGAAAGATACTAGTCTCCATAAAGTGCYGTAGTCTCCTCTGTCATATACTGCACTTGGAAGGTGAATATAGGCTTAATGGATATATATAAAAATATTTTTCCCTCAATTAGAAAACATTGTTTAAGTGAAAATTTGTGTGGTACTTATTCTGCTTTCCTACCATTGCACATAATTTTCTTTATATCTGTTCTTCAAAAATGGGGTTCCAGTGAGCTTCAGTTAACACAAAGCCTATGAAAAGAAATTTTTTTGAGTTGGAGGGAAGTAAAGTCAGGGATGTGTGAATGTGTGAATGTAGGTAGAGAACTTCGGGAAGAATTTGATATGTAGCAAGAGTGCATCAGTTCTCCTGTAATGACAAACAAATGGGAAAGAGATAGGCCTTAATGTCTTGAATAGTCTTTGAACTTCTTCACTGAAGTCAGAAACTGAAACGTTACTTGCATGTTTAAAATGGTTAATAGGGGATGCTTTTCTCTTTAGGTTTTCCTCAGCATACTATTGCTTCTCTATCTGATCAAGATGCAAAGCCCTCCTTTAGCATGGCGTAAGTAGCCTTGTTAGAATTCAATGAGCTGATAAGAATTCAATACTAATTAGTGATAATTAGAAAATCTGCTAGTGATAGTACAACAAAATAATACGAAAAAAATAGTAAGCCATGTTTTGGCACTTCCCAAAAAAAGATTTATTTTCATTTGTAGAATCAGTATGTGGTCATAGTTACTTCTGTTAAATATGTGTTTTGAAATTTGCATTAAAGTTTTTTTGAAGATAGTACATGGTACTTAGTTCTGTTATACGATGATTGCTTGGGTGCTACAAGGTATTAAAGTAATTACTGCCACTGTTACTTGCAATTCTTGATTTAAGTACTATTACAGAAGATAATTTTGAGGATAGAAGGGTATTATCTGAATAAATTACTTTTTATTTATTTCTTAATATGACTTTAAAGGGCAGTTTAAAATTGAGGCCTCATTTGATAACTGTACCAGTGCAGTTTTCAACGAAAAGAAGCAGTTTTCAGGGGTGATAGGGTAGTTTGAATTTCAAAAGGAAACAGTGTCTAACAGTGTGTGCTATTTGAAAGAGTAAGTACTGCGTACATCTTAAAGTCCRTATAGAATAGTTTTGTGTCTAAGAAGAAACAGCATTGCAGTTTTATCTTTATCTTTAAAGTTGCATAGGGTCCTTTATGTGGGAACATTTGGTCTCTCTTCTCTTCCTGTGGGAAAATGTGTTAAATGTGTTAATGGTATCTCACCATATCACTTGTTTTCTGACGCAGTTTAAACCATTGCATGTAATCTACTGAAACAATTTTAATTACTTGTTGTCAAAACAACATTATTTGTAGTTACATAGTAGCATGGTAGTATCTATTAGATACTAAATTGTTTCTTTCTGCTGCAGGCAATTGGAAAATAACAATGACCCGGGTCTCACGCTGGGGGGATATTTTTGTCCTCAATGCAGAGCCAAATACTCTGAGCTTCCTGTGGAATGCAAAATCTGTGGTAAGTAGCAAGAAAAGGTGAACGGATGAATCAGGAGTTTGTGGTAAGAGAGTTAAGACACAGAAAAATTCAGCTGTACTTAGGAATTAAAAGCCAGCTCTGCTTTAAGAGTTTTGCATTTCTGTGACTTAGGATGTCAATTTCATACAAAGGATTTTCAGGACTGTACCTGTAACAGTAAAGCTGTGTCATATTCCTTGGTATAATGTTATAAACTAAAAGCCCTAAAGTGGGCAAAGTGGGGAAGAGGGGTGATTCACATGGGAATGGTAACTTTTCAAGAATCYTTATTTAACTAGATACAGCCATGTTTCAGACTCCTCTGTGCAAGGCTRTGGAAATAGAGTGCCTTGGAGTAAGAGAATGGAAGTACAGTCTCACCTCCAGGAATATGTGGATGAAAGATTTCCAAGTTGAACCCAAGGGCAGGCTGTACAATGACACATGACAGGCTGCAAATACTGATGGACTGTGCAACCAATTATGCCTCCCCCCATTGCCCTTAGTGAGGGTGGGAGGGAGGATTAATGTGGTTTATAGTATTAATAGTGTGAGGGAGTGCTGTTCTCCTAGCTTCTACAGGCGTATGACTAAAATATGATACCTGTTACTAGGATGTGTTTATTTGATAAGAGCATGAAATAATTATAGTTTTGGGTCACTTTATCRTAGTTTAATTTCAAGTTTTTCCGACCAGCATGAGTTTCGTTCCAGCAAGGGAATAGTGTAACTGGAGAAATMCTGTGTATCAGCAGTAGATTCTCCACAGCTGCAGTGATCAGCAGAACAACAGCTTGGAAATTTACATTATGTGTGAGTGAGCAATGGAGATCTTTGTGCCAGCCAATGCCCCAGCTAACCTGTTCTCATGGTCTAACCCCAGCTGGAAACTCAGCCCCACACACCCAACCAAACATTCCCCAYTGTTGGAATGGGGGAGAGAATCATGGAAGTGAGAAAACGTAAGTGTTGTGTTAAAGGGAGTTTAATAATTGCAGCAAAAGTGATGCATGCAAGCCAAGCAAAGTCATTCATTCATTCACCACTTCCCATCAGCAGAATCTCCAGGAGGGCAGGGTTCCATCACAAGTAACAGTCACTTGAGAAAGCAAATGCCGTCACCCTGAGCAGTCTCCCCTTTTCACCTTGTCCACCCAGGTTTATAGGCTGAGCATGATGCTATATGGTGTAGGATATCCTTTTGTTCTGTTGGAGCACTGTTGACTGCAGTCCTTACTGTGTCCCTCCCYGTGCCTTGGGCACCCCGAGCCTAATCGTTGGTGGAGTGAGAAAGAGAAAGGGCCTTGATTCTGTGTAAGCACTGCTCAGCAGTAAAGAAAACATTCCTGCTCTATCAATCCTGTTTCCAGCACTGATCCAAAACACAGCCACATGCTAGTTAGTGTGACAAAAATTAACTGTTTTAAGCCCAGCAGACCTGTGTTAGCTGAAATGGGGCTATGGTGTAATATATGTAGTATAGCAGGCTGTAGCAGAACTTTGTAATGGGACATGATTTTTACTGATGGTGTGATACTGCAGAACTGTCATTGCCAAAAGGAGCTTCTTGATTTCACCACTGTGGATTGTAAATGTATTTCTTAAGACCAAGTTCAACCTTTTCAGCAGAAATTTGAGCAATTTGCTTGTTCTTTATATTTGGATTTAAAACTGGAAAAGATTACAGGTTTGGCTAATGGAACAAATAATTTTTTTTAACGCTTAGAAGCTCTCAACCACTGAGTAATTAAAAGTACTGATATTCCTTTTTACTTATTTGATACAGAAAAGCTTTTCAGTAAATCCTCCCTTGTAACAATTTTGATGTCTCTTTATTTGCAGGTCTTACATTAGTGTCTGCACCTCACTTGGCTCGGTCTTATCATCACTTGTTTCCTTTAGATGCCTTTCAGGAAGTTCCACTGGAAGAATACAAAGGGGAACGGTATGCAAATAATGTTTGTGATAATCAGTGTACTTGTGGACCTGTAACTTTTTTGTCACATAAGTAAGAATAGCTGGCAACAGCTTCTTTGCTGCTGGAGACCCTGAATGTTTGGGTGGTGTTTGGCACCTCTGGCATTAAGAAATAATTGTAGTTTCTGTGATCTGTGAGTTCAGTTGAATAGCTGAAATAATTGCCACAAACTGTTACTATGAATGAGATCTTTTTTAAACACTGATTTACTGTCTGCTTTTTTCAGTTAAAATACATAATTTTGCCTTTAGGTATTGTCAAGGCTGCCAGGGAGAAATAAAAGATCAAAATGTAAGTATGTTGAATGGCACTGTAATTTGCATTGAGGTATATGAGAAATGGAGATTTCTCATATACCTCAGAGATCCTTTAGTGTTGTTTTCTAAAAATCAGAAGAATATTAGTGGAAATTTATGTCATGGTTAACCAGAGCTCTGTGTTAAAACAGTCACAGTTTATAGACTGCAAATTCTAAAAGTGTGGGGAGGGGTTTCCTAGTGAGCTTCAAAAAAAAACCTTCCACTCTCAGCCATTTGGAAGCATCTAGAGTGACCTGAGCTCAGCCCTGGATATACTTCTGTCAGAAGCTTTAATTCAATTGAGTTTCTGTGATGCCAACAGTATAGCCTTTGCTAGTCTATAGTCTTGATGACATAACTGTTGCCCTACTGTAGTGCTATGTTGATGGTAATTTTTGCTAATTTGACTTATCTTTCTATCCTTCCCATACAGGTGTACATATGCAAAGTGTGTCAGAACACATTTTGTGTGGAATGTGATCTGTTTATYCATGACTCACTGCACTGCTGTCCTGGCTGTATTCATGAGCATCCTGCTCCTGTATCTGTATGATGTCATATATTTTTTAAAATGTATCTTTGTCATTCTTGCATGAATTTGTTTATTCAGCCATTGTCTTAACTGACACGTCTCTGAAAAAGAAGATAATTAGAGGATTGAAMAATGGAATAGGTGCAAACTTTAATGATTAATGATTTTGTTATTGTTAATATATTCTTGCATTATCTGTATCTATTTTCCTTGTTCTTGTCTAAAGAGCTATGGGTTTTTCCACCTGTTATTATAATAAGGTGTATATTTGTAAATTTGAAAGTGATAAAACTGGTTTTTATGATAATATGGTGATTTGTCTTGGTTTCGTTACTTGTTCAGAATGAAGCCCTGGAAATACAYTTTATACATCTATTGTTAGAAACTTTCGGTTTTGGTGGATGGTGAATTTCTGCAGATCAAAATACTATCTTGCACGAATTTAACGACCATGGTTTTGAGCAATAAATTGGTGGACATTTTGTATATTAATTTCAGGTATTTTAAGTATTCACCTTGGCCTTTAGTAAGGAAGTACAGCTGTTATAACTGTGCTGAAAACACATTTTAGGTTTTCATGGTGCTTTAACTCAAAGCTAATTGAGTTCTATTATTGCTGTGCCTGGAACTGTGTGGTTTAAGTTTTTTAACAATACTTTCTTGTAGGAGGGTGACGTTGCTGAAAGGCAAAACAGACTTGCAAAAGGGCGGGACCTGAGTTAATACAAACTATTGTTTCATGGACTCAGTGTTGAAGAACTGATCTTTGGTTCTGAGGCTACATTGAATTGGCAGAACTGTACATCATCTTCTCTCCTTGACTAAACCCCTAGAGCAACAGACAGTGAGGTGGGTGGAGAAGAAGTGTCTGTCCTTACCTGAACTTTGAAGAATAGAAATTGAGACAAATGAAACACCGCCATTCTGCAGTGTCTGKTCAAAGTTGTTTGGAACTTGAACCAGTGAGAATTGTCATGTCCTACCCCTCAGTAAGAGGACGTTACAGGTGCAGTGTCTGAAGCTGGAAATCACATTGGGTTTTCTAACATCACCTTCTGATGATTGTAAATACATTAGTGACTCGGTTCACTCTGTGTGTATATGACTTAATTTTTAAAATGGTGAGCCTTGTTGTCAGATTGGAAATGGCAATATATAACAACTGAATATTAAAGCAGAAACAAGCAAAAAACCCAGACCCCTCCTCTTACATGAATTCTCTTTCTCATGCTCACCACATACAAACAAAGCAGGCTACTTTTCAGTACTTAGAGGCAGTTCTCATTCAATTGTTAGTACTGTGCCTGCAGGCTGGATAGAGTGCAGTCATTCTCTAGTTTTGGCAGAAAACTATTCAGCATCTGCATCTCATTTTGTGCTGTGTCAAACAATCCCTATAAACCCTTTGTGCTGTCACATGGTTGCAGTGCCTGTTACTATGAGGCTGTCCTAAAAACTAGCAGAGAAAGGACATAGAACATTTGTTGAGGTSTAGCAGGGCATTCCAAGCCAAACTAATTCTCTGAGCATCTGGCTTTTACATTTTCTGATGCTAGTGACATCCTCTTGAAACTGTTTTCTGGTAATATTTTCATCTTTGCAATCAGTATTTTCTAATGGAGAAAAGGGTAGTTGTCAGAACACTTCAAATCCTTCTTTTGCTAGATACCAAAATAATATAGTCCTACGCAGCTTCTATTTCTGGAAGTAAAAACTTATAAATTTATTTATATATATATATATATATATATATATATATATATATATAATTTTTATATATCTGTATATGTAATTTTAATATACTCCATTATCATCTTGTGGTCACAGCAATAATTTGATTTGTACTTTCCTACCCTTCTCATTGGAAAAACAGTTCAAACTGACTCCTGAAAAAACACTACTAGGGAAATATTTCTCTGTTGTATAGACTTTCATCTGTATCCTGTGTATTTGAAGCAGCATGAAGGAAATTWCCCCCCTCATTCTCTTTGACTGGGATTCACTGGCTCTCAAGTCTCTTTTGCTTCTCTTTGCTCCAGCTTTCTTAATTATCATTTATTTCCTTATTTACTTAACTTGTCAATCATCGAGGTTATTAGGAGGGCTGTGACAAAGTCTTATCCTTCTTGAAGATGTTGCATGAAACGTTTTGGACTTAAAACATTAAAGGAAGAGACAAAATGACTAAAACATTGTCTGGTGGGGTTGAGGATGCAACTGTGGCAAGATTGAGACTAGAGAGTGTGCTGCCATGTGGAGGGGAGAGGGTTTCAGAAAGGCAAGTGTCCACCCTTCCTATTTACTTTTTTTTGCAGGAATGAAAATTGCCATCTGTAATAACACTCMCAGCTAATTTCCAGGATTGTAAATGTTGAGAATATATTAATTAAAATATGAGTAGCAGAGGACCCCACACTGGAGTAGGTGGATGCCTGAAGGAGGCTGTGACCCTGTGGAAMGTCCAGAGTGTAGCAGGCTCTGTGGCCTTCCTGGAGCAATTTGCTGGCAGAACTTGTGAACTTGTGAGGGACTTATGCTGGAGCACCCTGCTCCTTAAGGACTGCACCCTGTGGAAGAGATCTGCACTGGAGCAGCTCTTTAAGACTGCAGTCCTTGGGAAAGACCCACATTGGATAAGTCCATGGAGGACAGTCTCCCATGTGAGGAACCCCATGCTGGAGCTTGGGAAAAGTGTGATGAGTCCTCCCCTAAAGGGGAAGAAGCAGTAGAAACATGATGAATTGATCACAGCCCCTATTTTTCTGCCATAATGGGGGAAGGAGGTAGAGAAAGTTGTGAGTTAAATACATAAAGAAGRGAGGGGTGGAAAGAACATGTTTTAAAATACATGTTTCTTTCTCATTAACCTACTCCAATCTGGCAAATTAATTCCCCCAATTCAAGTGTGTTTTGCCCAACAGTAATGATGAAGAATTATTTCCCTGTCTTAATTTTGACCCACAAGCTTTTCATTGTGTTTCCTCTCTCTTGTGTAGCTGAGGAGGGCCGTGGTAGAGCAGCTTTGGTGKGCACCTGTCRTCTAGCAAGGGTTAACCCACCACAATAATTTTTCAAAATATAGTAGGACTAGAAGACTTTTATAACTATCATAGCACTTTTTGTCTTGGGATTTGTATGAGAGGGGAATGTGACTTCTACAGCCAGTAAAAAAAAATAAAACCAACCAATTGGAGATTCTGGATTTAGAATCACTTTCTAAAGAATGAATTTGTTTGGTAAACATCATAAATCTTTAAGATCCCTCATTTACTTGAGAAAACAAAGCAAAGCTCTTTGGAGGTATAGGGAGCAGAATTTGAATACAAATAGCTGAACTTTGGACATGTCTGCTATGTTCTGAAGCATTGCAGAGCAAAATATTTTCAATCCTTGTCTTGCCACAATACTAGTAACAATGTAACAGAAGTGTATGTTTTGCCTCCTGTTTTTTTCCTAATCTAAGCAGAAATCCATAATGTGCTGTCAACATTCAGTAATGGCTTTGAGATGGAAGAGTTGAGATTGAGATGCATATTGGCTCACTGAGGTGATTTGAGGTTTTTAAGCTAGAGGATGAAGTTCTTAAAATTTGTTAATCACTTATGTCATCTTGCTCTCATATCTTTTCTTTCCCTCCATTTTGGTTGTAACACCTTCTGAATACTTGCTACTGTCATTGTAAAGGCAGTAGTCAATTGGAATTCACAGAAATTTCAAATTGGCTAGTCAGATTTAATAATAGACTTAYATGATCTCTACAGTTACCTTATCTCTTCTTGGTAAGCTAAAATGAAGTTTGTCAAACCTGTATAAACCATGTCATTAAGGCAAGAGAGGTGATGATGAATGTTATCTAAAAAATGTAATTTTGTAGTCTTCCTTGTTTTTTCAAAAAAATGCCAAAAAGACAAATKACAAATATGTGAGCTGAATCTTTCTCCTTTGCATTGATTTCACATGTAGTCTTCGATTTTCACAAGTTTGGAAAATACATGGCGATGGAACTCCAGGAAGTCCATGAACAACTGCAGAAGAGTTAAAACCCTTCATGAGAAATGAGTACAATAGATTGAAGTTCTTTTTGTCCTATACATCTGATTCATCGTGGTCTTTGACAGAAACAGCCAACTGTTGATTTTTTCCTCATCCTTGTTCAATCCCATGGGCAGTGTTTTTGCTGTGAGTTTGTTTTGTTTACTGTGAAGGATAGCTTTACCCCACAAGAACAACACAAGAAATTCTGTCCCCCTTGTGAATTTGTCATGGGAAAAAATATGGGTAGCATTTAAAAGTATGACATAATGTTCAGAAGTTGAAGAACCCAGCAGAGTATACTTACAGGTACAGTGGGGAGGATGCAAGGCTGTGTCCTTTGACARATAGCTGTTCTATGCCGGAGGAACAAATCTCGATTTACTTGCCAGAGCTGGATTTTTCTTCACAGGGAATTGAAAGCAAAGCTGAGAGGGATCATTTATTTATAAAATGGCACAAGTCTGTTTACAGTACCTTAATGAGTATACTGTTTTATTTTCATGCTGCTCAWCATTTTGCAATGCATTGTATCCTCCATAAATTCTTCCCCACGATGAAGAATATAGGCAACTCAATTGGTCCTCAGACAAAAACTGTTCTATATTTTTTATTATTCTTGCTGTGGTTGTATGCCTTTTCCTGTTATATTTTTTTTTTTTTTGAGTTGAGGGGACTTCAAATGTACTGTTTAAGATGTGGGTCAACTGTGGGTTTTTACAGTGACATATTTTTTCTGCTTATCTGTCTGTAACAGGTGCTGAGAGATCTGATGTCTCTTCCTCTATTCCAGGGGTGCAGACTGCTCTTTAACAAGAAGCAGTATGTTTTCCCCACTGAGCCATAATTGCTTTGATTTTGGATCTCTCTTCTGCTATATGCCTTCCCCCGTCTGATTTAGACAATAGGAATCTCCCTGAATTCTTCTGCAGTAGACATGAATAAAATTATTTCAGAGAGTGTCACTTCAAGTCCTCTGCAGTTACATTGTAAACCCCTTCCATGGTTTTTACAGCCTGGTTAGCAGTTGGGTCTGCCAGATTTTTTCACTGGTTTTTAATTCCTGTTACTTGGAAGAAGATTTATATTAGCCTAGCTATCCTCAGACATTTTATTTTTCACCCAGCCTGTCTGATTTTATTTTAYCCACTTAGTTTGCCAGAGGTTTTGAGCTTTTCGTTTTCTTTGTTTAAAAAGCTTCAGCTTTTGAATGATGCTTTCTGTCATGGGCAGAATGGGAGCTTCGGATTAAGTTTATTACAGAGACCTGTCCATTGAGATAGGAGGTGCAGGAAGGACTTGCTTACCCTTTGAATTCCTCCTAAGAGAGGAGTCCAGGCGTGGCTGAAGCCACTTCCAGCCCCAGATTTTGTTTTGTTTCCTGTAAGCCTGAGATGTTGGCAATCCAGTTCTGTCCCTGCTCTAGAGAATGTGGTAGCAGGCCTAAGGTTTCCAAATTAATCAAGTTTCTTTGACTGCAAAGGTGATCTCACCTTGAGCATGAAGTTTGACCAGACCCTTTTAAAATGGGGCTTGCAGTAGAATGAAGCTGGCATCCATGTGGATGCCACTACTCTTATGAAAGCCACATTTTTTTAYGCAAGCTTGACCCAAGCTGGTTAGCTATATGAACACAAGACAAGAAAAAGATCCATTTTTCAATGCAGGTGCAACAGAGTTTCAGGATAGTCTTGGTGCCTACCTAAAATCTTCTGTTGACTTTCAGTCAGGAGAGTAATGCAGCTGAAAAATTAGAATTACTTTTGCAAAAGCTGTAACAAGGAAATTGAAATTAAATGATCCTGGCCTGAGGGGAAAGCTAAAGCAACGAGTGGCAAGGAGGATATGTTTTTAGAAAGGAGAAAGCATTTATCTGTGCATTTGTGTATTTATTTGTCTGGACTTACTAAGAGAGTAACACTGAATCCAGTCTCACAAAGCAGCTGTGATGGAAGGGCGTGTGTTCATGTCCCTCTGAGAGGGAAGAGCAAAATGAGATGAATAGCTGTCCTGAAATAGAGAATCAAAGCCAAACACTGTCCTCCTGCAAAAAAAGACAGGTTTATAGGGAACAGGGGAAGGTTGAAAAAGATTGCATTTTGAGAAGGGAGGATTACCCTTTATTTCCTCCCTGTCCCCTCCTCCCTTTCCTGTGGGTGCGTTGTGTTTGTCAACATGGAAAATTCCTTCTATCTCTAGAGTACTCATGAGACGGCTTACACCCTCTCTGGAGATGTAGTTTGCCTTTTCTGTTGATGACCTTTATAAGCTAGAGTTACAGAATGAACAATAACAGCAGGGTCAAACCTGAGGAAGGGAAGCAGATAATAACCTATTGCCCAGAATCTAAATTTTAATGGATTCTTTTACTTGGATCTGCTGCTGTCACTCAAGGGCACAATATTTAGGAARTACATACTTGTTTATTCTTCAACAGGAAAGGCAATTTTCTCTCTGCATTTAGTTGCTCTTCTTAACCTAAAGGAGCTCATCCTTCCAGCAATGAAGCAAGTAGGCAGCCAAACTSTTTAGCAGTGCCTACACCTGCAGCACCTCAGATGATTCCCACATATCCTGTGACTGCACAATGATAGCCTGTTAGAAACAGGTGAGTTTAAAGGAGAGAATTTCAAGTGAAATAATGTGTCTGAGTAGAGAAGACATTGCTTCAGGATAAATCAATCTTCTGTCTGTATACTTTACAATTGCAAATTGTAATTTTTCAAGGGTATTATTTGTTCCTGTTTTTTTCAAAACACAGCCCAAAATATGTCCTGCTTCTCAAGGAGTATTCAGCCTGCTTATATATTAGATTTTGCTGAGACCTCTATTGAAATGCCTTTTTATTTCCCCATCTACAAAGCAATAGAAATCACAAGAAAAATATGCAGTGGAAATATAGACTGACTTAAGATAGAGCTTCTTAACTTTGTTCCTTACATTCCTTAGCTGTTAAAACTTATTTATAAAATGGTTTTTGAATGCAATTACTTTCTAGTATAGTCTTAAAACTACTATGTAATACATAGGCTAGGGAAAAGGTCTTTTTCTGTAAGCAAATGCCAAGTCTGTCATATCATCTTCATTTTTGACATACGCTTCAGTACATATAGTGACTTAATTACAGGAGTCACATCCTGTAAATAAGGTAACCATAAGACAAGGCTGGAGAGAAGATGTGGTTGTACACAGGCTGAAGAGATTGTTACACTCAGTATCTTCATCTGTGCAGAGCTGATCTGATGTCTGACTTCAAGTGGCTGCACAAGTGGATGTTGTATTTGCTTTGTTCTCTAAGAGAGGTGTTTGAACACTTGTAAACACACTGGTATCTTATTCTATTAGGCATTAATATGCCTACTAGAGTATATTTTATCAATCTCCTCAGTCTGAGGTAAGAGTTCAAAGTTCCACTGTTTTTCAACCTAGCATGAACAAATTTATTTTTAATGCATCATACCTCAGCTTCCCTTTTTATTTGCTCATGTTTYATATGGCTTTGGAGCATCTTTAAGTCCTTACTGATGTCTGTGTACTTTTGCTGCTGTGAAAGTAGCAACTGTGGAGGTTTCCAGACRCTCGAAAAGCTCTGCTAGTAAATCACTATGTTGCAGAAACTTCTCTAGAATATTTGATAATGTGTCTGCTTTAGAAGAACAGGGCATTATCTCTATGTTCACACATCAGATTGCAGCTAAGGCAGCTGTAAAGGTGGCTTTTCATCACTGTGTTTCTCAATTGCTGATCCAGTGACCGTAGCAAGGGTGGGATAGCTCCTCGACACAGGAGCCCTTAAAATGTGTGGTATCATGAAGCACTCCTAGTGCAGGTGTTTTATATTACCTTGGCAATGAGTWTTGCCCCTTTCACCAATTTTTCAAGCCTAGAAAAGTTTGAAAGTGTTGGGTTTTAGGTTTTTCTTTTCCCTCTTCTTGTATTATTAATTATACACCTTGACTGCAAATAAACATTGTCCTGGTTCCAGCCACGACAGGGTTAATTTTTTCAGAAGCCAGGAGAGGAAATGTCTAGGATGCCAAGATTATCCAGTACTCCCTCACATCTTTGCTGGGGATGGGTGAACGAACCCTTCCACGTCACGTACCCTGGCAGTGGTCAGCTGTTGTGGGGAGTTCTTGGTGTGGTGAGCAATCATGTGTGAATTGTTGGCCTCTTTCTTGTATACCCTTCTATTAATATTCAGTTGTTTTGCTTRCAATTAGATCAGTTACAAGACCTACTTGTGAAATAAAAATCAAAAACCCCTTTATTGAAGTCAGGATTGCAGTAAAATTATCGTATGCTACATTTTGCTAGTGCTAAAAACTAATAAAGGCCACTTTCTGTAACAATGCCAGACACCAAAACGGCTGATTGAGGCAGAGGGCAGTTCTGCCTCTTCAGCAATCTGAAAAGATGATTTAGAAGCTTTGCCTCACTGCAATAAATTTTAATTTACTTCACTTAGACAATTAAAAAAAAAAAGGCTTCAAAGTAGCTTGGGTAATTAATTTATGGTTAAGTCTTTTTATGTTACTTGTGGGAAAACTAACTGACACATGACCACAGTAGGGAAAGGAAGTGAAGGCAGTAAAGTTCATGCCTGTATTTTGATGAAAAGAAAACCACTGGCATTAAGTAAATTACTGCCTAGTTTTATGGCTATAGCCTCTATTAAGAGTAGMATTGTAGAGTAAGGTTTCAGCCCTTATAGTGCATGGCTGAATTTATCTCCATACTTACCATTACCTTTCCACAGGATTTCCCTAATTYGCTTTCCATCATGGCACTCAGAAAAAGGCCACACAGTAAGATTTTTTGGTGTATTCCAGCTGATCATCCAGTTGAGAGCGGCCGATGGAAGCTTAAAAACACCCCAAAACAAACCACATCTCTAAATTCAAAGTTTAAAAAGTATTTTATTCACAGATTTGAAACAAGACAATAGCTTGCCTGAAACCATCTGTCATATTTCATTATTCTAATCAGACCTGTAAGATGTTCATTTTACTATGACAGTACATGTTTTCCATGTCAGTGCCACCAGCACACACATTGCTGCCACAGCTCTCTCCTGAAAGAGGATACCATAATCAATAGTTCTGGTGCTGTCATTCAGACAAAAAGTCTGAGGAACGCAAGAAAYGTTGAGAGAGAAATGAAATCTAATACATGGGTTCAAAAGAGTTAAATCTATCAGAAGACTTGAAATTGCCTCAGGGAAGTAAAAAATATTTTGTTGCTGCAGTGCTTGCAAAATACATTTGACTAGAGGTCTAAGAAATAGTTCATTTCAATGCACATTTAATTACTACTCTGAAGTTATTTTTTTATTAACAGGGACAGCTCAGTGTTAAGAAAATGTTATGACTAATGGTCTTGATAAAATTCAGCTCTTCACCACCAACCACCAATGCATAAGTGATATACAGTTCTCAGGGGAAAAGATTTGTACCTGGCTTAAAAAAAGAAGCAAAAATTAGTATGAAAGAGCTTTTTGTTTTTAAACACACAAAGAATTACTCAACTGCACAGAAATTACATGTTATCAGAGAAAATCAGAAAACAATTCCCCAGGAGAATAGTTTTGTTTTATAAGGAAGTGAATAACATATTGGAGAATTCTGAACAAAGCATTTCAAATAAAAGCATGAGTACTGAAGTACTGAGAACAGAACTGCTTGTACTGAATTTAGCTACAACTCACCATCCCATCTGTGTAAGGAAACACAATGAAAAAACTGCATTTCACTTACAACCTTTTGTTCCCAAAATAGCCCACTATGAACCATTAATAATTCAAATAGTCCGCACTGATGTAGACAGATGCTGTAGTTAAAACTCTCATCAGAGCAATAAATACTTTCCTTCATTCTAGCCACGAAAATACAATTCCACAGCCCCTAAGCAAAGGAGGGATTAGTGCTGGCAGAAGCAGTCTTTACAGAGAGCCGGAAGAGTGGAAGAAAGTCCCATAGCCAAGGGGTTTTTGAAAGGAGTTCAGAACTTGACAGTATCTTCATTTACCACAAAGCTGCAATACTTACAGTCTTTCAGAACAACGATGAATGTTCAGTTATTTTGCATGCGTTTGTCTCTCTGATGCTGCTTCCATTCGGCTTTGTTTTAAACCCTACAGGATACAATTTGGTAAAATCTTGGTTTTGCCAACATGAAAATAAAAGCTTTTCGCATAACAAAARTATTTCTGGACAACCTTTTTCAGTCCTCTACAAGTCATGAATAGCTTTTTACTCTCTTTGGAAATCAGAAAATGGGCAGTTTAGAAAGGACAAAAGCCAAACTRCATGTCTTCTTTCAAATGAGAGGCTATACAGAATAATTCCTAATATATATTTCTTTTTCAATTGAAAGTAAATTAAAGCAATCCATAATTATATATATCTGAGACACCAAATGCTCCCTTTCCAAATTCCTCAGTGCAAAGTGTTCATTGCATCATCTGCTTTCTTCGTAAGTGTGCAGAAGAAAATGTAATCACTAAAAGTCGCAGGTTTTCCCAATTATGCTGACAGCTTTTACTGGGCCTTCACAATGACATGAAACAATTACTGATTAATAATCTCTGCAAAAATGTCAAATGTGATCTTAAATGTGATACTACCACTGCTACTGAAACAAAATACATAGAAGACTATTGAAAAATAAACATATTTACTCCAGACAGAATTGGTTGTTTTAGGATGGCTATAAAACAGTGGCTCTAGAAGTACCTGACGAGACCCCTCCAGTGGAATAAAATACTAAAATGGCATATATATATATATATATATATGTATGTATGTATGTATGTATGTATCTGTGTGTGTGTGTGTGTGTGTATATATGAGTGTATATGTATATATATGCATGTGCTGGCTCATGAAAATTCTACTCCATGACAATATTTATACAATACAAAACACCCATATAGGTAGCAATCGAAAATTAGAGCAAAAAAAAAAGGAGCCCTCCCTATCTAACCTCTTGCTGCAGGAGCACCAACAGCAGTGCAGGATTACTAAGACACCTCAAAACCACAGCAGCACGTACCAGGTAATATCCAGTGTGGTAACCGCTCATGTACCAGGCTATCAACATGCTCCCCAATGCTTCGTCATCCTCAGCAGAGTCTGGCCTCATGGGTGGTGGAGGAGGAGGAATCAACTAGGAAATGAAAAAAGAAATGTCTGTGTTTCAACAGGGTCTGTCCAGGTTAGAGAGCAGAGCAACCAATTCTACAAGATTAAAATATAAAGCTGAAAAATAGGAACATATCTGAAATGTGTTTTCTAAAAAGGAGTCAAAGGATATGTTGTTTTTGGAACTCATGTGATTTCCAAAGACTGGGAAAAACAAGACTCCTGTAGCTTAACTGTACACAGAAAGTGTTATTAGGGGCAAGTATCCACAGTGAAATGCTGTTGATATGAAGTRTAGTCTCTTCAAACAATCTTCCCCTTGATGTTCTTACCAACAGCTTCACTGTCACAGATATGAGTGAAGGTCAGATCTTGTACCTTGGATTATCTCAATATTTGTAACTGAATGTTTAACAAATACGTGAAAAATACAGACAAAACAAATGTGTTCTAAAAACACAGATAGCGAGCACATTCAGTGCAAAAACTTGAAATCACCAATACTTATCTCTGTTGTCCTCCCCATTCCACTCACCGGTGGTCCTGCTGGRAAGGGTGGGGGCCAGCAAGATAAAAATGATGGAGGTGGCTTGAATTTTGATCCAGGCTACATGGGAAAAAAAAGTGGAACAACAAAAAGGGAATTTTTGGTATTAGGATTTTACTTAAGAGAATTATGTGGAACAATTCACACACCTTAAACAACAGACAACAACCCCCAGCAATTAAATGAAAATATACCCAGTAGCTGTTTCTGTAGCACACTCCATAACTTGAGTACAGTACAACTTAGATTACTTGTGTCACTCAGGTAAACACTACTGRAACAGGGTTCTGGTTAATAACAGCATTTTTTAAGTTTTCCTAAGTGGAAATCAGTGGTTACACACTAAAAAAGGAAGAAACACGTCAAATAATTACACAGGCAAACATGATTTCTATGGTCCCGTGTGGCTTGAGCAAAAGTTGACTAAATTCCATTATGCTGGTCAATGTCTTTAAATAAAGATCTTAGATACAAAACTACAGATATGAAAGAAAAAGAAGATAAAATATTATAAAGTGATTTTGAAAAACAGTAGTACTTAGAAAACATAATGCTGAGTTCAACTGCACTATTACTTAGACTCCTACACAACAGGAAAACTGAAAGATGTATCAACAYCCCATTCACTCCTAATTCAAAAGAGAAGCTACAAATCAAAAGAGAGGCTCCACAACATTTGGACATCACTTTCAATGCCTTCAAAGTCCTGTGAAGTGAAATCTTAGTACAGCAACAGCACCATCATTAACTACACCACTAGAATCCAGGAAGGATACCCCACTTTTGAGTTACAAGGCAACTGGAAAACAAGTGTTAGCTAAGGAGCAGAAGGTTCTCCTCACTGGACAGCAGCACTGCAGAAGGGCTATGCTATGGCCAGATTATTAGAAAATGGCAGACCAACTGATATTAACATGCATATCTGTACATCTATTCTCAAAATGCTGTTAATTAAATTCTAGGCAATGGTAAGTACCACCAAATTGTGTCAAGATTCAGTTATACCAGGCTTAACAAGGGTATATGAATTATTTCAATCAAGGTTAAGCTTACCCTTCCTAGGCCTGGGATTGGTGGTGGTGGTGGTGGTGTGGGAAATYGTAGGTTTTGAGGGGAGAATCTTGCTTTTGTGCAGTTATTTTTGTTTCGGGGTGACTGGAAAGATTTTTCACTTTCATCTGTTGAATATGGAGTCTCATTCTCATTCTAGAAGACCAAGACATTTTTATGAAATACACTGAACAGGAATTACAATAAACAATTTTAATATGAAAAAACTTTGAAATTACCAGTCACATCCTTCCCTCTCTCTAGCCCTCCCAGTCCTCCTGGATTCTTCCCAGTTATCCAAGGAGTAACTTTACCTGCWCACCATTTTAGCTATGTTATCTTTCACTGGTGAATTTCTTGTCCCCACCCTTTCTTYCATGCTGAGCTCAAGAGGTAAAGGGATGCTTTCATTCCCTCCATCAGCTTGTGTCTGTTTACAGCAGAATTGTGTATTGCTTCTCTCTCTGAACAACAGCAGTGCCACCAGACATACTAAAGGAAGCTCATTCTCCCACTTTCCCATTTCATTATCAAAGAATGAAAAAGTCCCTCACCTCCCCAGAATGCCCCATCCCATTTACTGTTTCATCGCTGGTTGGAGGAAGTAGATCAGACAGGTTCTGCTCCTCCTGATTTCCATATCCCGTGTAAGTGACAATACACGTGCCTCTCTTCTGGTTGATGGAGGCAATAGTGGCTAGGTATAAATTACCATCCTCAGACCAAACAGCATTGCAGCTGTCACCAACCTTCCACTGCAATAAGAAGCAAGAGAATCGTGTAAGTATCTATACCAGCAGTCAGACAGAAGGTGCCCTTTCCTAAAATACTGTTTGTTCAGAAACATGGATSCCACCTACAGTGTTTTCTTAGTATGTAGTGAAATTCCTCTGTGTAACCTAAAAATAATGGTTATAGCATTATCACCCCAGACACTCCCACAAAATGTTACTTTCAAGGTGATGAAGCAGCTGCTTCTGAGTACCGAAATACAATATACAGTACGAGCACCACTGGCATGTACGTGTGAGGCAACCTGTTTCAAAGGCGGTGTGCTGCTCTTCTTTCTATTTCTGTTCTTTTTATGGTTTTTCCTCTTTATCACCAGGCGCTGCTCCTGCTTGTCTGAAGGCTCCGAGCCCTCCCCATTTTTCAAGGCATTCTTCGGGAAGAGAAAGGAGAAAACCAATAAATACCAACCCAGCGGGCTCAGCTCCAGGATCCGGCCACGGCCGCGCCGATCCCCCCTTACCTTGAAGGAGGCCACCGCCTTGTCGTACGCCTTGATGAGGGCCGTGTCGTCCCAGATGTCCGAGTCGTCGCTCTGCGGAGGGCACAGACCCCTTAGCGCCATGGCAAGGCCCCGCTCCCGTTCCCGCTCCCGTTCCCGTTCCCGCTCCCGCTCCCGTTCCCGTTCCCGTTCCCGCTCCCGCCGTTCCCACCTGCCCGGTGCCGCGCCGGAACAGCACCGCGTCCGCCATGGCCGCGCGCCGCTGCGCACGCGCCGAGCCGCGAGCCCGCCCCGCCGCCCGGAAGAGGCGTGGCCAGCGCGCGGGCCCGCCCGGATGCRCCGGGGCTGCCCCCGCGGGAATTGGCGGGGCGGGATCAGCCACACCGATGACCGGGGACAGCCAGCGGCTGCGTCCAGTGCCAGCCTCCTCAGTACAAGAAAGACCAGGAGCTACTGGAAAGGCTCCAACAAAGGGTCGCAAAGATGATTTGGGGTCTGGAGCGTYTCTCGTAGGAGGAGAGACTGCGGGAGCTGAGCCTGTTCAGTCCAGAGGAGAGAAGACTGAGAGGGGATCTCATCAATACATATAAATAGTCYCTAAGGGGGTCCCTAGAGGATGGTGCCAGATTCTTTTCAGTGGTGCCCCAGTGACAAGATGAGGCCATAAACTGTAACRCAAGAAGTTCCCACCTCAGCATGACAAAGAACTTCTTTACGTTCATAGTGGCAGAGCACTTAAACAGGCTGTCCAGGGACATCAGGAGYCTCCCTCCCTGTAGACGTTCAAACCCCAGCGGGGCACGTTCCTGTATCATCTGCTCCAGGTGAGCCTGCATTGGCAAGGGACTTGTACTGGATGATCTCTACAGGTSCCTTCCARCACTAACAATTCTGTGATTCTGTGAATTTGCCTAATTTCTCACCAGCTGCACGTGAGAAACATTTTCTTTGTTGCTGCAGCACCAGCAACATTTTCCGTTCATAGCCYTCCTCAAGCTGTGCCAGCTTATCGATAAATGGCTGCACGTAGACTAAACAGAGCTTACACAAGCAAAGGCCTCAAGGCTGTCTCCAACTGAAAACAGTTGCTGAGGAACACATCCAGTGCAGCCAGCACCGGATCCAGCTGCAGTGGYAGCCCAAGGSAAGAGGCCATGAACTGCCGACCCTTTGCACAGCAAAGGGCACAGGGACCTGTGGCACCAGCCAGGGAACTGAAACAAGAGCAGGAGCCAAGGACCCACGCTTACACTGTGATGCTATGAATGCCCAAAAGTTTCTTTGTTCAGGGTCCCTCCTCAGAGGCACCAGCTGGAGCTGCTATTCTTTTATTTAGTTATTGCACCAACATTGAATATTAAGGTCGGGATGTCTGAGATTCTGCWATGGTAAACCTGAGGTTGAGCTAGTAAGCAATCCTGGCTTGGCTGTGTCAATGTGGTGAGTGTAGCTGTGAGGCAGCTTCAATCCCAGCTCAGGTGGTGCCAATGTGACTGCCAGAGYGGCTCGTGGATGGTCAGACAGGAAAACTTCCTTAATAGTTTTCCCTGGTCAGTACACAACACTCTCAAGCATGCCTGTGAAGCAAGGGCTGAGGTTTCTCATGCTAGCTTTTATTCCTGAGGCAGGGTTAAGCAGTGATTTCAAACCATTTTAGTGGTGTAACAATTTCAACATTTGTTTACATTGCAACTCATTAACATCAARCCTGCAGCTTTTTTAAGTCAGCACTAGACTCGGTCAGTTTTGTACACCAACAAGGTCTACAACTCAACAAGCATCTTTCCCAATAGGGCAGATTTACGCTGCATGTGATATTGCTTATAATACACACTTCTTATAAATTTTGCTTATACTTTATATTACACTTACATTCCTGTACTGCATTTGTCCACAACMCTATCCATTCCTTGTGTTCTTGGTAAGTTCTTAGAAATCAACTAATTATCAAGCATAACCATTTCAGATCAGTAAGTATTTCATGCAACATTTTATTGTAAAAATATTTTAAGATGAGATTTACAGTTAAGACCTCTGCAAGGTTAAGCACATTTTACAAGTGTGTTCCATTCTGAATGAAGCAGTACTTTCGAGAATTCAGACAACCAAATCTGGTCTAACTGTAGATTCAGAAATTCTATTACTGGAACCACTAAGTAAAACTAACAGTTGCAGCAAAAGCTAAAATAAAGCTATTGCTTGGTACTTTTATTCATACACATGCAGAAGAGTGTAGTCATTTCTGAAAGAGCACTCCAGACAACTAGGCCTATAGTAACCAGAAAATACTCTAACTAATGCTACTTGAACAACTCTGCACGATAAACGTTTAATCATTTAATGGCCAGACACTTTTATGAATGTTCTTCTAGGTCCTTCTGCTTCATCAGSGCAATCTATCTTCTCCATAGTGGCAGCTCATTTTGCTCCTGCTTGCAGAGACTTCCTTTCATTAGCTGCTTTTTGCTTTTGCTGCATGATTTCAGAGTCTCTGTGARGAAAAAAAAATTTGGATATCAGATACTAGCTCATGATACTTCTAAGGGYTCCCCCCACCTTGCTTTAGTAATCACCACTGGAAGAAAAAAAAAAGATGAGTAGAAATTTTTCAGTCATGAGCACACTGTTTCTATTACCCTCTGTTTTTTTAGTGCATGCATTACCCCACTGAAGCAGGCATTTTACTTATTAGTAGAACTCATACCATTCTTTCAGTTTTGGAAGTAAAGGACATAATGGATGAAACATCATCAAGAACGTATTACATAAYCTTTCCCTGCTTGTTGTAGGCAAAAAGCTGCTCAAAAAAAACATAAAAAGCTTTACGGTACTGAGAAAAAATAAATCTCTTTAACAATGATACAATAAAATTTCATCCATGGTTTATGCTCTGGCAAGTGATTGGACAATGAATCAAAACTAAGTATTCAAATACCCTGTCAGCTAAAACACTGGATTCTTTCTTTCCCCCCTCTTTTCTGACTAAACATTTACTCAGCTTTACTAGATCTTACCTCTGTTTCCTCTGAGAAGCAGACAAGCTATCCTCTTTCCTTTTGCCTTTGTGGATCTCCTGAGTTTTCTTCAGGTTCTTTTGGCGGGCAAGTTCACGCTGATTCCCACCTGCAAGATAATATACAGTTAAACAAGTACTACCACTTGTTTTTTTTCCACATAGTCTGCCTGGGTAAAAGTGTATTACAGAAGTGGTACAGTTAGGTGGTCTGTAGAGTTGGTATGGTCGTATCTTCTACGATCATCTCCTCTTCCAGTGCACAACAGRAGAAATTAAAGCCTCTTAGTTGTCACATTTACAATTCTATAGGTCATGTTCAAAAGATGACTGAAGTTCTAATACTCCTTACAGAACCAAAATGCAGTTTAGCATAATAGACTGAAGGAAGATCACTGCACCAATAGGCTAGGCAAGAGGAATCATCCACTCTCAGATTCCAGCACCCAATATAGCTTACAAATTCATTTCAAACTGAAAGAACAGCATTAAAATTGCTTACATTCAAATACTTTTGAAGAGGTGACCTCAGAAGACTATTCTAATTTGAAATCAAGTGCAGTACTTAAATATGGGCCTTAGCAGCTGGTTGACATTACTTTCAACAAAAGTGAGAAGAGTAAAATTATTTATATATAAAGACACAAAACCAGATTGCATTCCTAGCTTGTTGGTAGTCCTGGGGAAAGCTATCTCTTTGATCACACGAAGTTTCTGCGGGCATGACACCAAAACTATCAGCTCTCTGTCTAAGTACTTGGGGTCTTCCAGGCACAGACACCACGACAGCAAACTCTTTTGCATCTTTCGTCAGTATTCTCTTCCTTARTTCTAATTTGCTCCAACCTCCCAGAACTGGTTCACTGGCTTGGTACTACTTCTTGGTCTACTTCTTTTGGACTGAGCTTGTTCCAGATATGCTAGCCATAATCATGTGTGCTGTTGAGCAAACATGACCATCTTCTTTTATACTCAAAAACGACAATTCTATCTCTCCATAATTTCTGTTGTGTCTCTTTTCAGTCTCTCTACAGTCTTAAGACTGCCTATGCCATCTTCGAGTCTCAAAGCCAGAGATCTCAATCCACAGGTGCCTGTAATTTCTGGTGTATGAAAGCAGTTTAGGACTAGGTCACTKTTAAAGAACAGCCTACTCATATGATCAGCACTTCATGCCCACACCATTTCTGAGCTGACAAAGGTAGCTGCCATGTCAACAAGTAGACAAAAGCAACCCTGCAGATGCAGGGATTTGTGCATGTTTCACAACAGTATATGGACTGCATCATAAGACATGCTGGAAGCTCAAGTGAAAACAGCCCTTATGACTGCTGCTTCCCAAGGGCTGCTCCTGCCTTGGAAGGTATTTTTCATCTGTGACAGGGCATTAAGTACTGCCTTTTTCAAAAACAAAAGACCTTCTACTTATCGCCCTCATTAGCATCTTGTCCCTAAAGTCCATTGAGAAGAAGGGCAGCTTGTTCATTTTGTTCAGAAATGAAATAAACCAGCTGTCCCTGGCAGTACTAGTGTTGATTAGAACTTGATGACTCATAAACAGATGACACATTCCAGGCCATAAATGGTTCCTGCGTTCTGTGGTGCTCAGGAGGCAAGAACATTATACAAACGACTGGGCAGCAATGAAAGAGCTCTTCTATGGTGCTTAAAAAAGAATAAAATTCTTTTATCATGAAGAAAACAGAGAGGAAGTAAAAAAACATTGCTAAAACCAGAATTACTCCCACCCCAAACCTCACAGATTTCCTTAAAGAGCAAATACACTCCACCCTTAACCTCAGCTTCTTCCTTATTTTCCAAGCAAACACTGAGCATTGGCTCTGCASAGTTTTTCCATACAGATGGTAAGGTTTAAAGTTTAGGAATAAAACTCAGTTGCATCACTGAGAAGTGTCTGGAACAACTAAGCAGAGCAAGTACAAAAGCTGAGCAATACAAAATGCACACAAAGCACAGAGTACGAAACAACTGTCTGAAGAGAAACTTATGCGTACCGTCCCTGCTTCCAAGTAAATATTACCAAGGACTATTGGGTCCCATTGCTTCACCTGGGATGAGTATCCCTACCTTCAAGGGAACCAGTGGTATTTTCTACATTCTATAGTAACAACATAAATCTTTCATGAAACAGAAGAAATTTCAGCTTCCTGCAATTCAAGCATGAACAGCCACAAAAAGACCAGTAGACCCTTTCTGTTTATACACCTTTGTGCATTTTTCCTCAAGCATYCCCATCCTAGCCTGCCTGTGCAAGATACACATCGTAGTTCAACCTATCCTTGCTCTTCCAACTCCAGAAAAAAAACAAACCAAACAACAAAAATCCTAAAAGTGCCTCTTGATCATGTTCTGGGCACAAACTGTTTACCGTCCAAATCTTCAGCTGCACTTCAGCAGCACTGTGGCCTCGCAATTGCATATTTTATAGCTGAAAGTAAAAGCCCAGCCTCAAAACTGTGCATTTTTTCGGGTGAATGTGAAAGCACAACCTCAGTTAAACATAACGAGTTTCTGTACTGCCTAGCTCAATACGCAGAAGCCACAGGAGCAATCCCATCAGTCATGGAAGCCGGAGCATCCTGGGTTCCCTTCACAGTTCTCCGCCATTTTACATGAACCCTGCTGTTCGTCAGCATTGAACACGGTGATAATTTACAAAGTACTCTTGCCCTTTTAACAGCCTCATCAACCACAAGTTAAGCGGCACGGCATTCAACACTCAGCACAGATATAAAAGTCCTTTATTTCCAGTCTGGGCGGCAGCCGGAACTGAAATGCAGTGCGGCTGTTGGTCCTGCCGCTCGTCACCTTAACTCCCCACAGCCGTCCCGCCAGCACTGCTACGCCAGAAGGCGGAGAATATTTTCGCCTTCAGCCTCGGACGGCGGCAGGACGTGGGAAGAAGCCTGATCCCCATGCACTCACCACTGGCGGGATTTCACCGGCAGGACGCTACATGCGCCATTAGCGGCAGCGGCCCCACACGACGGCCGGCCCCGGTAGGACTCTCAGCCGGGCTACCCTCGGTGTCGGGCCCATGCCTGGAGCCGACCAGGAGGGCGGGCCGAGTCCTGCTGCCCCACTTCGCTACCCGACAGGCCCCGAAGCAGCTCCCCCGTTACTCACGGGTCATGGCGAGACGCTGAGGCCGCGCAGCGCCGCTACAGCCGGCGAGCACCGTTCCGCTGCCACCACAGGAGCCGCTCAAGGCCCCGCCCACCGCCGCCGCCCCTTATGGTAGCTCCGGCCGCTGACGTCACGGCACCGCGCGGGCCCAGCCCAATCAGCGGGCTGAGCGCCGCCGACCGCCTGCCGCGTGAGGGCGGGAGACCCGCGGGGGTGCAGCGCTGCGTCTGCCCGGGCCCGGGTGTGACGGAGAAATGGGGGTGGGTTTGGTGTAATAGCGGGGCTCGGGGGCGAAGCGGGCGCCTGAAGAGCTGCTCAGAGGCGGCTGAACTAAAGCGGATGAGGAGCTGCTGGGGCTTTACAGGCGGCTCCGGCGTCACGCACCGCCCTGCACTGACTCCCCCTCCCGCTCCGCCTCTCCTGTCCGGCGCATGCTGATGACGTCGTGGGGCGCGCCGCCGGGGCGGCACGGCGTGAGCCGGCCGGGCTCGCGGCATTACCGGGCCGTCGCCGCGTGCTGCTGACGCCGCCGAGCTCGCGGGGGGGCGGGAGCGCGGGCGCGCGCTTCTCCCGGCGCCACCGCCATGTTCCGGCGGGCCCGTCTCACCGTGCGGCCCAATGTGCGGCCCCCGGGCAGGGCCGCCGCCMCCGACACCGGCGCTGGCGGGGCGGACCCGGAGCCGCTGGAACCCCTGGGCTCGGGAACCCCGGCGGCGGACAGAGCAGGGACCGCGGCGGGATCGGCGGACGCGCGGCGAGCAGAGAGGTAAGTCCCGCCGAACTCACCCTGGCGGGGCAGTGTCCGGGCCGCTGCCGCCACCGGGCCTCGGGTTCCCGGGAACGGGATGGGCCTGTGCAGGGCCGGACCTGGCGCATACCGGGAGGTTGTCGTGTCCTGTTAGTCTTTGGTTGTCAGTGCCGTGGTTGAGGCTGGCTCGTCCTGAAGACCTGAAAGACGCGTGCGGTCGGTGCCCGGTGACAGCGCGTACGTGCTTTTCAGACAAGGACTTGTGGGTGCTTGATGAGTTCGCAGCCTAAGCTGAACCCGCGTTTGTTCACTGCGGACGTGCAGCAGGTGCTTGGAATAACATTGGAATGGGCTGCCAAGGGAGTGTTGGAGTCACCGTCCTTAGAGAAAGGCTGGACACGGCATTTAGCGTCTGGTTGATAAGTTGGTGTTGGGTCATAGGTTGTACTCGACGATCCTGAGGTCTTTCCCAATCTAATTGATTCTATAAGTTAAGAGCGCAAAGGAGGGCCCACTGCGGTTCGATGCTCTTTTTTTTTTTTTTTTCTGGCTCCACAGCAGCCAGGAGCCCTGATTCGCTGTGCTCAGCAAAAAAATTCTTTGCGTTCTATAACCAGATGAGTTTGATTTTGCATTCCTACAGAACTTTTTTATGTGCGTTCACTTCTTCATGCATTGTAATTTCTGTCTTTTTGTGGGTTTTTTTGCGTGTYTCGTTTTTAAATTGCTTTTTATTGGAATGGAAGCACATGGCAAAGTTTGGCTTAGGACCAGTCCTTGSGAACCTCCCTGTCTGGATAAAGCCCGGCTGGTCGCTAAAACCTCTGCAGTTTATTGGTTGCTTCTCCACACCCCTGCCGTTCTGAGCCTCCTGGGATGGGCAGGAAATCAAAACGGCAAAAGAGCAAGGAAAGGTGTGTCAAGATAGAGGCAGTTTAGTAGATAAAGACATAGATAAGCRAAGCAAAATTGGGAATTCATTCACCGCTTCCCATCATCAGGCACCTGTTTTGCTGCCTGCTGGAACAAAGAGATCCGTGACTCGTAACAGTTACTTGAGAAGAAAAATGCCATAACTCCAAATGTCCTCTTTCTTCCTTCTTCCCCCAGCTTTTACTGAGGAGCAGGCTACCATGGGTGGGGATACTATTTRGTTGTTTGAGATCAGCTGTCCTGGCTGCATCCCCTCCCAGCTTTTTGCCCATCCCCAGTGTGGTCAGTCGTGGGCCAGTGTGAGAAAGATCCTGGTGCTACGTAATCATTGCTCAGCATTAGGTGAAAACATGGAGGTGCTATCAACGCTATTGTGTCACAAATCTGAAACAGCACTGCATAAGCTACTTGTGAAGGGATTTAACTCTGTCCCTACCAAAATCAGTACAGAGCAGTTTTTCAGGATATTTCCTTAATCTGATAATTGTTCTTCAGAACAATGTTCACACTACTTCTGTRTATTTGGGTTTGCATCTGTTATTAATACCTCTATTCTTTTAGTTGAAGCTTGTCGCTTATGACAGTATGATGAAGCAGTCATGGATTCTTCTGTTTCTGTGGCTAGAAATTCAGGTATCAGACTAGTTGACATGGCATGTCTTTAGGAAACCCATGCTGCCTTTTATTCAACTTGTATTTTACATATTTACTTGTTTTAAGGATGTAATTCTTTCWAGTATTATTTATAAAATTTGTATGCTACAGTGATCTCCTTACTGGATCTTTTGCTGTCTGATTTTTTATAAATGAAGACATTTTTACTATTTTTCTGTTTATTATTTTACTATTTGGATGGTACTGTTGCTTATTCAGCAGATTTGTTTAAAGCTTTTGTGTTTGTAATTTAACAGGTGCATCAGTGTAACGTAATTATAAGTTTCAAAACTAAATATCGGTACCATTCTGAAAGGCACTCTGATACGTTATCGTGGCCTAAAAAATAGACCTTTACCATACAACCTTCCAATGGGGTAGCCCACCTAGCTGACCAAGAGAAGCTAGTTGATGTAATCTTTTTGGATTTCAGTAAAGCTTTTGATACTGGCTCTCACAGTATTCTTCCTTCTGGGCAAAATATCTAGCACATAGCTGTATYAATACATCATAGGATGGTTGAGCACCTGGATCACAGGTCAGGCACAAAGGGTTACAGTGAATGGCGTGAYATCAGACTGGCTACCTGTCAGTAATGGAGTTCCACAGGGCTTCATGCTCAGCYCTGTGCTCTTCAACATCTTCATAAATGACTTGGACACAGAATTCAAAGATATATTAAGTAAGGTTGTCAGTGATACAAAATGGGAGGACCTTTTGACTCCTTGGAGGATAGGGAGGCCATGCAGAGAGATCTCAACAAATTAAAGGACTGGCCAATCATCAGCCATATGAGGTTYAAAAAGGGAAAGAATCCTGGTTTCTGTACCTGGGATAGGGCAACCCTGAATGTGTGGTCAGACTGGGAAGCAAGAGGCTGGAGAGAAGCTCCATGGAAAGGCATTTGGGATTCCTGGTCCATGGCAAGTTAAATATGGGCCAGCAGTGCTCTGGCAGTCAGGAGGGCCACCCGTGTCCTGGGGGGGCATCGGGCCAGCCAGGCAAGGGAGGGGATTGCCCCACCCCACTCTGCTCCGCACTGGGGCGGCCCCACTTCGAGAGCTGGGGACAGTTCTGGGTGACACAACATAAAGAAGATATTGAGCTGTTAGAGAGCGTCCGAAGGAGGGACTTGAAGATGGTGAAGGGCCTTGAGGGGAAGCTGTGTGAGGAGGGGCTGAGGTCACTTGGTCTGTTCAGCCTGGAGGAGACCGAGTAGAGACCTCATTGCAGTTACAACTTCTTCGTGAGGGGGTGTGGAGGGGCAGACACTGATCTCTTCACTCACAGCTACTCAAGTCTGTGTCTGTAGCATCAGTCACTTGACACTGTTTTATTTTCAATATACTGAATAAGTTTTGTTAATTATGAGGGAAGTGAAAATTTTAGAAGTGTAAGATAATTCTGATTTTTAATAGACTTGCTGTTAAATTGTATTTAACTGTTTAGAAGTCCAGTGTTACACTCTGATTAAAAACTTCAGAGAACACAGGTGGTATGGAGAAGGCAAATTAAATACTTTCCACCAGCCCCTGCTGTACAAAGAACAGTTAATGTTGAGTGGAATGTGCAAGGTTCTCCTTCAAAAACAAATAGGCACCATGTAATAGGCACTCTCAACTCTTTGCCCAGGGATGTTGTGTGTTAAAAATGTCTGAGGTCTTTCCCAATCTAATTGATTCTGTAAGTTAAGAGTCCAAAGGAGGGCCCACTGCTATTCCACGCTCCTTTTTTTCTGGCTCCGCAGCAGCCAGGAGCCCTGATTTGCTGTGCTCAGCAAAGAAAATCTTTGTGCTCTATAACCAGATGAGTTTGATTTTACATTCCGACAGAACTTTCTTGTGTGCATTCACTTCTTCATGCATTGTAATTTCTGTCTTTTTGTGGGTGGTTTTTTTGCATGTTTTGTTTTTAAATTTAAATTTAAATTGTATGAATTCAAGGTGTGGGGTGAATTGATTCAGACATTCAGAGGCTGCTAAATGCAAACACAATCATTTACAGCATTTGCCTGAATCACAGACAGTAGCTGGAGAGAATTTTGAAAAAATCACTCAATGTTTATACTTTTTAAATATTCCTTGAAAACCATTTGCTTCTGACCATTTAAAAAATGTGTAAATGAACTATGGGTGTGGTCGTCCTTGTGTACAGAAAAAAGGCATAGTTCCAACTTAAAACTGAAAAAAACCCTTTATGACTCAGTTATAATTAAACTGCGGTCTTACTGTGAGCCATGAAGGCGAACACTGGAGGAGTCAGCAGATTTGGGACGATCATAATGGGTGGCAATTATACTTGCACTTTGAAAATTATTTCTGTGTAAGTGATAATATAAGTACTTACACAGCAAAGTTTTCCAGGTAAACTAAGAGTTGTTGATTAGTTAAGTGTGAGCAGCAATTTGACTGTCAAAGTTTTTCTGGAAGTCACATATCATCTGCTTGCAAATGTATAAGAGGAATGTTCACGTTTATTATAATAAAAGTCATCAGACTACTTGTTATATACAGCTTTGTTAAAATGTTTTTCATATGTTACCTATGTTTTGAGGGTAATTTTTTATAAAGCTTTATGATATTGGTATTTTCAGCTGAAAAGAGAGATCCTTCCAAAAAAAGTATGGCAAGATAGGAAAGCATTACTGTTACAAGCTTATTGACTGGTAATTAATATTAAAAAATAATATGCCATTTCTTATAGCTGATTATTTTATGTGGAAGTACCAGCTACAGGTTGGTCCTAGCATGACTTGTTCTGTGTTAATGCTTTCCTGTAGCATGATGTTTATACAGATTGGCCCATACATGCACCTTGAAAGTAAGAGTAACAAATTTGACACTGTAAAGTACTTCAGAATACTCTCTTAAATTTTCCAGCGATGACAAGGCTGATAATTCAAAGAATGCTGGGGAAGCTAGTAAACCTGCGGAGATGCTTACACAGAGAAGAAAACGTATCTCCACCATGCCAAATATTGTCAAACCCAGAGCTGGACCATCATCTGCTCAATGTTCTGCACCAAAACTGCAGAGGMGAACATTACAGGTTTCTGATGGTGGTGCTTCACTTCAGAAGGATCCTTCCCCACCAGAAAAGAGTAATGTTGAAAGTTCTGTGAAGTCTCCCATGCTTCCTGAGAAGAAAACACCTGTGCCACAAGTGCCACAGTTTTCACCACTAAAAAAATCTGTGAGCAAAGAGCAAACTGTTGGTGTAGCTGCTCAGAAAAATGATGATAGCTTGCAGAAGAATGTACCCTCTCCACTCAAGGAGAGACCAACGCAGGAAAGATCACGAACACAGGAGGAAAAGCTACCTGAAAAACCTTCTCCTGAGAAAGTCAAGCGAATATGTTCTGACCGTGAAAGGATCCTCAAAGCTCGGAAGTTAAGAGAAATGCTTAAAGAAGAGCTGAAGAAAGAGCGGATGGTAAGGCCTGTGTGTTGAGTATTGCTGATCTGTGAAGGGCAAGACGTGATTCACCTTGCATACATTACCTCTTTGCAGTAGTGTTTTCTGATGATCATCAGCTGCTCACTGCCAGTAGTCTGTCATACCTCATAAATCTCTCTGTGTTTATTCTGTTTGTTAGCAGTAGCAGCGCTTTGTTCCCTCAAAATACAGATTTCATRAGGAATTTTGTATCTTTTTACTTGGTTAGATCCATGAGTCTTTTTGAGATGACACCGTGACTATTTTATAGTCAGCATTCCAATTTTGAAAGTTTCACAGTTGGTCATACAGCAGGGAAATGTGCTGCAAGAAGCTTTTATTTGGCGTGTCTCATATTTTTTCAAGTTGATCATTTTCAGAGTTCCATAACTTTGAGTAACTTTTAACTTGTGCCAGGTATTGAATGCCTCTGAAAGSATAAGTGGATTAAGGGTCTATAATGCCCTCTCTGAGAAAGGAACACCTTTAAGATARTTTTGTTTTAGTTCTTGGGAGTGGTGTGTGTGTGAGAACAACAAAATTCCATGAATGGGGTACTTTATAAACAAACCAATAATAATTTGTGAAATGTAAAATACTTTTAGGGTGAATCGAAGTGTTTGTTGTTTTCTTTTGTTTAATTTTGTTTTGGAAGAAGTTGAAACACAGGCCTCCAGTAATTGAAGGACGTTCTCCACCAGATCGTTCTAAAATGACCATGAGAGACTTGATATACTATCTGCCAGAAAACAATCCTATGAAGTAAGTATGGCCTTTTTTTCTCTCTCCTTTGGTTAAATTATTTTTTGGCCTTCAYAATCCTTAAATACTGTGTTGTTGCAGTGGTAACAAAAGCTTCTAGACATTTTCACATCTGTTTAATTCTAGTACAAAGTGAGAATGGAGCTTAGTGTAGTTGTTGAAATACACAAAGRTGAACCTGTCTCCAGTGTTGATTTATGTCTGCGGAAATACAGAATAGTAGATTTTTTTTTCAGCTGCCTGCTGTGAGGCTGTTAGTCATGTTATAATTGCGTGTCAGATCTAGTGGACTCAGGAAGTTAAGCATTTCTCCTAGGAGCTGAAGTGCAAAATGCACTGCAAGACCTGTGAGGTCTTTACATTCAATGTGCGTGGATGTAGCTGCTGCTGTTCCACTGTTTCACCAATAGCAAGGCTGAGGTGCATACAGGGAACACCAATGCAGCTGGCTGCAGACTGCTACAGGCAAAGGCAAGCAGGGCCTTTTTCCTGCAACTACCAAAAGCAATCACATGAACACAACTACAGTTATCCAAGTCCTGTTCTCTTAGTAGCAGATGAATTTTCTAGTATTGTCTGTTATCACCTGCTTGTTAATGTTTGTGTGCTCATGTGTTTTATTTATCACTTCCCTTGTTTTTTCTTTTACATTGAGTAGTCCCTAAGGAGGTAACAAGCAAGATGCTCTCACGTTCCTTTTATCCTTAGAATGGATCTCTGCTTGAAATATCTTTTCTCGTCTTGCTTGTACAAAAAATGGCAAAATTCATTTAGTAGTAGTGGTTGTGTAGTTAAGACTTAAATCTAGATGTGTTACAAAGAATTGAAATAAAAAAGCTTTGTGTTTCTTTGTCTATTGTCCACTAAAAGACAGTGTTATAGAATAATGCAGAAATGTGTCTGTACGAACAATCATCTAGCCTTTCATGAAATTCTAGGTCTTCATTGGCAGAAGAAAAGAGAACAGAAAAAACTTCTGCACTGAGTCAAATGAAAGAGTAAGTCTTGAAGATGAAGCMTAGTCAAAAGTTTCTGGTGTAAAAAAGCTGTTTCTGTGATAACGCTAACAGTGATGGTATTTTTTTAGTGTTTCAGTAACAGCCATATTTCTAAAAATTGTAATTTGGGTGGGTGGGATGGTTAAAGAGTATTTCATTTTCAAGGTTGTGTTTTTGCATATTTCCATTTTATGGAAATATGGAATGATAAGCAGGTTTGAGATTTCACTTATTGACTAATTGCTTAATGCGTTGCATTGCTGGGTGTTCATCAATTTGTTGTATGTTGAGCACAGTGAGCAGCAATTCAAAACACTTATTAAGATAAGTGTTACTAAAATAAAAACAGTATTTTGCTTATGCTCTTAAAAATTGTAGGCCGGAAGAGAGAAGTACTCCTGATCATGAAGAAGAGGAGGAGGAAGAAGAAGAGAATGGGGAAGAGAGTCAGGATGGCCCACTTCTTGTTCCTCGTGTGAAAGTAGCAGAAGATGGTACAATCATTCTGGATGAAGAAAGGTAACAGATTCTGTGCCTGACTCATGGAAAGTACTGCATTGCAACTTAGTCTCTGGATAGAGAATGGTACTACTTTGGCCTGGGAAGAGCGTCAATGTATTTATGTTTGAGAATTGAGCTACTCTGGCTTAGGAAACAGTGCAAGTATGTGGCAAAATATGAGCAGCAATAATCTGCATCTCTGTAGTGACATACTTTATCAGAAATGCTTTCGGGGAAGAAGGTAGAGAGGATTGTGGCATATTTTATTACAGTGAATGAACACTAAAGATTTGTCAAACTTGCAGATGTCTTCTATTTAGATAACCTTTTTGGTTCTCACAGTTAACATGTATCTGCTTACTATTACTTGTTTATTTGAATTTGCTCCAGCTCTGCATGTTGCTGCTTTGTTCTTCTGTCAGAGTTTTCAGTAACTTTACTTAGAATTTGACTTTTAAGATTATAAAATTTCAGAGTTCCACAAAGGTATTACTAATGTGAGGTTTAAGCCGAGGTTTAAGGATAAAGCAGGCCTGGCTTTAAAAAAAGTTTGTAAGTATTCTAGAAGGATATTGAGAAGTTCTTGCGGTTTTGCAAAATAGWTTTCTCAAATGTTAAAAAGTGGGTTTTTTTTTTTTTTTGTTTTRAGTCTRCTGAATTACATCTGCCTGTACTATATGTTAGAAAACAGAAAAAGTAAATAGTCACACAGGCTAAATAGGGTAGTGATTTCTTGTTGCATTCTCCCATTAAAGTACATTAGTGTAATTATTAAACTTAACTACACAGTAGGAATGCTCACTTGTGGCAAAAAATTTGAGCTGTATTGTAAACATTTACTATGTGTTTTCTTAGCAATATTTTCAGATAAGTCTTTTTGTGTGTCTACTTTCCTAGCTTAACTGTAGAAGTTCTAAGAACTAAAGGTCCATGTGTTGTAGAAGAAAATGATCCCATCTTTGAACGTGGCTCTACAACTACATATTCTAGCTTCAGGAAAAGTTTTTACACAAAACCGTGGTCTAATAAGGGTGAGTGTATTTTTGGTTGCTAGTTCTGAGCCTGCAGAAAAGTCTTTGTTTTCCACCTATACTTGACAGTTTTTTTTCCACAGTGGAGTTAATGGATCTACTTATGTGTCATGTCATCTCAACCCTCCAAACTTACAACGGTCTCAGCTGTAACATTTACTGTGAAAGCTGGCATTTTTTTTAAAATCAGTGCCTTGTGATATGTAGGCTACCTGTGTTTTTTCTGTCATGGTTGTTTTCATGCTGAGGAAGTACGAGTGTGCTTTATGAAAAATATAATTTTTGATTCTGGTTTACAGGTATTTGTGCTCTGTGTGGTACTTCTTAAATAGGTTCTTCCAGCATAGGCTGGAGTAAATCATAAAAGGCATCTCTGTGTGGATTGATTTCAGGGCAAATGGACAGCTGTGTTCTTATGAGTGGGTGGGTTGGSTTCTTTGTTACTCCCTCTGTGAACGGGCTATTATCTCTAGGCTTGCARCACTGTGCAAGACACTTTGCAATTGGAAATTACTTTTTACAGCTGGTAAAATTAGCTTCAGAATTCACTGTGCTCTTTTTGGAATGCACTCTTTTCCTGTTAAATAATAATGGAAAAAGTAGATTTACATAGTATTTTTCTGATTGCTGTTTTTGCATGTGTTCATAATAAAAATGGATATGGACAATTTGGGGTTGATTAGCTTTTAGTAAACAGATTTACTAGTTTTAGAAAACACACTTCACATTCTGTAGTTTTATAACAGATTGGGGAGTTCTTTCTTTTGATAGTTTATTCAGCAAATGTTGTTAGAGGTACCTAGGTAAAATAACAAGCCTACTCCATACGCACTCAGCTGGACTTGCAGCTACAGTAGATGATTTAAAAGTTATTGATCTTATGACATTAGGTTTGCAAGGTCTTTTTATTACTGATAGTAAGAAGGATGGTTTAGTTAAGTGTGTATAATTTTTTTCTTTTTTCTTCCTTCTAGAGACAGATATGTTCTTTTTAGCTATCAGTATGGTAGGAACAGACTTCTCCTTGATTGGGCGGCTGTTTCCTCACAGAGCCAGAGCAGAAATTAAGGTAAAAGTTAAAACACTCAATAGAGCAATTAAACATCTGGTTTTGCTTCTCTTTTCTCATTTGCATTCCCATGCTTACTCTCTTAGTRATGATAATCCTGGTAATAATTGTCTCCATAGAAATACTGTTTTTTAATTTTTGTTTCAAGAAGTTGTAAGTATCTGAAACATTTAAATCCTGGTTGAATTTCAATCAATGTGTCAAGTAAATCTAGCATAGTTAGAGACACTGTATCTTGTTTTAATTGACAAATGCTGGTAAGCCTAAATGGCTGTATGGTGAGGGGCTTCTGTGTTGTATCTTGTTATACCCAGCTGGGAAAGTCTTTGACATTTCAAACTTTGCTTACATGGAAAACCAGGAAAAGGTGTTGAAAACAGTAAAAACAGTRTAACTGTTGATTTTTACTGGTAACATTTTATGTTTAAATATTAATTACAAACTCCTCAGTGTGCTCTATGAATTGCATGTAAATTTCAAGAGCTTCAGTTGGTTTATTGCCCTGAATACTTAGCTTGAGCTGCCATTTTGTACAACATTGTTGCATTTCTTGCTTTGTGATAAATACAACTGTGCATTTGCTTTTAGAACAAGTTCAAACGTGAGGAAAAAGCGAATGGATGGAGAATAGACAAAGCGTTCAGTAAGTAAATATACTCCACCCTACAATGAGTCATTAAATGRTAGCCATCTATTTTCATGATGATTTCTGTACTTTGCCGTGCTTGAATTAATTATTAGAAAGGTTTTGCTCATAGATGAGTCCACAGGCTGTGGAATTTTAGGTTTTTATAACAAGCATAGTTCACAGTTACAATCTTCAGGTTTATTTTCTGTCTTTTCTGATGTCTGCAAAATGAGATTAATATAAACTTCCATTTCTATATTCAGTTGAAGATAATTCTTCTGATCCATGGGAATTTTTAGCATAGTTACTTTTTGTAAACTGCTTTGAGAGTTCTTAAGGACTTTCTTTGTTAGTTGAATGATGTACGTATGTCCTATAGCAGCRTGTTAATACATTATTTGATACTGTGGTAAAATTTGTGTATTTGTCAATTCCTAAATTTTCTGAGCTACTTAGCTTTATAACTTGTTTTTTAAAACCAAGCTGCCAGAATCCAGTTACCCCTGTCAACTTCAGTCCCTGCTCAAGTGATACAGAAAATATTTTTAAGAATTCTCTGTTTAAATGTACATAATCTTTGCTTTTTAATATCATGTCATATATCACTGATTATTTTATAAAGCTGAAACTTGAAAAAATAATTTTGAAATCTGTTCTATTTCTTTGCTTTAATCTTATAGAAGAAAAACGACCCTTTGATTTTGAATTCTTTGCCCAGCTGCTTGAGAAGGTCTTAGCAGATGAGGAAAAGAGGAAGCAAAAGACCGTTAAAAGCCAGAAGCTAAAGGAAAAGAAGTCTCCAAGGCCACAAAAAAAGTCAAAAGGTATTTTAAAAGAATGGTTGAGATGGCATTACAGAGCAGTGATGAGTAGTGTGTTCCTAGCAGAGGAAAATGCACATAGGAAATCTTTTCCTTGCCTGCTTTGGACGGGGCATGAGGATCTTAGTTTCAAAGTGTAGCGTTTTCAGGTGAAGTTTACGGATTTGCAGGATGGTGCATAGAGTAGAAATATGAGACCACAGTGTAATTAGTGCTTTTCCATAGTCTGAAGTGCTGATACTCTAATTTACCGATTGATAAGTATCTCCATGAGTGGCTAATGAATTCACTTGTGGAATCTTTAGGCCAAAATAGTATTTTTGGCAAACTCTTCTGTGTTGAAAGTGTTTTGTTTTTAAAATCCTCTTAAGTCTGAGAGGTGTGATTCTTTTCAGACAATCATGTAAAAGTTGTTCTGTCTTTCTGTTCTGTTCACCACTGTGTCTTACTACCTTAGTACCTGGGAAAGGACCTTCAGAGATGTGCTTTAATTAAGCACAATTATACTGACACCATTTAATAAATTTGCTAACTCTGTGGCGTTGTTCACTTGTTTGTTCTGCGAGGACCCATTCTTTTGTAAGTGGTACCGTGAAACAAACAAGTGAACAATCTTTTTAAAGGGGATGTGAGCTTAGAAGCGGCATCTCTTAAAATTGAAGTRATGGCTGCTTTTCTATAGCCTTGATTTTGGATTTGATTAGGTAAAATATCCCATRTATTAGGACTTAAAACCATGTAGAGAAATTCTATTTCTACACTTCAATGGTAGATTAAAGGTACTTTGTGTGTAAAGCAATGTGATAATGCTTTTCTACTTGTCTTGTATTTTGGACTTTCTAATTACAGGAAAACAAGTTTATTTAAGAGTAATAAGAAGGAAGGGAAAGGTTTTGGTGGTTAAATACAGGATCACRACAAGATGTCCTTAAAACAGGGGGRAGGAAAATTTTATAAACTYACTAAACCTAGAAAATAACTTGTCAGTTACTAGATAGATAGTTCTGCTTTCTTATGAATAATGATCAACCATAATACATTTCTTGATAAAAAATTACTTTTTCACTGCATATATTCTGTAACCATCATCACCTATTTCTGCAGAGATATGGTAATTCTTTTTAGGAATATCTGTTTTGCCTAAACCCAGATGTGACYGTGTAAACTGCAAAAAACATAGGCACAGTAACATTTATTAAATTGGCTTTACATCTCATATTGGCTTACCCTGGTAAACAGTTGTCCCAARTACAGAATGTGTTTTGCATTAAATGCCAAAGTTAATCTATGCTGAAGCTTTTCTAGCAAGTCAATTAAAGACTTCTCCCAGTCCTGCTCATATGCCTGGCAGTGTATTGRCAGTGATATATGAGTACACAAATGTTTTTAGTACAAATACCTTTGCTATTTATGGCTCCTGGTACTCCACCTGTGTATTAACCAAGAACCATATTGTCTCAATAGCAAAAGCTGCCAGCTCAGAAGCTGCTAATGATCAAGATCAACTTGAGGAAGCTGGAATTTCTGATGCAGAAACAGACGCAGATGGTGTGACGGCTGAGAAAGAAAATGAGGAATCTTTGGGCATTCCTGAACAGGCGGAAAAACAGGTTGCATTAGAACCAGCATTTGCAAAAAAGAAGAGAAAAAAGAAAAGAAAAGATGATGTTGAACAAGAAGTGGAGAATAATCCAGAAGAAATGTCTGTTCCTTCAAAAACTGCGGAGGAAGGGAAATCCTGTGATAATAGTAAGAGGCAAAAATACTCAATTTCAAATATTGAAATATGAAATTATATAATGACATTGCAAACATTAAAGTAAGAATTTGGTTTTTGATTTATGTTGCTGATTTGCCTTGTGAGAGGTTGTACAACCATACATTTCAAAATCAGCTTTCATTCTAAATCTAATCATACTTTGTTTTAGATGAGAATAGGTCTTTTAAGTCTTAGTATTTTGTACTGGGATTTTTAGTCTTGTATTAACTTTTTCACTATAGCTAGGATTTGATTACTGGAATTCTAAGATGTTTCCCAGGATGTAGAAATTGATTTAATTTTTATTAATTATCAGGGGAAAAAGTAATACATGATGTAAGCAATGATGGTCATACTACCTGTAGAGAAGAACTGGATTGTGCTATTGAAGGAAAACAAGATGAGACTGCTCTGACAGAGGAAGAGAGATCAGGGTCCTGTTTACCAGTGAATGACCAAAGGGAGACAGAAGTTGGTGTCAATTTAAGCAGGTAATGTTTATAATGGAAAGCTTAGGCAAAAAAATAGTTTCAAGTTTTAATACTGGTTTTATTTATTCATGTTTGCTACCATGTTGGCTGCCACGCAGTGTGCAGATATTTGGTTTCTGAGAACTGTCCYGGTGTTTAGTAAGCTGTTTGTGATTTCCACACTCAGAATATTCTCGGCCCTAATGGGCTGCCCTTGCAAAATTAATGTACGTAATTACTAAAGTCACTTCCAAAAGCTATTCAATTTTTAAGAGTGTTTAGGAACACCATTGGTTTATCCTAACTCCTAATATTTCTCTTGAAGCACTGCTTGATGGTGTTGCTAAGTAGAGTTACTATATGCTTGGAATTTTTACCTGTAATAAAATGGTTCTTGTGGAAAAGGAATATTGCTTAGACTTCATGAATTATGCAGCATCTGGATGAGAGGCAAACTTTTGGTTTCAGTTTTGGGCATACTTTTGCTAGAAAGGAAGTGAATGCCTATTTATCAAACTTGTTATATGTGAAAGTGCTAAACTAAAAATCCATTATGAAACTGTGAATGCTGCTTTAGAATTTTGCTTGTTAATTAGTTGTATTTAACTGTATTGTAGTTGTTTGTTATTTCATGCAGATTTTAAGAAGTTTTCATTTTCTTTAATAGTTCATGAGAAGCATATGAAGGAACAGTTATTCACCTTTGGATTCTACATAGATTGTTAAAAAAGATCAGAGGAAAAAAACATCTGTATACATTGTTCATGTAAAAGTTTCTTTTTTAAAAACGATCAGTCTAGAATAATGAGATGAGATTTTAACATCAKCTTACAACTGCTGCAAAAAATAGAAAAGTTTTAAAGCTCATGTTCTTCAAATGTCGCTAAAACTTTGTGAGATTCTCTGAAACATGGGTAGCTACATATAGCATCAAAATTGCATTATTTTTCTGTGCAACTTGATCTGTCTATAAACAGAAACAGCTTTTTTTTCYACAAATGCACTAATGTTCCTGTATGCTTTTATTTGTTTCAGCCTTGAAGGTAGCAACGATGTTGTACTAGAAACAAAATCTGCTAAATTGAGAACAAGCGATATTAGAGATGATCTATCACAGGAAAGCCAGATTTCAGAATTACTGATTTCTAATATTGGAAGCAATGAAAGACAATCAGTAGAAACTACAGAAACAAAGGTATTATTATTTTTTTCTGTAGTTCTTCTCAAGATCTTGCCCTTGACCATTAAAAGCCATTTGTAAATCAAAGCCATTTTTGGTTGTCKTTGTGATGTTTTCTACACTAGGTGGAAAACAATCAACTAAGAACATCAATGAAATTGAAATACTATCAGCTTTCCTGGGCTTAATGGGTTGTCTGTTAATCTAAATTTATTCAGAAAGTATACTTTGCATGTGCTTTATAGATAATTTGAACAGCTGAACAGTTTAATTATTCAAAAGTGAAGGACTGCAATATGAACAGCTAGGCCTTGGAGCTGGATTTTGCTTATTGACATGATGTTAGAAACTCACTTGAGTGGAATGTGCACTGGGTTGTTTGTGCTGCTGCACAAATGATCTGGATGATGGGGCAGGGTATAACATCAGCAAGCTGTCATGTTAGGCAGATCTGGTAGGAATTGCTGAGACAATAAAGATTGTCATGGCCTCCAGAGGGACCTGGACAGGCTGGAGAAATGGGCTGACAGGAACCTCAGGAAGTTCAGTGAGGGGGGATGCAAAGTCCTGCGCCACAGAAGCAGCAACCCAAAGGCACCAGCACTTGCTGCAAGCCACTCCAGTGGAAAGCAGCTTCGCAGAAAAGAACCCAGCTGTCCCGGTGGTCTCCAAGTTGAATGTGAATCAGGAAGGTGCTGTGGTTGCACAAACTGCTGGGGTGTCCTGGGCTACAGCAGGAGCAGCGTTGCCAACAGGCCGAGGGAGGTGTTTTTGCCCCTTATTCAGCATTGGTGAAGCCACACCTGGGGCACTGACCAGGTCTGGGCTCCCTGGTAGGAGAGACCTGGACACACTGGACACTGCCCATCAAAGGGTCACACACGTGGTGAAGGAGTGAAGGCATCTCTCCTGTAACAGAATGCTGAAGGAGCAGGARCTGTTTAACTTGGAGAGAAGGCTCAGAGGGGTCTCTTCGAGAGTTACGCAAAAGCCCAAGGGGAGGGTGCCCACATGGCAGAGCCAGGCTCTTTCCTGGGGTGCCCAGTGACAGGACAAGAGACAAGGGGCAATCAATGAAAAACAGGAGGTTCTGTCTGAACACCAGAAATCCTGTTTCACTGTGAGGATTACCAAGCACTGGCACAGGCTGCCCAGAGAGACTGTGGAGTCTCCATCCTTTACAAGATTCAAAAGCTGTCTGGACACAGTACTGGGCAATCAGCTCCAGGTGGCTTGATCAAGTGGTTTTGCATGGCTTGGTTTTGGTAGTGGTGGGAGGCTACTGGGGTGACTTCTGTGAGAAGCTACTGGAAGCTTCTTCCATGTCCATCAGAGCCAGTCACTGATGGCCCCAAAGATGAGTATGCTGCAGCCAAGGCTGGGTCAATTGGAAATTAGAGTTACTGCTTCTGTGATAACGTATTTAAGAAGAATTAAAAAAAAAACGGTTGTGCAGTTGTAACTATGTCCACCCTCAACCACTGTGGGAATCTTGTTTTTGTTTTTCTTTGTATTACAATAAAAGTGCATCTAGGTTTATCGTTTCTTTTCTTCAACATTTCTTCCTCAGGACAAAGATACGCACGATTCACAAAAAACAGATGAAAAACAGAGTGCATCAGAAAGTGGTTCACAGTCTGAAATCATGTAAGTAGAATTATTTTACTTTGCAGTGGTACTTGATCTAAACCTGCATCTACTCAATTTGGGTATGATTCCAATTGACGACAAAAGGTTCAACTAGTCAGGAGGTCATGATAACTGGTTTTCCATATTCAGTGAAGTTTTTAATAGAAATTTTGATTACTGAGTACCAGTGCATTGACTAAGATCTAAATTTAGATGGGAACAGGGAGAAAACTTACCTAAGCTTAGGAATCAAAAAGCTAGTCTTTCTACAGCTAGCAAGAGTGAGAGATTGAAGAAATCCTGCCACATTGTGGGTTAAGCTTAGTTGTGAAATTTGTTTTCTAGTAGTAGGACCTCACTGAATTCTTTGACATTCTTAGTTGTCCATCAGGGCTTATAGGCTGTACCCAAGTATGTGGTGTACTTCTTCTTTCCTGTTTGGAAATTATTGCTCTTTGGGACTTGGTGCAAGCTTCTRAGATGGAAGATACTCCAAGATGTCTGTCTTATCTGCACTCCTTTATGAAGTTAATTTTGCTGACTTTTTGACATTGCAAAATGGTGTTTAAAGAAGTCTGTGCCTAACCTTTCCATTTTTGTGTAATCATTGACTTCTTATTTCATTATATAGCTTTTTAAAGGTGATTTAGGGTTGGGATACTAGTTAATTCTAACCTGGTTTTCATGCTTCTGTCTTTCCCTTTTTGAAGGSCAGCTCACTCCTATAATAAAAATTGTCAAAGCTTTATTTGTCCTGTTCTAGGGAGAATATAAGAAAAGGTAGTAGTTCCCAATCTGAAGATTATTGATAAGATGTAGGGCTGTGTCAGTGTGTGAATCCCAGGACATGCCATTGCAGTGGCTAAGGACACAGAGTGATGTATGTACTGCATTCTTCAGTAACATGTGGATGTTGACAGTAGGACAAGGTATTTGAAAACAGTTTGTTGTTCCATGCCTGAGATAGCTTTGAAAGGGGATGGGGGGGCAGAAGAGGCAGATGCAAAATATTGTATAGGGCAGATTTATATTGTTTATACATAAAATTAACCACACTGACATGAATTGTGAATCCCTAAAAGAGGGAATATTCCTATTTATTTAACAGTAGGAAATGATTCCTTCGAGTATTTTTAAGTATATTCCACTGAAAGCCAGCAAAGTTGTTAAGATTTATTTGATGCTCTTTTCATAACATTTTAGAATGTCTTTTAGTATTAGAAATATGCAATTTTTTTCCTATTTATTGTCTTGCTGTGTGCAATGTCTTGATCCATGGAGTCTGATGCTCTTGAAGTACGTCTTGAACCATATGAGACTTTTAAGTTTTTCTTTGGTAATAATGTACATCACCTTTTTTTTATACCTTAAGGAAAACGGAAAAGTCAGCAGACAGAAGGCGCTTGCAAAGACCTAAGCCAAATTTAGTGAGGTCGTCTGGAAGGAGGGAGACAGCAAAGCAAGACAAAATGGAGGCCAAAACTTCCTCTCCAGCCCTTGCAAATGCAGGTGAAAAGGTCAGAAAGAGAAAAGTTTATTTAATATGTTCTTCTTGATGCTGCATCTGTTTTGTTCAATGTGGATTGAGCAACAGTCTTATAAGTAACATTATGGGAACTGCTACTGAGATATCTGCACACTTGTGAAAGAGTAATATTCCTTGCCTCAATTCCAGTGCTCTGAAGAGGACAGTAGAAGAAACAGAAATGAAGCAACAGAAGTAGAGAATAGGGATTTGGATACTGAATCTCAGTAAGTATTTAGCTCACTTTTCCAGTCTTCTGGAATTAACTGAGTATGATTGTTAATATATTCCATGTAGTTCTGTTAGAAAAAGGTAGCAATAGCTGTGAAGCTCTAATATAAATCTTAAAATTGACTTTAGCATTTTTTTGGATAATATCAGGTGGKACTATGGTAGAAAGTAATGTACTTCTTTTCTGGAAAGCTGAGGGAAACATGACTTCTTGAAGTATCAACAATGCCTGTAATTTGAAAGGGGGGAAAGTTGTAACTAAGGTTTGTCTTTCCTCACAGCCTCAGTTATCAGTTAATGGTTCTGCTTCTGACGCTTGCAGAAGCATCTATGGTATGCAGTCTAATTAGGTTCCTCCTTTGTGTGATAAATTAATCTCTTTTTAATATGTAGATAAATTGAGTTTTCACTGTTGTAAGACTAAACAAAGCTTGTTTCTTCTGTGAGGCAACTTGGATAAGTTTGGGCAAATCTTGCTGAAGACAACACAAATCTGTTCAAGACATTGTATGCTAGATAGGTTTGAATATTATGGAGTAAATGTCACTGTTGTGGATCCTTTGTGCAGAGAACCTGAAAAAACTTCAATTGCAAAGACAGTAGTTAGAGGATATCGACAGAGATTTAAACCTAATGTTACAAGAGCATCTGGAAGGAAAGAAGAGCCTGAAAAAGATGCAGGAAATAATGAAATGTCCCATCTACAGCCTAAGGGGGCAACTGAAAAGGTATTTAATAAAGAACATAACTGAAGATGTATTAGCTAAAAAGCTGCTGGATACAACAATAGTGTTATCTTTTTGGTTTTTTGGTATACTTTTTTGCTCCTGAGCATGAGCAGGAATCAGTCACTTACTTGACGTGCTTTCAGTGTGTCAGTGTGATATTGCTAAGAAATCTCAACTATGCTCAGAGGTTATTACACGAACTGTAGATACCRATAATCTTTCATGTCCTGCAGCAAATACAACTGTAGTGTTTGACCTAGTTTTTACTGCACTTGTCTTAACTGTGAAATGCCTCTTGTAATTGTTTGGGTTTCATAAGCCATCTATTTTGTCTCCTCTTCTGGACAGTTACTTTGTCAGTTAGGTGGTGCTGTAGTTTATGAATGTATCACAGTTCATGTCATAATGTTCTGTTTCTGTTCAGAATAAGGACCAAAGTAATGGATCTGATGTGACCAGTAAGAATGCCACAGAAAAAGATGACAAAGTCCTGGAGACAACGTCTCAGTAAGTAGGAGACAAAGAGGATGAGTTTTGCTGTCCTGCAATTTACTGTTCCTATCACTTCTGATAGTGTTTTACAATGTGGAATTATAGAAGTTTTTGAAGAAACTTCTGCAATGAGACAAAAATTGAAGGCAGAATAGGAATCTTCATTAATTCATGAAACATACATTAAACATTTGTTTTTAGACTTGTGCTTTTAAATTAGAAGTCAGTCTTGGTAAATGCAAAAAAAGCTGAAAATTTAGTCCCTTGAAAACTAAAATAAGCCTCAGCTGCTTCTTTTAATACTAAAATACATCTATTTCAGTGGTTAAGTATTTAAACAATAGGAGTRAGTGTTTGTACTTAAAGAGCAGTTAAGTGTTAGGTGTCAAATRAGAGGAAGAAAAAAAACCCAATATGTGGACAATTTAATGCACATATTTATTAAGTATTGAATTTTTCTTCAGTCAAGTGGCATGTGTAATGTAAAAGGAATATGTTTTACTGAAGAGATTGTAAAAAATAAAAACAAAATTAACTGTCCCTTTCCCTCAAATACCTCCCCCCAAAAAAACCCAAACAACCTAAACCAACAACAGAAACAAAAAAAAAAAGCCAACTCAGACTTTTCTTTTTGAAGGGAGATGGTTGAAGTGGATAGATGGAGATAAACTGGATTTGAGAATCGGCCAGGAAAATATTTTCACAGTTATTTCTTTTATTAACCTGCTCTGTAACTTGATGCTCAGTTTACAGTAAAAAGACATAGAAAAATCTGACAGTTGTGGTAATGCACCACTAATACTTTTACGCTAGTAAGATAATAGAGTTATTTGTGTATTTTCTGAATATACTAAAGAAAAATTTAATATTTCTGATTTTTTTTAACTATTTAATTAATCAGCTCCGTCTGCCTCTAGACTAGATAGGAATACTAAGAGAGCCATTAAGAGTCAGAAAAAGGTCTGTCTAGTGTGKTACCCAATCAGAAAAGGAAAGTAAGAGGCCAAACATAAGTTTAAACCCTCAGCTCTTAGTACCTGCACTTCTAATTTTATTTTTTCAAGAAGTTATTAATACGTTTTAGGTAAGTATATGTTAATAACTGTTTAAAAAAAAAAGGAATTTAAAAAAAAAAAAAAAACTTCTCCAGGTCTCCTCCCACTTTCAGATGTGGTATGTACTTCATGGATCATCTGTTTTCCCAGGTCTAATGAAACAGCTGGTTTAAAAGAAGATGGCAAACAGGGCATGCTGAATCCAATGCCTTTAAAGAGAGGTAGAATACAGAGACCAAAACCAAATCTAGGAAGAACTGTTGCAAAGCAGAAAGAACWGACAGATGAAAAGGATCCTGAAGASGTGACAACTCAAGGGGGAGAAGTAGAAAAAAGTGTAATACACCATCAAGATGAAAACAATGATCCCTGCCTCAAAAGTGTAAGTTTCTTCAGCATCTGCTCAGGCACACAGTTTTGCTGGGTCCTTAGTAGCAGCCTTTGGTAACAAAGACCTAGGTACATGCCTCATGATTTGTAGGGACAGCCTTTACATGCATTGTTTGTTCTTTCAGAATGAGCTAAATTGTCATGAAATTTTCTCATTTTTGTACTTGGGTTTTGTTTTCCTTAATGTCAGGTTTAATCCTGGTCAGCAGCCAAATACCAGCTGTCTTGCTCACTGCCCAAATAGCAGCACCAGGGAGAGAATCAGAAGGGTAAAAGCTGGAAAATGGGCTGCGATAAACCCATGAGTGCTGGATGTAAGGTTAAATGGAGAAAGCAGAAGCTACAGTCACGTGCAAAGCATAAACAAAACTATTCCACTACTTCCTATGGACAGGCAGGTGTTCAGCCATCTCCAGGAATGCTGTGCTTCATCACGCATAATGATTCATTGGGAAGACAAAAGCTTTTCCCCCTASTTCATGTACTGAGCTGCATGTCATATGTATAGCTGCATGTCATAGCTGGCTTTGTCCCCTCCCATCCTTCCCTCTCTCCCCAACTTCCTTGCCAGCCTTACARTGCAAAAATCAGAAAAGGCCTTGACTCTGTATGAGCCCTGTTCAGCAATAACTAAAACATCTCTATATTATCAACTCTGTGTGCAGCACAGACCCAAAACACAGGCCCATTCTGGACACTGTGAAGAAAGCTAACTCTTCCCCAGGCAAAACCAGCACACATGGAAATGGATTATATCTCACTTTGTCATATTGTGATACCAGATCTGAACAGAGAAATTCAAAGAAAAAGTCCTCAGAAGGTGAACCACTAAAGAAAGTATAAAGAAAAGTAACAGTTTAGTTTTATAGGATATACTGATATTAGCTGGATGCAGAAAAATCAAGAGAAATACATGTATTTCTGTAGGAAATGTTARAATTTTCTCATTTTCCCTCTGCTCTCCTAAAAGAGTGATTGAGCAAGCATTTCATCTTAACAGACTGGAACTTTTATTCGTTTTAGGATTTGACAGTTCATGGAGACACTCAGGCATCCAATGTGATGTCAGAAGATGTTTCTACAGATTCTGAGATGAACTCAACATCTACAAGACAGTGTTTCCAAGAAAAACCCTCAGAAGGAGAAAGCTATGAAGGTGAAAAGGGATTGTCAGATGTGTTGAAACACGTTTCAGATTCCAAGACAAGGTAAAGTTATTTCATTTAAATGGAGAAAAGAGATGGTTCAAAGCCATAGTATATCAGTATATCTAGGTGTTATACCATTTTRCATTCAATCCCAGCATTGCAAACAAGTTTTATATATAGAAAGACAATATTTGAACTTAAACTCACAAAAGCCTAAGAGCTTGAAAGCATTAAAGTTACATGCTATTGGATGTTAATTTGGTCTTTAGACTGTAYGCCCGATTTGCAACATTTTCTAATGCTCAGTCCCATGATTGTCTTCTCCATGTCGATCTCCACAGTGCATCCCAGTGGGGTTACATAAATCCTTGAGCACAGGGTCTGGTTTCCTATTAAAGTGACTTGAAAAAAAAATAGTCACCCACAAGAGTTCTGTAAGTCTACTGGGTAGCTTTAAACACTATTAGACAAAAGCATTTGTAAAATGTATGTATCATGTTAAAATGTCTTGTTTTCCAGGTCTCAGCTGGAAGTGGCAGTTAACTTATCTTTGCTAACATATTTATACGTTACAGAGGCTATTGATGATGATCACTGTGTTTTTATTGGATCGTTTTTCATGTCAGTAACTTTGTTAATGCTCTGAGAGCTCTCTGAAATATACTGTGTTGTCCCACGCCTTTGATTGTTCTTTTGTTTGTTTTTTTTTGTAGGGAATCTCATGCGCAGAAGGAAGAGGAGAAAACYGTTGCATCATCAGGTCAGCTTCTGAGGAGTCGATTCCAGAAACCAAAGCCAAATATAAGAACAAGTAGTAGAAAGGAGGTGCTGGATGTGAATAGTAAAGGTGCATCACAAGAAGATACCAATAAGGAAGAAAATTTGACGCAGTGTGATAGTGAATGTAGCATCCCTTCTGACACAGATGTAAGGCTCTTTTTYTTCCCTTGAGTTATATTTGAGCTTTTGGATTTATAAAATGAAACACTGATGTTTAAAAAATTACAAAGTTAATAGCTTGTGAAGCAATTTTTCCAAATCTAATATTTTCTACATTAAAACTTGTGTACTTTTCACTTAGTCATGTGTGAGGAGAAAAAGGTTACAGATCTCTTTCTGTGTTCAGATGTCTTTCTGACCCAAAGTGGCATTACAGAGTTGACAGTGAAGAAAAAGTATTAATAGAAGATGGAAAAAAATTAGAGGTTTTAAGCTATTTTGTTTTAAATAAAAAAATATGTATTTGTCTTGGAAAGACTAGGAAATCATTAGCGAGCAGTTACATAGGAGTTTTGCAGGAAACAGTTCAAAGAGTGATAAGTACTGAACTTCAGAGATACCATAATGTCTCCTTTTGGCTTATTATCACGACTTTTTCTGGTCCTTGTGTTTACATTTTTCAGCAAGCAGGAAAATGTGAAGTCTTAAACCCACTAGAATCCTTGGGAAAGGAGAAGTCACATCACTCTCAGGAAGTTTCTGTAAGGCCAAGTTGTAAGTCTCCAAAAACGTTTTCAAGATCAGGGGATGGTGTACTGGAATTTTGTCTACCTGAAGTTGCCCAAGATGAGATCTCAACTACTAGTGCAGGGTAAGAGCTTAGCTACTTTTGATTCTTGACTGTAACAATGTAAGTATTTTGCAAGGAAATCATTGTGCTAATGGATTTCCATCTGGCAAGYATAGTCTAATGAAAATACTACGCCAAATTTCCGTTCTTGCAGTTTCAAACCTAGTTACTAAAGATACTAAAGTTTTAGTAGCTTCTCTCCTGAGCAGGAAATTAATGAGCATTCACTTTACAACTTTTTCATCATCTGAAAGACTAGATTAATTTAATGTATGCAGGGAAATAGCTAGTTTGCTTATCAGAGAAACCATGTGAAAATTGCCTTACTTTTATTGCAATAAATAGTCGGTAAGGTAGTACCTTAGTGAGTTAGTTCTATTAYGAAAGTATTTGAAAGACCGATGCTTTGAAATTTTTGCTGGAACAAATTATCCTTTGTAACTTAAATTCAGCAGAACTTCTGGTTTACATGGTTTCTCTTAAAAACTTAGTGTTTCWTATATGTAATACTAATGGACCTGTGTTTGTTTTTGTAATATGCTTTTTTAGTAAGTTTTGGATTATTTTTTCTGTCTTAACTTTGAACTGATAGCAAAAGCAGCACTCAGGAAGAAAGTGAACAAACACCTCCACCTATCCAGCCGGTGCGGAACAAGARGTACAAACCAAACTTGGTAAGAGCTGCTGGAAAGAAGGACTTACAAAAACCAGAAAATGAGAGGAAGAAAAAGCCTGAAGCAGAGCAAAAAGATGAATTTGACAGTACTGTCATGGTAAGCCTTAAGGAGAATAAGGCTTTGCTTTCAAAGTTGGTTCCAAGTGCATGGTCAGTTTTATGAAGTTAAAATTAAAGCATTGAAGTTTCACTGCCTGAAGACAGTATATTAGATGAAAAAAAAATTACTAAACCCTGGTGAGCTGAGGTCTTGCAGGTATGAAATCAGTGAGGTGTACAACTTAGAGTATTAATTATTTTTTTTAACAAAAGTGTCTGATTTTGATTGGATTGCATGATAGAAAAAGATTTATGCACATTTAATGTAAAYTCTAGAATAGAAATGCATAAAAATTGGCTTTTTTTATTCATTTTGTCTTTCCTGTTTGGATAAATCAAGTCCGTGTTGAGCAATCTAGTACAATGCCTCTAGTGAAGGCAGAGGATAGCTGTTTTTATGAAAGAAAAAAAGGATTTAAAAATTCAATAAGCTTTAACTGGCTTTATTGCTGCAGTGCCTGATACTCCTCTACTTTATACAAGTAACTGACATTATGTACCCACAGACACCTTACTAGGGGCTGTAAAAGGTGTGGAAATCCTCGAAAGCCATTTACAGTGTGATACATTCTCTGTAACCATTTTGTGGGTTGCACATGAATCATGAATTGTGTCGTGGGTGTGGCAATGTCTGCATGGACTTGCCTTAGATTTGGAATACAGCTGAGCTTTGCAAGAGTGACTCATGTTTTGGAGTGATTATAGCTGGTTTTSTTCTTGAGCCTGTGTGAAGTGTTTGTGACCCTCATTCATCTCATCTCCCTCAGTGCCACAGTCAGCTCAGTCTTAACTGAGATAGTTCCTYGTGATTCAGCTTTGGCTGTTCTAGACCTGTGTACTGTGAACCATGCACCTGCATCTGCTCTGTGCTGGGCAAATCTGTAGAACCAGAGCAAGTTTGATGCTTCTCTCTACTTACTAAGCTGTCACAGTCCTGAAGTGGTGAAGGATAAGTTTGAGAGGCTTCTTTGTGGAGCCAGTGTGGCAAATGTAAACKTAAAGCTTACTAAGGCCTTCTGGATCTGAGGTTATGTTATTGTGGCTTGGGTGTGTCTGTGCTGCCCTCTGAAATGTCCAGTTTYCTTTTGCTGAAGTGTTTTGTTTCCACAGTGCTTCATGTATTAGGGAATTAATTGAATGCTAAATAGACAAGTGTTTCCTGTAATGCTTGAGTGCATACAGTATTAAGAGCTTAACTCTAGGTATCCCAGGACTATGAACACTTATATTCCTTCTTGCTTATAAATTGGCTTATGGTAACATGATTCTTACCTTTATTCCAATTGGGAAAATAGCAGAGTTTCTATTTTTGTATTTGAATGTCGTTTAGAAGCTTACATACTTCTGTTTTTCTTCATGCTCGTAAATTCAAGGGTGAAAATGAAGCTGCATTGTGTCAAGCAGATGCACTGAGCAAAGAGGAACATGAACAGCAAGAGGTGYTTCAGGTGCCCTCTGTTTCTGAAAATTTATTGTCTGAACAAAGCAGGTGAGGTTTGAATTTAGCAAAATTGTATCTAAAAAGCTTTTGTCTATGCATAGTGAGACACTTTTGCAGATGTCAATTCTTCTGTTCCTTGTCTTTTGTCTTTTCTACAGTGTTTCATTTTCAGTGCCTACAGACAGCTTCTTCCAGTATTTTCAGAGCACATTTTTTTTTAGCTGCACTCGTTATTGTTTATCTGGTACATACTGATCTGTATGAGCTCATATTTCTTCTTGACCAAGGTTTTTTATTACCAGGTCTATATTTGTTTAAGCAGCAATCACASATGTAACGTATGTAACATATGAATTTTGCAAAATGTGAGAGACTTTCATTGATCCCCCCATTTGCTCTTCCTATTTTACTGCTACTCTTGTAGGATCTTGAGTATGTATTAGACTGCCAATATGTCAGTACAGTTGGTACAGTTAGCATCACAACTTGTTTTTTAATGTTAAAACTGCCTTGACAAAGAAATTTAGTTATTCCTTCTCCAAAGTTAACCATAATAAGAAATATGTTTGAAAATATAATTTTCTTGATCTTAAAGAAAGCAGTCTGTCAGTCTCTTGTATAGGTATTGATACAAAACGTAAGTGCAGAAGTGTTTTTTTTACCTCCCAGCCAAAGTCAAGTGACATAGCTTGTGTGTGTGTTTTGTTTTATTTGTTTGTGTATGCTTGTTTGCTTTAAATTCACCAGTGCTGAGAAATTTAACTCCGAAGAAGGCAAGCWGGGTGCTCTGAAACCAGGACAATTCCCGAGGACTGAGTCTCCAAAACCTAGACCAAACCTAGAAAGAACATACAGTGAAGATGGATCTGCAGTAGTGCAAAAACTTGCTGGTCCAGATGAGGAAGACATAAATAAAGGAGAGAATCAGACTGTGACAGAAGAATCTGAAAATTCTCTCTCCTCAAAAGTGAGAATTCTGTTCAAATATTTCTAATTATACTTTTAGATGCTTGGCTCCACACCAGCTATTTTTTAAGACTTCTAAATAAGTTGTTGTAAATGCATTAATTTGTTTCAGACTAGTAAGAATTCTTGTTCAATGTTTGCGTGCTAATATGAGGTTTTCCAGAATTCTGTTAGTGACACATGGATAAGACATCTAAAGACTTCACTTGAACTTTGACATTTCACTCATATTTATGATACATGAATAGTTACCTGCATGCTGTATTTCTGTTGCTGGGTTTCTTCTGAGCYCTTTGGTGGCTGCTCATGGAAGACTACATTGGTTATAGTGTCTGTTTTCGTTAGGTAAATGCCTTCCTAGAGGAACAAGGAACAGTAATGATCCCATAAACTACTTGGAAGTTTTTAAATTAAGTTTTGCCTCAGATTAACAGCTTTATCATAATTTGCAATTTTTTATTTTACAGGTGATATATTTTGTGCTAACATTGTTTTTTTTGTTAAATCAAAGGATGACATAGAGSTATTGTTGCTTGTGGGAAATTCAACCAAGAATGACAATCTAGACATAAAATCAAGAAACACAATGTCAGAAACGCATTATTCTTCTGAAAAATCACCAAACTGCAACAGCAATGGAGAACAAGAAGAATGTCTATCTMCAGATGCTGTAAGAATCATTCAGGATACCACAGAAAGGTAAAATTACCTGTTGACAAAGTAAAAAAATCTCTCATTTTGGTTTCAGCTGGGGTAGAGTTCATTTCCTTCTTAGCACTTGGTACAGTGCTGCATTTTGGATTCAGTATGAGAATAGCACTGATAACACATGACATTTTAGTTTTTGCTGGGCAGTGGACTGAATTGAGAATTTTTCAGTGTCTCATGCYCTGCCAGTGAGCAGGTGCACACTTAGATGGGAGGGAGCACAGCCAAGATAGCTGATCCGAACTGGCCATGGAACATACCATAGAACATCATGCTCACTATATAAACTGGAGGGAATTGACCAGGAGCTGCTGAACACTTGCTTGGGGACAGCTGGGCATCAGTCAGCATGAAGTGGGCACTTGGACATCATGTTTCCCTTGGGTTTTATTCCTGTCTGTGTGTCTGTCTCTCCTTTTTATTATTTTATAGTTGTTTTGATTATTAAACTTTTCTTACCTAAACCCACAAGGTTTACCTTTTCTTTTCAATTCTTCTCCTCCCTGGGGTTTGGGGACTGACTGCCTGCATGGCACTTACCTGTCAGCTGGGGTTAAGCCACAACTGTAGGAAAAACTTTGTGCATTTGTCCAGTTGTTTTCAATACAGCTCTTGCTTTTGGAAGCACAGGCTCTGAGCTATACTACTTGTTACCTGGTGTGTGCTRTGAAAGTCACTAGGTGGCATTCTTAAGTAATATAAGAGTTTTTAACAGGATTTTCTTCAAAGCTGTTTTTCTTTTTGGAAGGTAGTTCATAGGTGAAGTAGAAGGAGGTAATTAGGGTTTAGCTGCCTGAATTTCTCAGTGATAAATTCTTGGGATGCAGTGCACCGGGAACATGGATCAGAGACTGAGCAGTGCCATTTGCACTCCCTTGTAATTGACAAGTGGCAAGTAGATAGTAAGCTYATTTAATGTTTCTCTAAGATATATTCTGAGTCTCTTCAATTTTTCTTTCCGRTAGAAAAACTTCCTGTAACAATATTTTTATGTCGGTGCAGTATGAGRCAGATGTGCCATTTACATGTGACAGTTACACATTATGTTATAAGCAACTTTTTGCTCAGTCTTAAATTATACAGAGCAGTCTCAAATCAATTTAGTTTTGCTGTTTTCTGAAATTATCTTCTGATCTGCATCCATCTCTAAAACTCTGCCTAAAATCTCTTCCATAAATTACATTGAAATCCTGTCCCAGTGTCTTTGTGCTAACAAGACAAGGGCCTTACCTSACAGTCTTCTTGGCTTTTGTGTTGCTGGACGTTCATAAATTCAGGGAATGGCTGAGAGTGGAMGGTTCTGCTGGAAGTCATCTGGTCCAACCACTTGATCAAGCCACCTGGAGCTGRTTGCCCAGTACTGTGTCCAGACAGCTTTTGAATCTTGTAAAGGATGGAGACTCCACAGTCTCTCTGGGCAGCCTGTGCCAGTGCTTGGTAATCCTCAMAGTGAWACAGGATTTCTGGTGTTCAGACAGAACCTCCTGTYTTTCAYTGATTGCCCCTTGTCTCTTGTCCTGTCACTGGGCACCCCAGGAAAGAGCCTGGCTCTGCCATGTGGGCACCCTCCCCTYGGGCTTTTGCGTAACTCTCGAAGAGACCCCTCTGAGCCTTCTCTCCAAGTTAAACAGTTCCTGCTCCTTCAGCATTCTGTTACAGGAGAGATGCCTTCACTCCTTCACCACGTGTGTGACCCTTTGATGGGCAGTGTCCAGTGTGTCCAGGTCTCTCCTACCAGGGAGCCCAGACCTGGTCAGTGCCCCAGGTGTGGCTTCACCAATGCTGAATAAGGGGCAAAAACACCTCCCTCGGCCTGYTGRCAACGCTGCTCCTGCTGYAGCCCAGGACACCCCRGCAGTTTGTGCAACCACAGCACCTTCCTGGTTCACATTCAACTTGGAGACCACCRGGACAGCTGGGYTCTTTTCTGCRAAGCTGCTTTCTACCGGAGTGGCTTGMAGCAAGTGCTGGTGCCTTTGGGTTGCTGCTTCYGTGGCGCAGGACTTTGCATCCCCCCTCACTGAACTTCCTGAGGTTCCTGTCAGCCCATTTCTCCAGCCTGTCCAGGACCCTCTGGAGGCCATGACAATCTTTGGTGTCTCAGCAATTCCTACCAGATCTGCCTAACCTGTCAGCTTGCTGAGGTTATACCCTGCCCCATCACCCAGATCATTTGTGGGGATACTGGACAGAATTCAAYGGTAGTGACCCACTAGGCACACTGTTGGTTACTGGTCTCCAGCTGGATTTTGTGTCACTGATCACAAACCTCGGAACCTGATGACGCAGTCAGTTTTTTGTGCACTTTCAATCYGTATTTCATCAACTCCCTTAAGAGGATGTTAGAAGAGGCAGTGTTAGTGTTACAAGCCTTACTGGAGTCTTGACAGCTGATAGTGTTTACTGCTCTCACTTCATTTATTGAGCCAGTCATTTCACTGTAAAAGGTTATGAAGTTGATTAACTGTAACTTGCCCATTATGAATCAATTCTGATTCTGCTCCAAGTTTTTTATGTTCTGGACATAGTTTCTTCTTTACTTGTTCCATCACTTTCTCAKGGACTGAGATGAAGCTGACTAAACTGTAATCTTCTAGATTATTCTCCATCCCTTTTTTCTCAGGTTGTGAGTTTAGAAGGCTGAGATTTCTGTCTTATTGATCTGAATGTGTTTGAACAGATACAAGAATTGTATTCTTTTYGAAAGCGGTAGAACCTTGAGCACTGGAATTAGTGAATATAATGTTGCTATGGCTGCTTAATTTTGRAGACCTACATTAGTATAACTCACACTTTCTACTCTGATTTCATGTTGTTTTCCTTTAAATTTTTTTTCCCAAAAGTAATCAGGAAGGTCCACTGCTGCAGATTCATTATCTCTTTTTTGCAGTGTTTTTTTTCTTCATTTATGTTTTTTATGTATAAGCAACTAAGCAAATGGAAATTTAAAATATATTCATTTAGTTAAAAGAAATTCATTTCTAGCTGGAAGTATTACATATCTGATTGCAAGCCAAGRTTGTAGAGTGTGTTTTGTACTTCTTCAGAAGTAAAAGTTGAAACATGTTTTTGTAGGTCCAGTGACAAATTRGGTCCTGAAGAAGAAAGTGAACAGAGAGCAAGGACCCCAAGATCAGACCTCATGAGACTTACTAGAAAAAGAGATTGTCCTGATGAARGTGAAAACAGAGAAGAAGACTGCAGTAAGAACAGAAATCAAGAAGAGTGTTTGGTGTTACTAAAAACAGGTGTATCCGTGGTAAGTGCTGATCATGTGTTTTGAGCCAGTTATACCTAAATTCATTTGCCTAAGATCTTAGAACCATGGTTGGCACAGAAATCCAGTATATGGCTGGAAAAGGTTGATAGGATTATTTGATTTTTTTTTTAAATTTCACTATTGGACTTTMTGGTGAATAAATGGACTTACAATCTAAAAACTGTGAAAATATTTAATATACCCTCTTGTCTTAAGTTCTGTCATTTATATGGTCAGAAATTTGCTTTATAATAAATACATGYTAATCCTGTTAACAATTTAATGTTTGTTATTCACTGAACAATGGCAAATAAGGCAGTTATCTAACTTCAGATACTATCTAAAATCTATATAAGTATACTTAAAAATTAAAATGAGTGTGAACGAAGTTCACACCTTCTTCTACTTAAATTTGCTCAGCGGGCCTAATTTAGCCCAGTCTAGTTCCTTCTCTGTCCAAAGCTKGTGTTTCCTATTTTATATATGTATGACTAAAATCTTCTGGTTAACTTATTATTTTAGTCAAGTATCCATAGATGACAGAACTGTGGCTGCTGCTGTTTGTTAGTGTATATGTTGAAWAATATTTAAATGCTGTTGTATAAAGCATGATAGTTTTTTCTTCTTGGTTTGTTCCCAAGGCAGAAAAAAATTTCCTTCCTGCAAATTGTTCTTTAAATTAATAGGTAATTTTAGAAAATGATTAATGTTTCCAGTTTCTAAAGAGTTGTTGCTCTTGATAAATTGAGCATGGTCTTTGTCTATTAACTACCAGCAGCTTGGGGAATTCAAGCATCATAGATAATACTAGTTAATGACACCTCTGCTATAGAGCCCAAAAATAATGACAATGAGTAAAAATGCCCTAAATTATCAGAGATGRCAGCTGGGCATGTTTTCAAGATCCTCAAACTGAGTTTTTTACAACTTTCTGTCACCAAAACCAGTTTTAAATGTTTGGCACTTAATATGGTAGTAATTATCTCCTCTGTTCAGCAAAACTCCAGTAACATAGTGGAAGCTGGATCCTGCTCAGAAGCTACCAGGAAACACAGTTTTACAGAGAATGTTGAAGAAACATCTTGCAAGAGAATCAGGCAGGACATTACACTCCAGTCTCCAGAGAGATCGTCAGAGAGTGAAAGTCAAATAGAACAAGATGATKATTCTCAGCTTTCTGCCTCTCAGGAAAAGAATTCAGACAATCTCACAAGGTAAAACAACTGTTTTGGTTTGTGAACTCAACTGATTGGTAATTATTGGTCATAGTTCTGCAATGTGAGTGCATGCAGCATGTCAGTTCTTRTGTGCATTCTTAGCAGATGCATGCACATATCCCTATGTCTCTTATCCTGCCTGTATTCTCATAAAATGAGCACAGCCAGTATTCTCACCAATCCACCTCATGGTTTCAACAGAAATTCCTAATGTTATAGGGGAAGACTTTTAAGTACTCATATCTGGGGGCATAGGGATTGTGGAATTACCTAAAGAGAAACTTTGTGCTGGAAGTGTCCTTTGCTGCCATTTGCTTTCACTTCCCATCAGTTTACCAAGGAGCATTTTCTGGGGGAATGCTTTTGTAATTGCTTTTGACATTCCAAGTGGTTRTGCACATGATTTTGAGGAAGGAAACAGTAAGGCAACTGATTACTGAAGGAGGTTGCTGTCTGAAAAACCAAAGCAGATAAGTAGTTATCCTCTAACAGTTTCAGTTTGTAAACAATAGTCTGATCAACTAATGTAATGTAGTTTGGGGCTTCTAGTGCAACAGCAACTGGAGGTGTTCCCATGACTTAAAAAGTACATGACTTCGACATCCTTCAAAATTAAAATTATTTCATACTTTTCTAATCAAAGAATTCTGTATCTTGTTTATCTGTATCAAATTTAATTGTGAAGATTTCCAGCATTCTGAAACTGCTTGATGCACATTTACAATCCGTACTTTATGTACACATGAAGAAATTAAATTTCTGATTAAATGCTTGTTTGTCMCTATTAAGAAGTAAGTAGTTTGCATTGTTGGTCACAATGATAACTTTTTTTTTTTAATAGTGTTTGTTTTGATTTGTGGGGTCCCTCTTTTTGGAATGTCTTGGACTTCATTGTTTTTGTTCTGTACTTTAGAAGGCAGTTGAGGAGATCATCAAAATGGACAGCGCTGCCAGAACATGTGTTGGAGCCAAGAACTGCTATTTCTGCCTCTGAATGTGAGGCTGACTGTAGTGAGAAGGTAAATCAAAAGCAAGAAGCTAAACTGAATATTAATAGAGGCAGAAGTTTGAAAACTACACAGAGAAGAAAATCTGGGAAGGAACCTAGAAGTTCAAAGATAACCTTTGTCACCCTCCGAGCTTCTCAAGAGGAAGAGGATGAGGAGGTGGATGACTTTGAGCTTGAAGATGAAGATGAATGCTTTGCACCAGAGGAAGTAAACAAGGCTCCAGTGTTTGTTCCTATAGGTCTTCGATCTCTGAAACCAGTTCCCGTGCAGATAGAGGAAACCATGGAGGAGGTATTGCTTAGCTGGGTTCTGCATATGTTATTTTGTTCTGATAATTCAAAAAGATTTTATTCTRATTGTATCTCAGAGTATTTGTATTTTATGTGAGTTCAATTTTAAGAATGGTGTTGAGAGGACTAGGGACGTTACTTGGCACAGACACTTGGTTTTGAACTTAACACGGCATCAGCCTAAAGTCCAGTTATGTAATGACGTTTGCAAACTGTATATGGGTCTGCTGGGTGCTCACCAGTTTGTTTATTGGGATTGTATATAGGCCCAGACTACCATGCTCATACATGAGTTTTGAGGCCCAGGATGGATCAAATGGAGCATTTCAATTTCATATTTGAATGTCAGGAAATGAGGGTGTGAAGGAAATTTTTCTGTGTGCCAAGAAACTTTTAACTGTCAGGTAGGCTGACATGATTAGCAGCTAGACACACACATGCATCTGCTTAATCAATTCCTTTTCCTGTGGGACAAGGAGAAATCAGGAGTGTCAAAAGGTTGCTCTATTGATACGAAGACAGTTGCATACATGATGAAAAAGATGCGTGTAAATAAAAAGCAAAATAAGGAATTTGTTTGCTACTTTGCATTGTAAGGTTACTTCCTGGAAAGCAGTCCCTCAGTCTGTGTAAGAGTAMCTTTGGAAGACAAATGCCCTAGCCACAAATGGCCTTCTCTTTTTCCTCCTTTCTCTGAGCTTTTCTTGCTGAGTAGGTCATCGTATGATACAGAATTTCCCTTTGTTCAGCTTGAGGCAGCTGTCCTAGCCATGTACTCTCCTGACCTTTTGCCTACTCCTAGTCTCCTTGCTGGATAAAAGAATGGGAAAAAAAAGCTTTGATGCTGTGCAAGAATAGCGAAAACATTGCTGTGTTTCCAGCACAATTCGTAACACAGCAGCACTATGTGAGCTGGTATAAAGAAAATTGACTTCATCCCAGCCACTCCCAGTACAATCTTCTCCCTTTATTTCATACAATTTCTATTATGCCCAGGTCCTACACTATCCGGTACATCCATACTAGCCACAGCTTCTCTTTCTGTTCTTTGATAAATACATGGCTATCGTTCCCTTGGTCTGTGCTCTGCCCCTCACCTTAAAATGSCCATCAAATGGCCTTTTGAATTATTTAATCCATGCCTTGTGCTCCATGTATGTATTACATGGTTGCTCCCATGGTGTATTTGGGTACCAAAACCATYCCAGGTCAGTGACAACTGTACTTGCCTTGTTTCTTGTGAGATGTGTCTTCTCTTGATTAATTTTCTTTTTACTGTAATGTACAACTCAGAGGATGGGTTAAAAAGTTTGTGTCCATTCAAATCTCGAGCCCTTGTTGCCTTGATTCACTCAGCAGAGTTTGGTGGTGTGGTGGATTCCATTCCTTCCTAGCCCATGCTCCAGTGGGGGTTCTCCATGGGATGCAGCCCATTTGAGGATGTTCTTCCTCTGTCTGGCAGGGGCTGATCAGTGGGCCCCAGTCCCTGATGCTGTCAGTGAAAGACCATCTACATATTTGTTAGTTTTTTTCAAATATAATACATTTTTACTCTTTCGTGGGTGATTTATAGAGTTGGAAACTTAATGTCTGGTGTGCAGACCTCTATTATATTAAACTTGAGCTTGTAACATTCAATACATGCAAGCACGATGTGGTGTGGCAAGACATGGTATTGTATCTATTTATATCGATAGCGGATACATGAGTACTAGTGAGGGATGTGGTCAGGTATCTGAGGACTCTGTTGTAAAATTGAAATAGGTCAGTAGAAAGCATTTGTAAAAGTGCAAGCCCTTGAGAGCAACTCAGATTGGGCAGTGKTTTTTTTGTGAGAACCTCCCTGGAAATATCATAACCTTTCTGTCAAATTTCAAGTCCWCATTTCTGAAAATGTCATATCTCTGAAGTTGTCACTGAAAATAAAAGAAGAAGAAAAAAAAAATAGGTAAAACAGCAAGTGGATGTGTTTCTTCGTGTGGGTCTGTCTGTTCCCTGTCTTGCTTTGGAAAACAGGCTGAACTGTTTTTCCTTTCTGAAGACTTAAAAAGCAGAAAAAGAGTGAAAACTAGCAAGACCCATTTGAGGGAAATGTTCATCATAAAAGATCTCACCTGCATAACTTAGTTTGGTGGAGAAATGAGTGACTAGAAACAAGGCCTTAGGATGTCTGATGCTTCCACTCTAGCTGCAAGGAGCATTACCTGTTCTGCCTCCTGTTCATATCACTGCTGCCCTCTCAAATCAGAAGATAATGATTGTTGGGAAGGATCCCTCTAGATGTTGAACATCTGTTAAATATATTAAGTTTATAAAAATTGACATTTGACAGATTTTCTTTTGTGTCTGATACACTGAAATACTTATAAAATTATTTTTACAGCTGGAAATATCTGTGAATATCCCAGATGTGCAGGTGGCTGCTGGTGCTGAAAGTCTTCCTCATGCATCTATCCAACCACTGGTACAGAGGGAAGAAAAAGTAAGCACCTCAACAGCTGTAAGAATGACTTTTGTTTGTTTCATAGTTCATATAAAGCTATTTCCACAGTCTTGTTCCCATGTCTGCATGTAACCATGTTGCTTATTAGACTGCTGCCTGTCCCACACAGATAGAAGAGGGACAGCTGTGGGAAAGCTATGAAAGTAAATTTTGTTAACTTTAAAACCAGGGTAAYGTGGGCACAGAATTTAAATGTAAGGATTAAATTAAAATTATTGGGGGTCATTTTATATAGAACTTTGATACTATTTTTCTTTGTATTTAAGGACATGACCATACATGAAAATCCAGATGCAGACAAAGGTAGATATGAAATGATCTTGTTCATGTATTTCCTGTTAACTTGCTATCAATGTATATATTTTCCACTTTCTCAGAGTATGTTTCCCAGAGGTGCCACCGTCTTGTCTGACAGGCTCAGCTGCATCCTGCAGTGAGTCAGTTGGAACTGTGTCCAGGGCAGCCCCGCTGCTGCCAACACCTTGCCACCCATGTCCAGTATACCATTTAAGGCAATCATGTTGCTGCTCAGTGTTCTAACAGTAGTTTGAATTTGCTGGATGAGAATGGCTGCTTGTCTACGAGCATTTTGATCCATAAATAAGATCAATTAAAAAAAATGCTTCACTGTATTGGTGGTAGTGTCAAATGCTTTTTGAATACCGGCTAGTGGATTTCTGGTTAATGTGCTTGTATCTTCTAATGTGTGTGAACAACTTCACAGGAATTAATGATGGAAGCACTGAAGCTGCTATGACTTTACTTGCAATGGGTGATCCAMATTTCCAGTTAAAAACAAGCACTGAAGGTACGATCTGATTTGTGGGACAAAGCCTTGCCTTCTGGGTCCACCTAAGGAGGGATGGAGCAGCAGCTGCAAAGCTCTTCCACATGCTGCTGCATAGCAGGARGTCAAGAATCTTTTAGGCTTTTACTCCTGTTGCATTGTAATGCATAGTGAGTTTAACTGATGCAGGTTGGCCGGAAAAAGGCAGGCACCCTATGGATACTGCCAGCTGTGTCACTGCCAGAAGGTTGCTTCTGTGACCTGTTTTAGGAAGGACATACTTGAATTGGATCTGGTCTCCTCAACTGAACAAAAGAAAGGGATCAAGCTTAAATGGCTGCAATGTCCAGTGATCTTTTCAGATCTTTATTATGAAGCATGGCTTTTTCACCCCAAGTAGATACAACCTGAAATTACCTGGATTTTTTATRGATTCTATTTAGCATTTACTGTCTGCTTTCATTGATCGAATGTTAGTTTTTGTGTTCTTAATACCTAAAGTGTTCTCTTAGGACTGTATTTATCTGGGATTTGAATTTTMATCTTTAGAGAGTACAAATTTTGTTAAATGGTGCTCGAAGTTATACAGTTTATAAACATGCCAAACCTGAGTTTTAAATTATGTTTTCCCATTCTGTTTATTGTTGTAACCAGAACAAATGCRCATGTCACCTGCTCAAGATGAGTTGGACGTGGCTGATAGCCCTGTAACTCATACCTACGCCAAAGAAAATAGAGCTTCTAGTCAATATTTGCTTGCTTTAGACACTTCTATCAAAGAGTTGCTGCCTTCTGAGGATGAAAATAACATCAAAATAGAGAATCAAATCGCTAGCACAAGAATAGGTGTAGAAGAACATTCGGAGAAGGATGCTGCTGATACCAGGTTAAATTACTACTTCATTTTCTTGAGTGAGAGAGACCCTCTGACACTGCTTACTTTTACTRGGTTCCTTCTGGCATCTTTATTGATTTGCAAGCAATCTTGCTTTAGTAATGTTTCTCTGTGTAATTTGGTATCTAATCTGCAAAAACTCCTCTCATCTCTTTCTTATGAGTTTCACAAGGTGTTTCTATGTAATTTTGGAGATGTAGAACTAGTTTTCCTCTCATTTCAGTTTACCTGGGGAAGGGGGTGGGGCAAAAAAAATTATGCAAGTGAAGTTGTACTGGTTCACTGTTAATTACCAAGCTCTTTTCCCATARTTCTCTACAGCTAATCAGACCAAGGCAAATTGCCGAAGTGTCACTGCTCTGTGGGATGTAGATCAAAGATTTCGAGCAAAGGGATGGCAGGAAAACAGTTGATCCTCTATCATTATGGTTTTTAGTGATTTATCTTTTATAGTTTTGTATTTGTGAATTACAAGACAGGTTAATGGGACACTTTTCTAGAGAAACAGCTGCTGGTGATCATGTATTATTTGAAAGACTATTTAGCTTGAACAAACTATGAGATCATACTCTTCTGAAAAATCATGATTCAATTTTACATCCAGTTTAATTACATTGTTAAACCAGAGCTTTGTTTTGCATGCAGTTTAATTACATCATTAAACCAGAACTTACTACCATGTGATCAGTGTTAGATTTCTGATCTCCTGTAATTTGAACATTTCAATTGTTCTTCCTTTTYCTTCCTTTACATTGGAAACATGTTATTTTGCAGGCATACTTGTCTGTTTCAATTCCTGGATGATTTTTATTTTTTTTTAYTCTGCTGAAAAGTTTTCTGTCTTCTGTGCCAGCATTGCACCTGCAGCCTGCATTTCATTGTCTGATCTACCCCATATCTCTCGTATGTTCTCTTCACTAACTGTCAAAAATCAAAAACTCTATTAATGGCATTTTTCTTTTTACTTGCAGTGATAGCTCTTTGTGTATGATGAATAGTATGAGACTGACAGAGGGTGGGTACCTGGAACCTGAGCCAACCTCTGGAGTRTTGAGGTCCAATGACAACGTAAGGCAGGAATTACTTAACACAAATGTACTCATGGAACAASTAGAGCAAATTCAAGCTGGTAAGCCTGTTTCTTATCCTAGGGTTCTGAAAATGGTTATTCAGATAGATGCATATCTATTAAAGCAATGAAACTAAGCTGAAAGTCTTCGATTTCCATTCATGTTCACAGATGCTACATGACCACTGTAACATAGGGTACCCATATGTAGTATATTTATAGTATATATTTGTAGTATTTACACATAGGTATACCTGTCAGTATAAAATTAAATGAAATTTGAATAGGAGGTTTTTTCTGCAGGTAYTAAATTACTGGAAAACACTAGAATTACTGGATTACCAATTACAGAAATACAGTCCAATGCTGTGTACTTTTTTTCCGTTATTACTGTTTTCCTTCCATTAAAAGTAGAAGAGATAGAAAGAACTGTTTTTCTMTTCTTAAAGCAGTTGCAAAAGAGGTAGTCTTCAAACTCTTAATTGTCTTCATCTCATTGGCAAAATGCACAAGATATGAAAGGCAAAATTACATGTATATGTACCTTATTTATATGAGATACAAGTATACACGTGCACATTTATGTATGTTCTATATAAACATACTATTGAATTTTAATGTATACAAGCTTTATGTGTAAAAAATAGAATGAATATGTGTATACAGCCACAGACCAAAAAGACATAATTTTAATTTTTATTCTTGTAAAACTTAGATCCTACARCCCTGAGGAGTACTGCAGAAATGCAGAAGGTGGAACTAGAATCAATCATTCCAGCTGCAGATGAATCTTCATWCCTTCATGACTTTGCAACTGGAAGTATGGAACTTACGAAGCAAGTAGACAAAACTGAGAGGTAGGAAGACTCATCACTTAGTATTGACGTTATTCCTGCTGTCTCTTAAAATATGCAGCTGAAGTTCAGGTGCAATATGCAACTAATGGAAACTGTGCTCACAGACACTGCRTATGTTTATACAGATAGTGTACAGTTTACACTCTAGATTTTTCTCTTTTGCATGTAGTACTGCAGCTTTTGGAGGTCAGACATTAACTYATGTCTGCTATTTCATTACCTTTCTGCTTAACTTCTTTCATGATACTGCATGGAAATGTTAAGGAGTTGATCCATTTAAACATTTTAATGAGCTTATAGGGCTTGCTGCTTTCTTGTACTTTTAGTAAGACTGTATCCATTAGTGGAGTTACAGAGGCCTTTCCCTGAACTTCTTCATGTAGACTTGTTCAAAGATTAGGCATTCTATTTAGTAGAATGGTGTAATTTTTTAAACAGGTGCTTTGTTTCCCTGTAATTACATATGCTTCATATTAAATAGAATTTAACACCTAATTTAGCATGTGCACAAGGTATCTTCATTTGGTTTCAAATTAACTAGATATATATACCTTGCAGAACAGAAAAACAGAGAGGTGATGCTTGTGGAARTTCAGGAGATTTAAGACCTCTAACTTCATCATCAAAACCTGAAAACTCACACCTTGAACTAGGGGATTGTCCAAATCCAAGTTCTGTGRATGAACTTCTTGAGCAAAGTCCTTGTCCTCTTGAGCACAATATATGTATGATCAACTTTACTCAGGTAAGGAACTTAATTACAGTCAGAAGTGTCCTGTTTTGGAAATTCTGTAAAGAAAGAGTTTTTCRGTGMAAATGTRCTYACTTGTTCTAAAGACCTAGTACTTMAGCTGATAAATGAAACTTGCWTTTTTGCAGRGGCATWTCCAAACAGTCTTTCAGACAAACTTAATCTTTGCAAACTCTGTTGAAAACATTTCATCAATAARTGATAATGGAATAGCAAAATTGTGAGAAGTTTTTAAGGAGTCTTGATAGAAGAAAGGATTCATATATCCATTCAGTGTGACCTTTTAGTGTTATATTTGTTTAAATTAAAATGAAGTTAAAATGTTACTGCTCAGATGGAGCATATTCACTGTCACTTTTATTTGCTTTATTCGAGGCAAACTGCATCCTTTGTTATACCCTTTCTCATTTATTTAAAGAAACCAATTAAGAGCTTTGCATGCATGTTATTATAAGACATATACATGCTTTGCATATATTTACATATATGTGTATCATCATCCTGTATATTGTCATGGGCAAACAATATGTCTTTCAATCCATTTCTCTGCAGTGGTTTGTCTGTGTTCTAGTTGTGTGTCTGTGTTCTAGTACGCATGAGAGCTACCTGATTTCTTCATGAGAGAAAGGTTCATTCTCAGTTCCCTCAGGTTTTCTGATGTTSTCTGAGATCAGTGGGTACACAGTTAAGGTGGAACAGCTGATGCATAGAAGCTCGTTTACCCAGTGCAGCAGGTTGATGTATCAAGAGTGATTCCATATTAGARCAACATGGAAGAATGATGTGGCTCTTACAGGCCTGGCAGAGAGTATGAGGAAAGGCAACTTGCATTTCATKATTCCTGGTTTTGGCAAAGGAACAAGTCACAGAAGGGAGGGCATAGATGAGCTGCAGAGCTTGGTGTTTTTCATTGGCACTCAGTGGTCTGTTAAGAGTTGCATGAATCTGCTGTCTTATTGCCACTGAACATTTATTGTGTGAGTCATCTCTGACAGAGTTGTGCTGTAGAAAGTATAAATTTATTTTGACAAACCATCAATACAGACAACGAGCTGCATATCAATTTCATATTTCCCCAGTGTTTCTTGTCCTTGTCAGGCTTATAGTCTTCAACCTAGAGCAGCTGGAAGTGAAAACTGACAAATGCAGTAATGATGATGTGATTAGATTTTTTGGTTCTCCAGTACTTGACGTGCTTTGTTTCTTCCTGTTTCCTAGAGTTATTTACTAGATTTATTAAGTTGTTTTATTTCAACTGTGTTGTTTCTAGAATGAAGCTTGTGTTCAGGATGTTCAACAACATTGTGTAAGCAGCGCAGAAGAAACTTCAGGTATAATGTGCTAATATTCAGAGTTAGCAAAAGCCCACACTTGTTTATCTTGCAGATACTAAAAAATTAATAAAAATGCTAAAATATTAATTTAAAAAKACCTAAAATTCATTGACATGATTAATCAATCTATTGCATTAACACATACAATGATCCACAGCACAGCTACATTCCTCTCCATAGCCTCTTGTTTTTGCATTCCATTAACAGAAGCTAGATTTGGGAACTTTTTCAATGGCCCTTCATTTAGTTTAAATATCAGTGGAAGAGAAACTTAGTCACTTTTCTCTGTTGTGAGCTCATGCTACTTAGCTCGTGGTAGGTATAGCAGTTTTTAGAGCCCTTTGTGCGTATCTGACTCACCTGTCAAAAACTGAACAGGACAGAGGGAGAGTAACTRTGTAGCTTTCCACTGGCTTTGTGAGCTGTAGTAGCTCATGAARTTATCAAGTGAACGCTGTTGTTAGAGTTTTGTGWGTAGGAGGGCTATACTGTGCAAATGTGGAGCAGGAGAGAAAGAAGACATCTAAGTAAGACAATCAAACTCCCTTTTTTAGTTGTACTGAGTCAACAGATTAATGCCTAACTGATCAGGTGTGGTGAAAGTTATGAAGGTGATATCTGCTTTTCCCTAGAACAAATTGAAATGCATTTGGTTTGAAACCACTACTTGTCAAACATATGTGGTAGTGACAGTGATAGAAGCACAGAATACCTACTTTACATGGAAGCTGCAGCCCAKAGCTGTAACTCAAGAGCTTGTGCAAAAGATGGGCTAATACTTGTTATATATCTGTTACTATCCTCCTTGGGATCTGTTACTATCATCCTTGGGATGAAGCATCTTAAATCATGTTTAATTAGATAAAGAAACCAAGCAAGTTGAGGTTGGAATAACAGGTTTACATCATTGAGAGCTGTCTTAAATAATGGAGTACCATTGTTRTTTTCCATCTTTTGAAAACTTTGAAAATGTTTGTTACTTCTAACAGATGGCAGTTGGCAGTTATCTGTTAATGTCTGTTTGTTTATTAAATTATTCATCTATTAAATTCAAGACTGTGTTTCTCAGATCCTCTTCTGMCAATCTGCATTGAGAGGAAAAATCCTGTGTTTACCTTAAAAACAGCAGACACCTGCCATGTAAAGAAGTAACTCTTAATACCTGAGAGTTGGAATTAAAAACAGAGGGCCATTTGACTACCATGAAACAAGTTTAATTAAGCTGCAAATTGCTCTCTAATGCTAGAACACCTATTAAAAAATGTTCATCATTATTAGGCTTTTTTAATATTCCTCATTCTGAATGGTAGTCAGGATTCCACTTCAATGACAGGCACCAGGACATTCTCATCTAAGACAGGAAGCATATTGTCTCAAGAATATGCTCAGTGCCTTTTTCCATGGAGAAATGAGTGCCTAAAATTTCAGTACTCCATATAGTTAGGACATGAGGAGAACAGCATAATTTTATATTTGATTAATAGTTTTTTGTTTCTTTATTTCTCTGAAAAATTATAGTAGTGAATGATGATCATAGATGTCCAGAAGAAGAACAGACATTCATTTTAACATTGGTGGAAATACCAGCTGACTCAAAAGAGTTTGATGCATCTGTTATGCTGGAACAAACTTCAGAACCAGTACTACCAGCCCCAATACTTACCAGGCCAATAAATGCAAGTGAAACAACTGTGGCTGAAGTGGAGAGGTAAATGSTTTATTTTTTATCAAAGTGAAGCACTTTTTGTGTAACTTGTTTGTTCTGTGAACAGTGCAGTAGAGACTGGAACTTCTGAAAAGAAGAAATGCAAGAGGAAGTGATTTTGATGGACTACTTAGAGAATTAAGAAAGTAAAAAGGGCTCTAATCAGAATAGAGRAAGATGTTTTATGTGTTTTAAAGTCAGTGTTTTAGTTAGCTGGAATTTTGGTGTCACCTTAATTCTGATTTACCCTTTAGAGCAAGTCTTCCTTTTTAGTAGAAGTCATTTGTCCATCCTGAGTCTTATTCTGCCAGAGATACTATTAATGCAAAGCAATTGAAATGAAAAAAACTAAGCATGTTTGCATTTTTACAGTACTTTAACAGCTTTGTAGAGTAGCTGTTTATTGCTCTTCTAGATTTTTTATGTAGATGGTCTTCTGGAGAACATGATAAACAGTAGATATAAATTCTTGGATCATTCTCTTTGARTTTGTGCTATGTTCAAAGGCAGTCAAGTTGAAAACACAAACTAATCACTTGAAAGAATAATAGCTGGTTTGCCTACTGCAATCCAAAAGGATTTGAATTTTTCTTACMAGGAGAACCTCTCAATGCAGTGTAAGAAAATCTTGATGTCAGCATTACAGTTGAACTAAATCTCTTAGCTTGGGAGGAAAAAAAGTCAAGAGGAAAAAGACACTCTGAAGGATGGAATTGTTGCAAAGTTGTAAAAAACTCAAAAACCCTAATACTATACTAAGTCCTCAGATCATAASTAGAGAGATGATGCAGTTACACATAATTGTGGAGAACCTTACCCCTTGATATCAGATGCTAATATAATTCCTTTATTGATAGGTAGGTCTTTGAGTGAATGTTGGCTACATAGTGTAAGAATTCTAACTCCTGTGGAACTACTGRTGATAAATAGAATTGCTGACAGGCAGAGTAAATGTTCTGTCTCACTGTTCCCATATTGCTCTACCCCGTTTCCCTAGTCTCTGCTGCTTCTTTGTATGTCCCATATATGTCTATATGTCTTTTGAGATCATACAGTGTGTGGAGATCCAACTGTGCAGATAAATAATACCATATTTTAGCATTTTCTAGGGCAGTTAATAAGCTGCCATATTTTTACATTGTATGAAAAGACCAAGTGGAGTTCAAATAGAACAGCTAAAGTAACTAGATTCAATTATGACTAGGAAAACCAACTCCAGATAGCACAACAAAATGTTTCTTGGTAGTAAATGGTGCATTTGAAKTTAATATTGACATTAAGCAAGAGTATCACCATAGATTCAAGTGTAATTTCCATACAGAAACCTTATGCAAAGTAAAATTTGGCTTCTTGTACAGTCACAATAATGACTTTATATATAAACAGTATTGGATCCTTGACAACTGTAGCTGGTGAAGTTGCTGCACCTTTAAACAGCAGTATGAAAACCAAACAACTAGAGAGTGCATCAGTAGACCCTGTTCCAAAGTTGCAGACAGCTCAAAAACGGTCGGCTGCAGAGCTTGAAGAGAATGATTTTCCTCCTTCCAAGAAAATCCTGCCTGCTATTGCAGTGGAAGATAATTTGGAAACCACTTACAAGGTGAGATCATGATTTAGTGAGTTTTTATGAATGGGATAGATGCATAACACATAATAGAGCATTTCAATTATGCTTATTGTTTAATGGTGTAACATGCTTAAGCATGTACTGCCTATACAACGTAAAAGGAAAATCAACACCTATAGATTGCTTTTAAATTTGAAATCTACAGCCGGTTTTAGGTGTCCCTTTGTTAGTATTAGTTTGGGTTTTTTTTGAGAATCTGTAGGCTCTCAGGTTTTTTTAATTAGACTTTGTAGTAGGCAGAATGGTAATATGTTTTTATTCCGTTCCTTCTGCATCATCTTTCCGACAATGACATTGCAGGAGGGAAAACTCTGGGAGTATATTTGATGACTGGCAGACTATCTAGGCTTACTGAATGATGTTTTGAATCTGCATTGTGTCTGTTACATGAAGAAGCTGCTAGATAGATGTGTTCTATTAATTTTTAACTTAGTACTGGTTTAAAAGAGCAAGCTGCCAGCTGCCATCTTTCCAGCTTCCTTCTGAGCTTTTTTACAATATGACCAAGCTTGTGACAGTGGGTACGATTGATCATTGTAAGTGGGCTAACATTGTATAGTGTACCTTGGTGAAGGAATGGGTGGTAATTCCCCACATGATTCAGAGAGCTTTTCTAGGAAGGGCTGRATAACAGTCTTCTTCCTTCTTTGATCTCTTATCTCAATATCCTTGTCTTGAGTAATTTGTCACAGGAAATGAATTAAGTGATAAATGATGCTGCATTGTCTTCTGTATCAGTCCTGCTCTTAGAACTGYACATGTGTGATATGAGTTATCAACTTCATTGTCTCTTCTGTATTGAGAGCAATAAAGAAATAACTTCTTTTTTTTTTTCTTCTTTAAATACAGTGTTATTCAATTAAATCCACAGATATGCCAACGATAACTTCTGGTAGGTACACTTAAACTTGTAATCCAAAGTATAATGAATGTAAATACTTAACACATCACAACTTAATACTGATCGTCATGTTTAATAGCCTTGTCTAAAGCCATCTAAYGCAAAAGTAGAAACAAATTTTCCTGGTACTACACTAATACCACCATTCTATCTATGTTAATACCACCATTCCATGTTTTCTGCTATAAACCAGTTAAAAGGTTGTTAATTTAGTAATGGTTCTAAAAGCATTTCTKTAGCTGGTTTGCTTGTGGAATTTGAGAGGGTTTTTTGACTGAACATGTTATCTTCTCTTAAGCAAATATTTCCACCTGTTACAGAGCGCTACTAATCAAAAGTATAAGCTGGCMTTTTAACCACACTGTGCCAAAATAATTTATTGTGTTTTGCATTTCTACTAAAAATATGTAGTTGTTTGGAAGCTTAATCTATCTGACACAGAGAAAAAGCAGAATTGTTGACAATGTAGTCTTCAGTGGTCTGAGCCTGTGAAGGGCTCGGTGAACAATTTTGGCCCTGAAAAAGACTTTTGAGGGAAATTGTAGAAGCTTAAACAGCTGCATGACTAGACTAAGTTCTGTGCTGTGCTTTAAAGGATGAGAGAGGGAAGAGTGTGATCTTAAAATTTAAAACCACACTTCTACCACATTTTCCCAGTAACATCTGTGCAGTCTTACAGGCTTTAAAGGTAGAYCATGAACTTTTAATTCTTAGTGGTGACTTATAAAAATAAATGGAAAAAAAAGACTGAGCAAAAATTCAGTACTTCTGTTATCATGGTGCAAACTATGTGAATAACACCTGCAGTTTTTATGCTCTTGTGTTATCACTGAAGTCTTTAATTCTCAACTCCTTTAACAGGGAATACTTTTCAAAAACCAGAGTCTTCAGCAAAGGAAAAGGTACTTACTTCTGTGTCTGAATCTATGTCATCACCGGCTGAGGGAAGCCAGCTTGAGACTTCAGAGAGCTTAGGGAAAGCACCATTTGAGAATCCAGCGTCCAAAAAGGAAGAGGAGATTATGTCTAGATTAGCCTCTAACAGAAAATCAGAAATAAGTGGACAAGAAAAGCATGAGAATGTGCATGAATCTGCACAGCTGGAACATACTGGAAGCCCGGCATCATCTTCAAAAACTCCATTACTCAGGTATGCAATAATTGCAATAATGTTTTGTCASCTTGTTCTGTAAAAAAAAACCCTTGTTTTTATGTTGACATTTTTACCAGTACTATTATTTGTGACCTGCATGGCTAAGAGTTACGTATCTATACTCTCCTGCAAATTAGAAACRATCAAACTGTCTGCTTTGAAATTTGAATTATTTTACTCATTCAGTGAGTRAACCAGGGGACACTAGTGACATATTGTGTGTCTGTTTAGACATTGAATGATGCCTCTTGTTAGGCAGACATCCATTTGCTGTGATAGGATCTTAGTATAAGTGTTGTTTTCCACAGGTAAGTCTTATGTTGTGAAATATATACGCATCCACTTCCTTTGGTGTTTGTCCTGCCAGTAAGATTTGTTACTGCTACAGTACTGAGCACACTGGATTTTTAGGGCTAACTTAAGTCATTTCCCCAAAGGAGTTTCAATCTTGGCAGCTCAAGAGAATATTCCTCTTATCTATCTGTTGACTTGGTTTTTAAAATAAACCTTTCTATACTGTTTGTTTAAATGTTTGAGTCCCTACTCTCTGTTGCTCTTGTGCTCAATTATTTTGATTAATGCTCTGCTGGTCTCTTSTAATCTGTCGTTTATTTTTTCATTATGTTTGTGTGATTACTAATACTGGCTCTTTGTACTTGGGACATCCTCAGCAATTGGATAGTGATGCATAAACATCAGAATCCTTGCCTTGAAGTTGACTTTCCAATTTGTAAACTCTTAACAACAGGAAACATGAATGCTGTGTGTACCTCCTTCAGTGCCACTTCCCTGACTCAGTGCCTTAAGTTCACTGGTACTGAGTTTGGTGCTGTAAGTAGGCTGAAACCCTGCCACCAGATAGTCTGTTGTAGTTCCATCCTTGGGAATCAGGTTTCTTTTTCCATTAAGTACCTGAAAAACACTCAGAATTTTCAGTCTTTAGTTCTTCAGAATTTTCAGTTCTTCAGGAGTGTGTCTCCATCCCTCTTTGACTTGAGGAGTGTGTCTCTGTCCCTCTTGGAATCACTCTCTGAAAGTCCGGTAGCTTGTTACGGGCTGTAGATTAGCAGCAAATGGTAGGTTCCTGTTTTCCGGGTCAAAAATTGTTGAGTCTCTGTGATTGTTCAAAAAAACTCTGTACTAGAATATTCAGCAATACAAAAGCGCTTCTTAGAATGACTTTTTTTCCTTAAAATATGCATATATTCGGTAGGTGTGTGTTTCCTGTGTAATGAGTTGGACTCCTGCCACACTATTTACATCTTCCTTTCRTGGAGCAATCCTGTGACATCCTGACTGTATTTGTCTTAAACAGGGGTGGACGAAAACCATTGGGATTTTTATCTTTAATTTGCAAAAAAAATAATTCTGAATCTGTAGAAGATACCAAAGGGAATAAAGGGAAGAATCAAAAGCCTCGCATTGTGACTCCAAAACGAAATGTAAAGAAACCCACTCCATCCACTACGGATGATAGGGAGTCTTTTTCCTTGCCCTCTACATCATCATCTCTGGAACATGAGTATGTAGTTGCTGATGCTGCAGTTACGGTATGTGTTTACTTTTGAACAYATTTTTGAGGGGTGAAGAACAGAGAATTAGTTCTTTCAGGGGTGGGTAGATGACCATGTAGTATTCATGTTTTGAGAGTGGTTTTTTGACTTGTGCATGTGAAGGAAACTTAKAAGAGAACTAAGTGGATTTTTCTCTTCTTGGATATCTACTTGTTTCTCATTTTCAGTAAACTCTGATTTTTTTTTTTCCTTTRGTCAAAACTTCCAACATAAATAGGACTYTCAAGTGCATATATATGTAAATATACTTACACATACACACCGATGAAACTGTTAAGAGCAGCCTTKTCTTGTTTTGTCAGATTCCAAGTAACGACTCATCTGAGAAGCCACCTTTCTATGCTAAAGATCAAGAGAAGGAAGGAGAGCCAACCAAAATCTCTGAGTACTTTTTCAGTGACATCTTTATGGAAGTGGATGATTCAGAATAGCAAATGGATTCTATAAAAACCTAGGATCACAGAACGCACTGCAACAAGAGAAGAGTATTTTAAGTTACAATTTGTTCTGATACTTGTTATGCCACGCTTACTAKCAGCCAGTAATAACAATACTGCTGTTAATTAATGCCATAAAGATGAAATGGATTCCTTCTGAAGTAACCTGGGTGCGTTCCAAATGCTGACATAATCTAAACCACTACAGTGACATCATTGGACCAGATTAGTGACTGCTGGCTTATGGTTTCACTTGTTTAGACACTGATGATGAGTGCATGACTATCCTACAGAAAAGTGCAATGAAATAATGTTTAATCTTGCAGCAAGTATCCTTTATCATTTTAATACTAAAACTTTTTGGTACTGGCTATTCAAGTTTTTACTTCTTTTTGTGAAGTATGTTACTGTTAGAAGGAGGAACGAACCTTTTGGGTACAATGTAATCTCTGAAGATCAGAATGCAAATACTGGAAATAGTGTATAAAATATATACATATGTTGAGCACTGCAGGTATTTTTAYGAGAGTCTCCAAATTACGTATTTTTGTAAGAGTTTTTTAACTACATAATTTAAAAATGCTAACCTGAAAAGCCCAATAGGGTTGGTTCCTTAAAACTGTCTTGAAAACTAAAAACCACAGTTTACTAAAAGATGATAACAAGGTTAATGTTTGCWACCTTGTTTATCACTGATGAGTTTATCCTTTATCCTTTCCTAGGATAAATGCTAATTTTCTTCTAAATTGGAAAACAAAGCTGTAGATGCAATTTCTTTTCTTTGATTTTACATGCAGGTGTTCGTATATTTGCTGACTTCCTTAGTTTTCCTTGTGCAAAGTACCACAAAGAGATTGGATTTAAACCATGACTAAACAATGTCATTTTGGGGATTTGCTGTTCTGAAGCAGCTGAATTAAAAGGGTTTTCTCACGTTGCATGTCTGCTTGTAGTAACTTGCTATAAAATTCTGGTGTAACTTTAGATTTTAGCCTAAACTTTTACTTAACTCGTCAAGAAATTTGTCTTGATGAAGAATTAGGTTTATGCACTCTGAAAGTCAGGCTGTCACTGAAAGAGTCAATATTTAGTCTGAAACTCCTGCTTGCATGACAGTGAGTGTGTAGATTTAAGTAGTCTTAAAATTTTTCCCATTACTTAATACTAGCAGATACTTTTGCAAAACGACTTATTATGAAGGTGAAACTGATGTTTAAATGGTATTAATGCTCTCTCAAGAAACCTATTATTGGCTTTGGACTGGGTAATCATTTATTGGTAGGTAAGTAATATAAATATGTAGTTCATTTTGAAATACTTGATGAAGTTTGAGAATGTTTTTCTCTTCAGAATTTATTGGCAAGGCTTCTGAAGGAGCCTTTCAAATTTTGTCAGTGAGGAGAAATACAGAAAAAGCTACTCTTACTGCAAATTGGTATGTTAACAGGTCTTTGTGAATGAAATGTTGCTAGCAACAGTATTCCTTGAGGTGATGGAAATGGCACTAGTGGTCCCAATGTAGGGTAGTTCACTTGAAAGCATCTGATCAACCCACCTCACCCCCAAAAAATCTTCCAAAACCACCAACAGTTTCTGTTCAGATGATACCTTGTGCTTTTTGCCTAATCCGTTTAACTTGAAATGTTTATCTAAATATTGTCTTACTGTAAACATTATGAAAGAGATTAATGTATACATRTAACTTTATGTATTGTATATCTTGTAGATATTAAGTATGCAAGTGTTTACTTTCTGTGGCATGTTTATATCACTTGCACTCATAGAGCCTAAAAATAGATTAGTGGGGAGTGGCTATGAAATAATTGCCGTGAGTACCTTCTGAGTGACTTCCGAGGGGATAATAATTCTACATTTAGTTGCATACATGTTAGCTTGCATTCATGATACAAGGGGAAAAAAAATCATCTACRTCATTATTAAGATTTATGGTGCCTTATCTGCATTGTTAATTGGGGCTGTGCTTTCTTTTTCCTTRCAAAATTACATGCACTTTGTTAGAGGATTTCTTTTTTTAAGGACAAACTTAATTTGAATAGAAATAAGACAATTTTKTGTTCTGTTTTGTGTATGAAAGTTTTATAATGATGAAGGATGTAAGAAAATATTGTTGAATTCTCAATGCCTATGAGTAGTGTTYATACAAAGATGTGGCATAAGACTACTTTCCTTAGTTGTCTGACACCCTGTATCACCGCATATAAGCTTTCTGTTTCAAAGGAAGTAGTCCTATTCTGTATGTAAATTATGTGAATAAATTATTTTCTATTACCGGTGTTTTCATTTCTTCGAGTATCAATCGCAGTTTTTAAATACTTGTAGATACACTAAACTAACGAAGATCTGAAAGAAAGGAAAGGCTGAAGTTTCGGGTGCACACAAATCTGCTGGTACCGTGGTAACAGGCTGAMCGTGGTTTAACAGCAGTGTTGCTGTTCCCTTGTTTTTAAAATAGAGCTTAATTTTACTTAGTATCAAGGGCCTTGACTTGAAAGAAAGTAAAACTGGAATGCTGAAGAGTAGCAAAGCTTTCAAACAAGGAAGAAACACGACCAAATGTTTGTGTTTTAAAAAGATTTGTCCCTCCAAGGGCTTTCCCAGGCTGCACAGGCATGTATCCCATGAAAACGGGGGCGTCCCAACACCATTCTCCCGAAGTGCGTTCAACAGCACTCACTTCTCCGGGGGACCGGGCAAGGACTCGTGGGCCCCGCCCGGCCCCGCGGTGCCCATTGGCTGCGCCGGGGGGAGTGGCGGCGGCGGCGGCGGCCTGGGACTGCCGGCTCTCCTCGGCTCGGCTCGCCTCGGCCCTGCTCGGCTCGACTCGGCTCGGCTCGGCCCGGCCCTGCTCGGCCCGGCCATGCTGCTGGTTGCCCCACGGCTCCCGGGCCGCTGCCTGCGGCTGCTGCGGCCGCTGCTCACCCGCGGGTACCGCGGCGAGGCGGTGGCGGCCGTGGGGTCGCGGCCCGACGCGGGCTCCGCGCTGTACCAGGTAGGGCGGCCCGGGCGGGCGGAGCGGGCACGGCAGGGCCCCGCGGGCGGGCGGGGCGCAGGGCGCCATGGAGGAGCCGGGGCTGTGGGGACACGCGGGCCGTGGCCAAGGCGAGCCCGCGCAAGGGCCGGGTCCCGCCCTGCGGGGACAGCGCCGCGCCTCGGCCCCGCTCGCTGAGCGCCCAGCCCTGCCCATTTCTGYGGGCTGAGCTAACTAATACCGTGTCAACACAACCTCTATTGGTACAGCTGTCTGCCTCGGGTATTTTAGCGCTTTTAAATCGGGATGCTGCTCCTGCTGCATTTCAAGCTGATCGATACTGTGCTAATGAGGTGGAGGCGGGATTTGTAGCCTCCGGCGGAAGATGGAGCCTGATAATTTCAAAGTTGGATGTTACCTTCTGTTTGTAAATTGAGTCCCGAGTTCAAAACAAATGGAATGGCTGTACAGAGTCATGGGCATGCCTCCAAAACCATAATCTTTTGGGGAGGAGATATAGGTGTAATTCCAGTTGTCTTTACAAAGAGAGAGCACTACTTGATTTATTTTTRATGGGGCATTATTAACATCGTCACATTAAAAAAATCGTGTTTACAGTTTGGCTAAGAAAAATATGGCTTTAGGTGTGAATCAAGTAAGGCTGATAGGAGGGCATGCAGTTTTTTTTCGTATTTGTTCCACATAAAATATCAAACAGCAAGTGAAGCAGCAACATACATTCTTACAGAGATATGTCCRCTGCTTCTGTCTTTGGTTCTGTGCTTTGTTTTGCAGAAACTCAATTTGGGACAGAAATYTGGGACAGAAGCTAATGTGAAATTTCAGTATTTGTCTGTGTGTGTATATGTATATATACATACAAAACTTGTATATGTGGAGTGTGTGTATACATTGTACACATTCATATTTTGTGTACCAAAAATAAAAGATAGTATTTTAATAAAGGWGTTTGCTCATCTAAGCTGTCCCTAGATACGCAGTTCTTTTCTGGGTACCTTTCAACCTCAAAAGAAAAGCAAGGCTTGGTAAAATAGCTGATAGTGTTAGTATTTGGTAGAAATAATTTATGGAACACTAAGTACAAGTACTGCTTTACAAACACAAAGAGCYGAGGTCCCTGCTGAGAGGCACTTAACCATCTGAAATAAAAGTAATACAGGGAATAACAGTGCAAACACAAGAAGACATGATGATACTTGATGAAGGTCTTGCCTTCTTTAGCCAATGTTTACCTTTCTGGCTGTGAATTCAGCTAGACAGGCTGGCCCTCATAATGCAAACTGTCTCTCAAACGAGATAAGTAAAAAGATAATTTAAAATGAGTGAGTCTAAATTCTGGAAGACGAAGGAAAGTCTGTTTAAAGGGCTAATCCAGGGATTAGCTCTCACATCCATTTTGGTGGTGCAGGAATAATTCTTCAGCTTGTGCAGTGACTGTAGGATTAGTCCGTAGCTTTTKCCTCTTGATTTTGCTTTAAAATTTGTAGAAACTCCCATATTTACAGCAGAATTTTACAGATCTTGCTGGTGCAAGGGCCAGTTTCCAGTAAGAACTTAGTGCCAGTTCACTGGCCTTTTTTTTGTCATTAATTAATGACAGCAAATGAAGAGCCCATAAATATATGGTAGAACTAGTACAGTTGGTTCTGAGAGGAGTCTTTCCTGTGCAAATTCAAAATTATTTCAAAACATCCTTACTCCTTTTGATAAAGAATAACAGTGTTGTATTCTTGGTTAAGRCATGAAAGATCATGGTAGAAGTTAAGTGAATTTAAACAACTCAGATATTAGTGCGGAGTAATTTTTAAAGTTTATCTAAAAATGCCCTTTCACAGTTTTTCATGCAGGGTAGCCAAAGTAGCTACACTAAGTCAAAATCTAATGAAAATCCTGTGATTGTGATTRCTGTTCCTCTGTTAATATCCTCTGCCTTTTTAGGCTCTTTTTCTTTTTTTCCTATTTTAAAGGTGAGTTTTTAGGCTCAGGACTGCATGCAAAAGGTGACTGTATTCAGAGAAAACAGGCTGACTGAACAAGAAGAAACAGGGAAAATATTTGATGTACGCAATGACCCAGCCAGACACTGATACAGAATAATGTTGGGTACAACTGCAGACTTTTAAAAGTATGGAATTACACGATTCACTTTTACTTTTCAAGAGCGTAATCTGTCTGTAGCAAATACAAAGGTAAAAATGTTCTTTTGAAAGTTGCTATGCAGCTAAAATGGTTCAAATGTGAGCTGCCCTGTGCATGTTTTTATTTTCTTTGTGCTTTGCCTTATAATGCCTAAGTCAGCTGCACAAGCTTAACTGCAACATTTGCAGCTTCTATTTACAGGAAACCTTAAGTCCCAGTGTTCAAGTGTATGTGAACATGAAGAGTTACCAAGTGTCTTTCTGTCTAAGTAGRCTCAAACATCATCTAAAAGAGAATTAGACAAGGCAATAGGATCTTTTTGTGCAACATATTCTTTTACTGCAGTTGCACTTTTCGAGAAGGTAGTAAAGTTCCTAATGTGTCTGCGAAAAAAGCCCAACAAATTAAGCTTGACTAATACCTTTAAATTCCTAGGAAATTGAAAAAACACCCCAACCTGCTGTAATGTGCACACAGACTTCTGGGTAATTCTCTTAGAATTTGTGAGCTCACTACTGGGGGTGCCTGAGAAAAGCTAGTACATAGGTAGGAAGGTTACTACTTCGAAGGCAATACAGAGACAGTATTTAGTAAGCTATAATTCARTTTGGAAGAGGAATTAGTCTTATACTTCTGATGTTTGTTTATTAAAAATGAATATAGTCACTCTTCGTTGAATTTWAAATTCTGTTTTGTTCCCCACTTAGGAGAACTATGAACGAATGAAAGCGCTAGTAACTGAACTACAAGAACAAGCAGAAAAAATCAGATTAGGTAAGTATAATGGTCTAKATTTTAGAATAAAAACCTGGCACTTTGGCCTTGTTGAACCTCAGAGAATTGGCCTTGGCCCATCAATCCAGCCTGTCCAGATCCCTCTGCAGAGCCTTCCTACCCTCCAGCACATCAACACTCCCATGCAGCTTCGTGTCATCAGTGAACTTAGTGAGGGTGCACTTGATCYTCTTGTTGAGATTGTTGTTAAACTTATTGAATGGGATTGGCCCCAGAAMTGAACCCTGAGGACCCCCTCTGCTGGTCAGTCACGAGCTGGATGTAATTCCAGTCACCTCTACTCTCTGGGCCCAGCTRTCCAGACAGGGTTCTACCCAGTAAAGAGTGCACCCATCCAAACCAGAAACTGGCAGTTTCTCCAGGAGAATGCTGTGGGAGACGCTGTCAAAGGCTTTGTTGACACCTAGGCAGACAGCATYCAAGGCTTTCYCWCATCCACTCAGCAGGTCATCCTGTTACCGGAGGAGATCAGGAGTTCAGGCTGGTCCTGCCTTTCCCAAAGCTGTGCTRTCTGGGCCTGATGCCCTGGTTGTCCTGTTYTGCACAATGGTACTCAAGGTGATCTGCTCTGTGTCCTTCCCTGACACCAATGTCAGACTGACAGGCCTTTAGTTACCCAGATTGTCTTTCCAGCTCTTCTTGTGGATGTGTGGTCWTGTTGGCCAGCCTCCAGTCATCTGGGACCTCCAGGTTAGCTGGGACTGGTGGTGAATGATGGAAAGGACCTCTGTGAGCTCTTCCACCACCCTCACTGCCCTTGGGTGRATCACATCTGCCTCCATAAACTTGTGTCTCAGTGTTGTAGCAGGTCACTAACCAATTCCCCTTGGATTATGGGGRCTTCACTTCACTCCCTGTCCCTATCTTCCAAGTCAGTGAGCTGAGTATCCTGTTAAAGACTGAATGAAAGAAGGTATTAAGCACCTCTGCCTTTTCCTCATCRTCTGTCAGTGTATTTCCCCATGCTTCCAGTAAAGGATGGGATTCTCCTTTRCCCTCCTGTTGGTGGATCTTTTCCAAGTTCCTAGCTGTAGTTGTGCTGGCARAGAGAAAGCAGGTCTGAAGTAGTTYAAAAGATTGAAATCTGTTTCTTCTTTTTGACTTGTAAGACTACCTGAATGAATTGCAGTTGACTATAATTCATGGAGACTATAAAAGGAAAAACAMTTAATAAATGCTTAGTTAAATGCTTAGTTATGCTGCCATAGGCTGAGCATGTAGCTTTAATTGTCCCCTTTTTGTGACCATCATTATACTGGTTTTGTCATTTAATACGCTGTTTCTTATATAATGCAATTTCTTTTGCAACTTTGGAACAGAGCACAGTTAAGGTTTTGTGCTCAGT